CGGCGTCGGGGTTGGGGTCGTCAGTTCCTCGTTGACTGGGAGGGTTACGGCCCTGAGGATAGGTCTTGGGTTCCGGCGAGCGATGTTTTGGATCCCTCCCTGATTCGGGACTTTTATGACCGGCATCCGGATGTTCCCGGCCCGTCAGGCGCCTTGCGTGGGGCGGGGGGTGATGTCATGAGTGATTCTGCAGGTTGAGTGCTTTGCAGTCTTGTTTCTGGTTTTATTGTATTTCTGGTACTTCCTGTTTTATTTTGTGCATTCACTTCCTGTCTCATTACAGGCAGCTTCACGACATGAGGCTCCTCACTAATCTGCCTCATGTCTTGCACCTGGGTCCTGGCTTCTCCATTTAAAGAGCAAGTCACCCCCTACAAGAAGCTTAGTTCACTCCCACTTCATGTTTGAAAAATGCAACAAATGCTGTTGCTTGGCAGACCGAGAGGGCGGAGCCGCTAACAAATACACACACACACAGGCTCACAATGGCATTATGACATCGTAATATACCAGATGACATCATAGCATACCTCTTAGCCAATAGCGGTGGCAGATTTAAATTCAAATACAGTGCAGAATTTTTCCCTGACGACGGCGCAACACTGACAGTTTTAGGCAGAATATTTGAATTTTAACCAAGATGCACTGAACTGCCAAATTATTGACTACACGTGTCTGTAGCATGATTAGACACTCCTTTATATAGTTTATCAGCAAAAAAATGTGATTTGGGGGTGACTTGCTCTTTAAGCGTCTTTGCAACAGTTTCCTTTGCCAGTTTGTCTTCTCCTGTTGTGTGATGTGAACCTGCTCTCAGAAACACTTGGTAAAAGTGTATTCAGTTAGATTTGGACTTTTCAGTTGTGTTGTACTCCAGGAATCCCTTCTGCTGATGAAAACTGTGTGAGCTCTGCATTTGAGTCCTCTTTGTGCTTTGATAGTGTTGGGGCGTACAGATGCGAGGTGTTAAACCAGCTTTTCTCACAAGAAAATGTTTCTCCATGGCCGCGTTACAACATTACTAACATTGAAAAGCAGATCGAAGACATCACAGACTTTTTTGTACATAGACACCCCAAACTGCATAAATTCAACAACAACAAGGTTAAAGTGATTTTAAATTCTAGGACACCTTTAAAGGAAAAATCTTGATCTGGTAAAACACCAAAAAAAACAACTGCTTGTGTGTTATTTTTAGTAACAGATATTAAAAAATATTTGTTTTCATGTAGACGTGGAACTGAAGGTGCGGTTGAAAAAATAACCAGATTTTATTGTGGTGGGGCCTCGGTGTATGCTATTCCAAATGCTCTCCCTCCTTTGAGCACTCTGACTTAGTTACTGTGTAAGACCTGATGCTGCCGGGGCAGACGGCTCCTCTGATGGCGTTTCCTTACCTTACTTCGCTCATCTGGACTCCGCCGAATATACATTTTTATTGAGGTGTGTGTGTGTGTGTGTGTGTGTGTGTGTGTGTGTGTGTGTGTGTGTGTGTGTGTGTGTGTGTGTGTGTTAATGTTTTTAAACTGTTATGGGAATTTGGGGCCATTTTAATTCTGTAAAGCAACTTTGCTTGAAAAGTGCTTTATAAATAAAATCAGATTGATTGATTGATTGATTGATTGATTGATTGGTTGATTGATTAGCAGTTTAGTTAAAATGTATAACATTTATCTGGTGTTTCTAAAACATGTATAATTTTTAGTCCACTCACATATTTTGCTACATTCCACAGTCTGCTGAGTTCTTCAAGTGAATTTAATTTAATTTGTCGAATTCTTTGGCTACACTAACATTTTCCATTTCACACTAATCACACAGCCTCATGGTGGTTTGTTTTCCTATCACTATGCTGGTCTGACTGACTGCTACAGGTAAGACCATGACTGCTCATAGCTGCTTACCACAAGCCCAATTCAAAAGGAAATGTACTAAATATCCCTGAATGGTATTTATTCCATCGTGGCCGTAAACATCAACAACAAACTAGCAACATGTCAGGGTGACAGGTTAGGCAATAATGTGAAGAAGTGAGCCTGTTTCAGTGATGTAGAGCCTTTACGAGTTACAATCTTACATAGCCGAGCCCCAAAACATGGTGTGGAAGTGATTACGGGCCTTAAGCTCCCATGACATGGATATCTCCTGGCTGCGCAGCTCTCTGTCAGTGGATCATACTTTAATCTGATTGTAAAGACACTAGGTATGACACAGGCGCCTCAGGAATGTAACCTGTCATTAATAACAATTACAGATGGATTCAATAGCTGATAATCAAGAGGGTTCAGGAATTCCCAACTACCGTACTTGTTTTCCAGAGCTTTGAGGATCTGCTCAAGTTAGTGAAAGAAGTGATTTCACACATAAAACACAAGAGAAACACACATTTTCTGATGATTAATGTTCTAACTGTGGTTTGAAAACAACCAGCAGCAAAGATGAACACTTCTGACCTTTTTCTTCTTACCTCAAATATCATCAAATCAACATTGGCCAACAGCGGGGATGCACTCCTGGGCACATTAGCACCATCAAAAACCAGTGAGAGGAACTGCCTGATTTCTTACTAAATAACTGGCAGGGGTAAGTGTGGGGGTCCTCCAGCCTCTTCAGACAACACTGAGTGGTTTTAATGACACACATTCACACCAGCCTGTGCCAGCTGGCATGACACTGCTACTGGCAAGCTCCATCTTTGACGAAAGACGAAGTGGACCGCTTTAACCTCACAGCTCTCAATAACCTTCCATAAGTTCCCAAACGTTTCTGCTTGAACTGGGAAAGGACGGCTCCCTCTGCGTCCAATAGAAACACCGGGCCGTGGGGCAGCTCATGAAGCAAGTTAGACAAATAAATCCGTACATGTTTGTGGTCCAGCTAACCAGGGATTCTCATGCCAGCCTTTCAGTTTGTGATCAAAAGTGGGAAGGAAATAAATCAAAACACTCTGGAGTTCATCTAAAACACACAGAGTAAATGCAGTAAAAGGTCAAAGAAAGTGCACGGAGTAAAGATTAAACAACCCTATTTGTTCATCTTAGTTTGCCAGAGTCGTGTGGACGTAAGGCGCCGTGTGGCTCTGGGAGACATTGATCCGTTACTTATAAGAGACGGTTTTTATGTCAGTGGCCTAATGAGAACACCACAGAGCCTTTGGTAGAGATCAGGGTGACGCGAGCAGCCTGCAGCACAAACGCTTCTGCTGCTCCACCACACGAGAGGCCAGGCGTTTCACGTGACACGGAAACAGACGTGGGCCCTGTCACCAAAAGGGAGCTAATATTACTACTGAACCCTTTAGAAAAACACACCACACACCCTCCGACTATGCCAACATGACACGGATAAAGTTGTTCTCTGTGCACTCGTTAAAAAATAGAATGATTCTCCACAAAAGCAGAGATTTTACTTTCATATCTCAAAGTGTTGACAGGTTTCTGTGACTCTGAGGCTTTTGGGGTGAATAAAAGCTGTTTTAACCAGATCCTTTACCAAAGCAGGAAACAGAGCCCATTCAGCCGAGTCCCAGTACCGAATTCGGTACTTTTTAAGGTACCGACCGAATTCCATAGTACCGACTGAGCACCGATTCACGTCGTTTGAAACGGTGCCTCGTTTCGGTACCCGTCCTTCATAAGGAGAACTTGCCAAGACAGCTGCGCATGCGCAAGAGCGTTATGTCGGTCGCTGCGAGCGAGTTGTAAACAGAGCAGCATGGTAGAAAGAACTCACGCTAAAGCTTGGGTCCACTTCACTAAATGTGATGGGTAACTGGGTGATGATGAAACCAGTGACAACGATCTAAGTGAGACATCCTCATCTTAATTAATTTCATAAATAAAATGTTTAAGATAACGTTAGCTTGATATGTTAGCTTCCGTTTCGCTAATGGTGCGTTCACTTTCTCCTCGGAACTCCGAATCTCCGGCTAGAAGAACATGAACGCGCTCTAAAGTTTGGCTTCACTTTACTAAATGCGACGGGTGATTGGGTGAAGATGAAACCAGAGACAACGATCTAAGTGTGAGGCACCATCGTTTTAATCTGCTCCAGCAGCTAAATAAACTGTTTAAGATAATGTTAGCTTGATATGTTAGCTTCCATTGCCACCATTGGTGCGTTTGCTTTCTCCTCGGAAATTCTAACTTCCCAGTAGGAAAAATCAAATGAAAAAAGACGGCAAAAGGAATGAAGATACACAGTAAATTTAGTTCACAGTAAAGATGTTTGCTTCAGTTTAATTATCAGCTTATATAACTACAAGGACGATGTTAAAATAAAAACAGATGAATGTTATTTATCGTGATATTTATCAAATATTGTTATATATTGAGAAAAATATATATTTAATTATAAAAGAGAATTAAAATATTAAACACTCAAAAGTATCAAAGATTGGTACCGTTAAGTACCGGTATCGATTCCTAGGTACCGGGAATTAGTACCAAATCGATTCAAATGCCAAAGGTACTCATCCCTAGAAAAGGGACTTTAAACTCGTTTGTTCTGAATCCTAACAGGTGTCATTATAATTCAGATCAGATTATTAACAGTTATGTAGGAAGTAGGATATGAATCAGTTTCATCCCTTGACAAACAGTAATGTCTCAGCATAAAAGCTATTTCGATTGAGTAGCTCATTCTTGAATTTGTTTTCTTTTTTATACCTTTTGTTTTTGGGATAAAAAGAAAACCTTTCTGTAGAAAACAAACAATTTATTCCTGTTTCCACCTGCTAGTCTCGCTCTGGGCTCGGTCCAAACCGCATCTTTTGATGTGAGAGAAACGTAAGACCAACTTTTAATAAACGTCTTCAAGTTTGTTTAGTTTGAAACTTCACTGCTTAATTCTTCTTCCTCTTATCGTGTTGTTCACAGGGAACTTGTAGCTTTTACAGTTTGTCCGAGTAACACAGGAAAGGTTACGCGACAGACAGACAGACACACACACACACACACACACACACAGAGAGAGAGAGAGAGAGGTGATTTGGATCTTACCCTCTATCCTCCTGAAATCCCTCCAGCTCATCTCTCTGTTCAGCCAAGGTGGACTCCAGATCCAAATAGCTACCACTATGGGACAGCTGAAGGGCACAGTCATCAGGCTAAAAGTACAAAGAACACCCAGATGTTAGAGTTGTTGTTTCCAGACCTCAGCTGTATGAAACCCAGAATGAACAAATAGTCCCACAACAGCTCGACAGAACTTTTAATTTTCAAATAACAATTAATATTAGCATTTTAGATATTCTTCACTTGTCCACATGTTGAGGGTTTGGGGTCTGATAGACAGCAGGAGGAGACACTCTCCTCCCTGTTTAGTGCGCTACACGACCAGCCGAGCATAACTGTTGGAAACTCAGAGTCGGAGGCGCTTGGCCGTCTGGTGCCTCTTATGTCTCCTCTCTCCGTCTGATAAACTATCATCGCGCTCTGTGATTTTCCAGCAGAGGTATGATTTGTCTGGCCTTAAATGGCTGTCGTCACCTGACTCTGGTCAAGACGATGAAGAATGAGAGCGTCTCTTCACTTGTCTGCTTGACCTCCAAATTGGAGATATTAACCTATTTATATTGAGGGTCTGCCGGCTCTGCAGGACGCCGGCTCCGACGGTGAGGCAGAAGACAGGAAAACAAATACCACTGAAGGAGGCCAAACAGACGGCTTTAGGGCAGAGAACAGTGCTGCTCACACTAAAACTTCCTCTTGGTGAAGCATCCCGCATTAGCAACCTACAAGATCCTCACTCGTGATGAGAAACACGTGTAAACATAAAAACCCATGTGTTTTCAAACTTTAGCCATTTATTTCCAGGATCGATGCACTTCCACTTCCTCTCTTCATATGACAGTAACTCAATTAAATGTGAATGGGAAACACTGGGAGGGACATTTTGGCTTTGATGTGTGCTCTTGGCCTGTGTCACTGAAACAAAACATGTGGTTGGTGGGGACAGCTCGCTCACCCTCTCTTTGAGCTTCAATAACGTCTCTCCTTCCTTGGTTAAACACAAGATTATTGGTGATTTGACAAAAAAAGGTGGTAGAATCCTCTTCTGGAGGGGGTTGCAACACAAGAAACATCTGAGGAGATTTTGTGGTTTCTGATATGAATTTAGATTGTTGTTGATGTTCTCACAGTCAGACAGGCAGAGACAAAAAGACAGATAAGGACAAAGGAAGATGGGTAGAGTAAAAAGAAGAAAAACAAACATATTGTTTTTGCTTTCAGACGAAGTGATTCTACAGATTAGAGAGGATATTCTTACGGGAAATCCAAGCAGAGGGGACAGATTAGGCCCCAATGTTTTTATGCTCATGCAGTCATGTCATCCATCCATCCATCATCCATCCATCCATCCATCATCTACCCATCCATCCATCCATCTGTCCGTCCATCATCCATCCATTCATCCATCCATCCATCCATCCATCCATCCGTCCTTAATCCATTCATCCATCTATCCATCCGTCCATCATCTATCCATCATCCATTCATGTATCCACCCATTCATCCATCTATCCATCCGTCCATCATCTATCCATCATCCATTCATGTATCCACCCATTCATCCATCATCCACCCATCCATCCATCCATCCATCCATCCGTCCTTAATCCATTCATCCATGCATCCATCCATCCATCCATCCATCCTTAATCCATTCATCCATCTATCCATCCATCCATCCGTCCATCATCTATCCATCATCCATTCATGTATCCACCCATTCATCCATCATCCACCCATCACTTCATTTGTCTGTCCATCCATCCATCATTCCATACATCCATCCATCCATCCATCCAGCCATCATCCATCCATCATCTACCCATCCATCTGTCCGTCCATCCATCCATACATCCATCATCCATCATTAATCCATTCATCCATCTATCCATCCATCCATCAATCATCTATCCATCATCCATTCATTTATCCACACATTCATCCATCATCCACCCATCATTCCATTTGTCTGTCCATCCATCCATCAATACGTCCATCCACCGATCCATCCATCATCCACCCATTCATTCATCCATTAATCCATCTATCCATCATCCATTCATTAATCCATCTTTCCATACATACATCATCCATAGGTCTACTATCCATCAGTTTGTCCATCCATCCATCCATCACCTATCCCTCCGTCCGTCCATCCTTCTGTACATCCATCCATCCATCCATCCATCCATCCATCCATCCATCTATCTATCTATCTATCTATCTATCTATCTATCTATCTATCTATCTATCTATCTATCTATCTATCTATCTATCTATCTATCTATCTATCTATCTATCTATCTATCTATCTATCTATCTATCTATCTATCTATCATCTATCTATCATCTATCTATCATCTATCTATCATCTATCTATCTATCATCTATCTATCTATTATTATTCATCCATCCATCCATCCATCCAACCATCCATCATCTATCCATCATCCATCCGTCCATCTATCCTCACTGAGGGTCCTATTTGGATGGATGCAACCTTCATTTATTGCTTTGTACTTGTGACGTATGCAATTACAATAAAGTTGAATTCTATTCTATTCTATTTTCTCATAGGTAATAATCCTTAGGTTTACTATTTACTATTTGTTTTTTTACGACAAACAAAACTCGCAAAAAATAAGCTTGCTGAAAAAAAAAACCCAAATTTGGGGAAAAACAGAATTTGTAGCTTTTTTACGTGACTGTTTTTGTTTTTGTGATTTAACGCCTTTTGTTTTGGTCAACACCATTTATTAATTTCAACTATGTTGTTCAGACTAAATTTCCTTGTTTTTAGTTTATTTTGTCAATATATTGACACTTCTATCCTGTTGTGCTTAGATCTTCAACAAGGAGGCAGAATGCTTTTGTGGAATTCAATGGTGCAGAAGAATGTACTAATCCTGTTAAAGAGACAGAGACCTAGGAAAGTTGGGAATATGTGGAGCAAATATGATACAATTAGCAATACTGGGTTAAAGTGAGGAGCTTGCATAAATACAAATAAGTAAAGTGTTTGTTTAATTTCTTTACTCTGTGCTAAACAAGAGGTTCAACTTGAAGGTCAAACCAAAAATTAACCAACTAAGGAACCAATAAAGAGGAAACCAATGCAGCTCACTAGGTTTACCATTAACCCATCCCTAGTGCATCTTGTGACACTTTCATCCTTTACTCAAAGCCCCTTCAGGTCCTCGTTAAAGACTTGACTTACTTTACTAATCATAGATAATGTCACGTAGAACCAGGCCAGGGTGATGTACGTACAAGCCCTTAATCCATAGGAGTAGGAATACTAGCAGCAGATTATCAGCAGCAAACATGTTTAGCTGTGTCCTGCCCAGGACTTGAACCCACAGTTGCAGTGTTATGGCCAAGTCCAGAGAAGTAACCACAAGCGCTCTGCTTGCACACTGAAGTCTGGCCTCTCCCTTCAACAACCATACTGTGGTCCAGTGACCAGAGAGGCAGTGCAGGGAAAAAGTGCCTAAAAATAAATACCGTGCAATTTCCAATTCAAAGCTACTATCATACTCCAACTTTTTTATTTAACCTGGGAAAGACATCTAAGAGCAGATTAAATCAACTAGGTACACTTTACATTGCATAAACCTATAATACTAAATCTGCACATTATTACTCACTTATGCTACCTGCTCGCTGTTGGTTACCATGGAGACCAGATCAAACACCATGAATTACAGTCATCTGCTTGAGAAAGATTTGGGGTCTTCCTGTGAAGGCATGTGACATTAAAGCACACCTGATGCATGAGTGAGAAACCACAACAGTAATCTGAAGTTCCTGCTCAGCATACAGGGGATGCATTCTTCAGAAGGAGCCCTCTGCTGTGACAACCCCTCAAAATGCAGAGAGCAGAAAAACCTCAACTCTGCAAGACAATGTGCACAGGAATTCAGGGGAGGAACCTGTATTTTAAAGCATTTTTTTACATAACATCTCATTTAATGTAGTTGCTCATTATGGGATGAAAAAAATGCAGAAAAACATTTTTTCCAAAAGCTGAAACTGGGTAAGTCAGAAAAAATTTGGACTGGTATTTGAGTGTAGACAGAGCCCTGAGCTCACAATGACTCATCCATTAGAGAATTAGCAGATTGAGAAGCTGAGTAAATGTCCAGAAGCAACAGAAATCTCACTTACAGCTGATCCCAACTGAATGCAATACATGGTTATAAGAATCCCTGCAGGTGACTTTTCATCTTTGCAGGGTCAGACATGCAGAACAAACAACAACCTGCACAAATGCCCCACATCTTGAGGCTTTAGGACCGACACAACAGCATATGCAGCTAAGCCTCACCACCACGTCTATCAGACTGACCTTTAGGCAGGAGGCCATAAGAGCTGCTCCTTCAAAAACACTATTTCAGCTCAACCTTGCAACAACTGTTCTAAGTAGTTTGCAGATTGCCCAACAAGAGTTTAGGATCACGTCAGTCTTCACTGTGATAGTGTTCCTCTGACAGAAGGAGAGGAAGGTCAGACATCCACAGCATCCTTCTGTTGCCCAGCTCTGCACCTGAGCTGGCTGATCGGTCTGACAGGATAAAGATGGACCCAGCAACATAAAATGTGCTTAATGTATTTGTTTTTATTGAAAAACAAAATAGACCGGATGCTGGTGCTGACGAAAACACTGCCTCCATCCTTGCTAAAGCATTTAAACCACTAAAAGTTCTACCTGCTGTGAAAACACTTTAGCTGCATTTTAAAGCTGCTTGCTCACTGATCCATTTGCTGTGTTTGGTAGCCTAGTAACCATTACCCGTTCAGGGTAATTATTAATTCAAAGGTGTTATCTTTTAACCAGAAGACGTGTGGGGTGAGGTACCTTGTGTGGGGCTTTGAGCAGCCTGTGGACTCCAGCGATCTGATTGATCAGAGGAAGATCCTCCCTGAAGGTGAACAGAGGTGGTCTGGTGGGCTCTGGGAAGTTGGTGCTGTTGAACGGATCAGTATCATCTAAGAACTGCACCCTGCACATAAACGTAGCCATGATGCATCCATGCACGGAGACTTGGAGGTTGATGCTTTGCTGAAGCCTGTGACAGGCGCTCCCCCTCCCTCCCTCCCTCCCAAACAACCGGCTGGTCCTCTGCAGTGAAATCCCGCACCGTGTTTATCCTCCTCGGTTCCTCAGTAGTTTCAGGCAGCGCGGAGGTGAGTGAGCGACAGTCCTGGCACTGAGGTCCGGCTCAGAGGCAGCAGGAGGCGGCGGTGTCCGAGGGCATTGCGGGCGGCGGCGGTGCTGAGGCGGACTGCGGCGTGTCGGTGCGCGGACCGGACGATGGGAGGCTCAGGCATAAACTCTGCCTGCTTGCCAGAGGACTCAGCAGTCGGACCTCAGCCGGTCTGACAGCAGCTCGGATTAAAGGCGCACCACCGACCTCTGGTGGTTAGGATGAGAATTACACAACGCGCAGAAGTCAAATGAACTACTCGTCTTTGTGGCCTACTGTAAACGAGTCAGTGAACATCTCACATTTCACTAATAGCTCTTTGAATGACCTAAGTTTGGAGAAACATAGATTACTACTTTGTACGAATCGCTTCTGCCAGCTTGAAACAACCCAACCCACAATAATGTCATATTTGTAAATGTTGTTTTACCCAACATCCACTCAGATCATAGAATTTCCTTCTTCCACCTTCGGAATAGTGCTAAGATTAGAAGCATACCTTCCAGGAGTGATGCTGAAAAACTAGTTCATGCATTTATTACATCAAGACTGGATTACTGTAATTCATTACTCTCAGGAAGTCCACAGAATGTAGTTAAAAGTCTTCAGCTTGTCCAAAATGCTGCAGCTAGAGTTCTGATGAGAATTACAAAGAGAGATCATATCTCTCCTGTCTTAGCTTCCCTACATTGGCTACCTGTTAAATTCAGAATAGATTTTAAGATCCTTCTTCTCACATATCTGGGGCAGCAGTAGCTCAGGTGGCAGAGCGGGTTGCCTCATGATCGGAGGGTCATGGGTTCGATTCCAGCTCCCGCCAGGGATATCCTGCTGTTGTGTCCTTGGGCAAGACACTTCACCCAACTTGCCTGTGTTAGTGGTGGTCAGAGGGGCCGACGGCGCCAAATGGCAGCCTTGCCTCTGTCAGACCTCCCCAGGGCGGCTGTGGCTACAAGTAGCTTACCATCACTAGCAGTGTGTGAATGTGAGAGTGTGTGAAAGCGTCTTTGGGTGTCTAGAAAAGCGCTATATAAGTTCAGTGCATTATTATTATATAAAGCTCGTAATAATCAAGCTCCATCATACATCAGTGATCTGATTGTTCCATACGTTTCTAACCGAGCACTTCGCTCTCAGACTGCAGGTCTACTGGTGGTTCCCACAATATCTAAAATTAGGATGGGAGGCAGATCTTTTATCTATCAGGCTCCTCTCTTGAGGAACCAGCTCCCAGCTTTAGTCCGTGAGGCAAACACCTTGTCTACTTTTAAAACTAAGCTTGAAACATTGTTTTTGATTTTGAGCGTGTGTGTGTGTGTGTGTGTGTGTGTGTGTGTGTGTGTGTGTGCAGTGTTGGGGGTAACGAGCAACGAGCAAAAAAAATGTCTTTCAGTAATGAGCAAACTAATTAATTACCGTCTTCTTTTAACAAAACATTGTTTCTGTTACTGATAAGGAAATGCGTGCGTTAAGCAGCGCGGTGTGTTGAAGCTGTCATCAGCTGATCAGGAGCTAAAGAGGTAGATGTTTTCATCCAAGCGCATCATGGCCGTGAAGAACGAGGACGAGGTGATGAATATCTACGGCTGCAGGTGTGGATCTGCAGCCATGCTCTTCTTGGCGTGACAGCGGGATGTATTGAAGGTCCACTCACCTGTTCACCGCTCAGACGTCCTGATCTTCTACCTTCCTAGATCATCCAGCTGTAACCTGTTTCTGATCACGTCTTTAGTCCCGCTGTAACACTGATGCATCAGTCTCAAACGACATGGAGCTCAGGTGTTATCAGAACTACCTGTGTGTGTTTACCACCCAGCTTCAGCTCTTCTGTGTTTGGGCCTGACCCACGTTAGTAAATGTAAGTCCTCCATCAGATTTGTGCCTCTTCTAGTGTCATTTTAAAGGATATTTATTTATTTATTTAACCATTACTAGATTACCAGCAACAGAAATGCTACTAAAGCACACAATTATGTGAAGCTGGAAAAATTAGAATACTGTGCAAAATTACATCCATTTCTGTAATTTAACTAGACTGAGAGACCATTTAAAGGCTCGGGAACCTTTACAGGTGTTTCTAATTGCAATTTTAAATTTTAGCTGATTGGGGTCTTGTTAAATACCACACAGTGACCTTTTAAAAGTTTAGATCAGTGGTTCCTAACCTGGGGGTCCTGACCTCCACAAGGGGACGCCAAAGCCTCTCCGTGGGTCGCCAGGACCTCTCCACTTCAAGGGGTTATAACTTCATTTATTACTTGTTTATAGCCTACATTTTGCTCACATTTTTTTTCATGAGTGAAAAGTTTACTGATATTAAGACAGGAAATAATTAGTACAGAAAGAGTAACACACTTTTAAGAACATTTTGCTCAGCTCACTGTTTTATTTTCAAGTGTCAAAAGTTCATTAAAGATAGGACTGGTGGATTAATCACAGCATTTACAGTAAATAATCTAGTATAAACAGTAATATACACATTTAAGTACATTTTACTCAGTGTATGTTTTATGTGTCAAACGTTTATTGAAAGGAATGATTGATTTATCAGTGTTTACAAGAAACAACGTGTTCAGAAAAGTAATACAAACTGTCAAGCACATTATGCTCTGTTTGGTTTTGTTAATGACTTTGTACTGTACTGGAGCCTACTATTACTGTTATCCATTGCATCAAAGCATATTAAAATGTGCTTGAACAATTTTATCATTTCTTAATAATGTTTGTACTGGAAGAGAGAATGGGAGGGGGTCGTCAAAAATTTTACTGGTAAAAAGGTTGGGAACCACTGGTCTAGCTAAGTGTCATGTTCCTGTTAGTAGTTCCTCCTGTTAAGTGCTTATTTATTTAAATTATTCAGGTTTATAAAAAACATTTGGACATACATTTTATTATGTTCCAGTCATTAGTCATTTATATTTCACTATTGTAGTAATTATTGCGAGCTTTAATGAAAAAAGTAACTAAGTAGTTATTTTTCTTGGTAATTAGTTACTTCTATAATCTTGTAACTCAGTTAGTAACTGAGTTACTTTTTTTGACAAAGTAATCAGTAACTATAACTAACTACTTTTTTAAAGTAACGTTCCCAACAATGTGTGTGTGTGTGTGTGTGTGTGTGTGTGTGTGTGTGTGTGTGTGTGTGTGTGTGTGTGTGTGTGTGTGTGTGTGTGTGTGTGTGTGTGTCTTCTCGATCCCCAGTGAGTCGTGGAGGATGGCTGCTTGTACTGAGTCAGGATCCTCTGGAGGTTTCTTCCTGTTAAAAGGGAGGTTTCCTCTCCACTGTCGCTGCATGCTTTCTTAGTATGAGGATTTCTGTAGACACTGACACAAGTCAGTGACTTGATGCAACCTGATGGTTTCCTTATGTGGCAATACGAGTGAACTATAGATATGGCGTGCTCCAAACACACTGTAACCTTTTACTTTATTCAGGGAGCAGCCAACAGTTGTCAGCAACGCCACCTTGGGAATTTCACCCAAGGAAGTATCAGAAGGCACATAGATTCATTCCACTAAATGAGGCATGAGACGTGGTTCCAAAAGTTACAATTGATTTATTTAAAATATAAAATAAAATATATGTATATTGTTAAAACTGGCTTTGATTAAAAACAGGACAACAAGACACACAGGGAATAACTTGCAGGACTGAGGCCCTGTCCACACGTAGCCGGGGATCTGCCAAAACGTAGATATTTTTCTACGTTTTGGCCTGTCATCCACGAAAACTGAGTTTTTTCCACACGAAAACTGATCTTTTTAAAAACTCTGGCCAAAGTGAAGATCTGTGTTTTCTCCGTTTTGGGTGTCTGCGTGTGGACAGACAAAACCAGAGTTTTTTTTTTATTATTTATTATTTTTTAAATGTGTCCTGTCTAGCTGTGAAGCAAGCAGAATTGATGTCTGAATGCTGGTGACAAGCCTTACAGATTTACTCTCAGGTGGAGCATCAAAGCGTCTGCTTTAAATGTCACGCCTGATACTTAAAATTTTATTGTTATTGTCTTTGAATGCTTTGTAATTCCGACCAGACACAGAGACAGAGGTGAAAGAGAAAGGAAAAGACAAATGGTGGGGGGGGTGGGGGGGGGGGGGGGCAAAAAAATAAACAATAATGAACAAGAGTCTGTTTCTAGACCTGCAGAAAGAGAAGGGCAGAAAAAATGGGACACACAACAATACATCAGGAGCAAGCTATCACTGCGTCAACGTGATGATGAAATATAAAATCAACATTGTTTAACTGAACAATCACACAATAATAAATCACAGTGCATTTAGTGGCAACGACAGCCCTGAGACAAGTGTTGAACGTGCCCAAGCCCATGCTTTTGAGAGCACCATGTGAGCACCTGTGTGAGGGAGCACCCTAACCCAAAACAATTTCTAATTGGAATCTGGTGCCCTTGAGCCAGCAAGGCTCCAACGAAAACTCCTCCCTAAGAAGATATGTGGAATGTGCCGTCACTATGGCAATTCTGTCTCCTATCCCAGCCTGGGCGGGACTGCGGGAAGGCCACCGAATCATTCCAGGATCACTGCAACCCTCCAAATCTCAATGCTCCTCCCCCTGTCCAGAATGAGGTGACATGCGCTGCTTGTAGTGGCTGCAGGAACTGAAGTGTGGATAGTCCCAACCCACCACCCCACCTAGTGGACACTTATGTTGTGTGATGTCTGAAGTCTGTTGCATATTTGTTTGAGGTGTTTTTTTTTTGCAGAGCAAAGCTGCCCTCCGTAACTCTGAAGTGTTGTCATGGTCTGTGTCTGCGTCTCTCCTCATGTGTCCCCTTGTGTTCTCCATCCCTCTAGTTTCTCCTTTTGTGTCTCATAGCGCCCTCATGTGTCCTTGTCTGCGTCTCATTTTTGTGTCTCTTTGTGTGTTTCATATGTCTCCTGTTTGCAGCCCTCCAGATCTTTTCTCCCAGGTCCTGTGTCCCTTCACGTTCTGTGTCCTTGTAGCTCCAGCCCTTTTTGTCCCCAGCTCCCTCCTGGTTTTCTTGTCTCTTAGTCTCCCCACCTTAGTTTATATAGGTCTTTTATTTCAGTTGTGTGTGTGCGTGTTCTTCCCCAGCTCTGTGTGTGTGTGTGTGTGTGTGTGTGTGTGTGTGTGTGTGTGTGTGTGTGTGTGTGTGTGTGTGTGTGTGTGTGTGTGTGTGTGTGTGCGCGCGTGCGTGTCCTTCCCCAGCTCGGTGTGTGTGTGTGTGTGTGAGTGTGTGTGTGTCATTTTCCAGTCAGGTCTGGTGTCCTCCTCTGCTCCTCCTCTCATTATTGTTTTCACCTGTGCCAGTTCCCCACACACCTGCTCCTCGTCTCCTATCACTCCAGCCCCAGTGTATAAAGCCCTCTCCTTGTCTCAGTGTTTTGTCAGTCCATTGTGATGTATTCTGTCAGTCTTCTCGTGTCTCTAGTGTTTTTGGATCTCCAGATCATTATCTGGATGTTTGGACTTTTGGCGTCCAGCCTTTTTTGGATTAATTTTTTTTTGGTTCATCCTAAAATAAAGGATTTTTCTTAATCTTCATCCCTGCCTCGTGTCATCTGCGGTATCTGCATCTTGGGTCCTAATCATCTACTCGCCTTGTGACAAGTGCCTTTTTTTCCCTCCACTTGAACCAATCCTCCTGTAACCCTCTGTTCTCTATTAAGGTAGCACGACTCAGGGTTACAAATGTCCACAGTCACCAATTCTTGTTGTGTCTTGCCCATGTAGAACTGATCTCTGAACTGTGTGTACTGAAACTCTAATTTCCCTCTGGGATTAATAAAGTATCTTTGAATTTGACACAGAGCTCTGTGAACAGCCAGCCTCTTTACCAATGACCTTTGTGTCTTGCCCTCCTTGTGCAAGGTGTCAATGGTCGTCTTTTGGACAACTGTCAAGTCAGCATTCTTCCCCATGATAGTGTATCCTACTGAACTAGACTGAGAGACCATTTAAAGGCTTTCGCAAGCGTTTTGAGTTAATTAGCAGATTAGAGTGTGGCACCAGGGTTCTTCTATATAGAACCTTTTCACAACATTCAGAAATTCTGAGATACCGAATTTGGGATTTTCATTGGCTGTCAATTTTAATAGTCAAAATTAAAAGAAATAAGCAGTTGAAACATATCATTCTGTGTGTAATGAATTAATGTATTTTACAAGTTACATGTTTTGAATTAAATTACTGAAATAAATCAACTTTGTCTTGATATTCTAATTTCATGACCAGTACCGAGAAAACAAACGTAATCATTAAGTCATGAAAACAAAATGACAGAAAAACCCAATGATTACTCAATTATTAAATGCAAAATTATATTGTTATTCAAGTTATGTGGACACATAAAAATGGCATACATATAAACCGCTGTACATTTGCAGTGTCAAACACTCCGTCTCTTAATCTCAAACTTAATCTTCTGGCTCATGTTCAGTTAGCTGCAAACAACGTATGTGCTGGTGAAGGTTCTCAGCCATCAGGTCATGCTATTCCAAAGAGGGTCAAAAGATAAATGGTTTCAAGGATCCACCTTTCACAGATAAAACAACACCAAGTGTTTTATAATACAGAGCACAGAAATACAATGAAATATATGAAAAAGAGTAAAAAGAGCAGAAAATAATCATGAAGTGTTGGGAGTAACACGGTACAAAAGTAATTAATTACTGTAATGCATTGCTTTTTGCTGTAATGTGGTAATGTAAGGCATTACAGGGAAAGAAAATGGTAATATTTACTCGGTACAAGTGTCAGTAACGCAGTGATTACAATGTATTTTTAAACCCAGAATCAAAATGTGGGTTTCTTAAAAATTCAAATTGCAGGAAGCCTGAAAAAAGATCCAGTATCCACATATATGACGTCATTTATGGACTCAGCTTTGCGGGCATTCTATGAGCAGAGAGGACGCAGCAGTAATGGCTCAAATACTCCAGCTGCGTCCTGCACGCGGCCGCTGTTATATTCACAAAATCGTTCTACCGAAACAAAGTCATTCGTTTGCGATCGTTTATATCAGCCCATATTCTCTGGTACTTCATATACTTTTCAGCTGAGTTCATAATCTGTGCCCCGGTGATTTCAACTCATTGCTGCTGGAGCGCAGCACAAGTTAAAATATATATTATTTTTAGCGTTCGGTAGATCCCTTTGGCTGATTAGTTAGAAAGTAAGAAATCTAGTTTACAGTTTTTCTGGAAGACGGAGAAAACATGCAGCATGCAGGAAGGTTAGAGAGAGAAAGGGCCGGAAATTATTCAAATAAACTCAAGAAAACAAAACAAAGTGCTTGAAAAGAAAAAAAGTAGGTAGATTTATCCCCAATACACATTTTTACCAGTGAAAAGCAATAATATATAAGCATTTAATATTTATACATGTGATAGAATCAGATCACCCCAGAAGTCAGTCCCACATCCAGGGCCGTATCAAGGCATTTGGGGACCAAGGCAAATATAGGCTTGGAGCCCCCACCACCTCACTCCCTGCTCAGTTAATATAAGACGGCAGCGTGCTGAGAGTACAGATTGTTGTTGCTTTTATTTAATAAACAATCATTTTAAAGCACTGTTATTATATCTGACTGTTTCTAACAGCAATCCTAGCTCAGACACCACATCACCTTCCACATATATGTCACGAGCTCACTGAGCGTCACATTACCAGATTCGTGTTGAAGTTGTTTTGGTGAAAGTAACATAGAGTAATGCAAAAGTAGTGTAATGCCTTACATTTTAAAATCAGTAATAATGTAATGTAATGAATTACTTTAAAATTAGGATAACAAGTAATAAATAATGCATTACAGTTTTGAAGTAACTTGCCCGACACTGTAATCATGAAATCTTTAATAAAAGTTTGTCTAAATAAAAAAAAGTCAGCTGTTGTTTCAGAAATCTCTTCACTGAAGTAAAATCAAGGTCTGCTTATTTCACAGTGGAGGTGCAACTGAGCTTTTGACACGTTGGAGGTTCGGGTAACATCATCTGCTAGAAACACCTGAGGATCGCAGTCTGGTCTTCATAATTCATCCCACATCCAAGGAGCCTGACCAAGCTGCGCTCTGAGGGTTAGTTTAAGGATAAAAATAAATAAATAAATAAACTGGAGACATGTGTCCTTCTGATCGTTCCGGTTCAGAGCCTCACTGCAGCTGATATCTGCTCCCGAACTGTAAGAGTGATGCAATGTTGCACGATGAGCCCATATCGTAACTTTTGTTCACATGTTCATGGTTCATGTGTGTGTTTGAGCAGTGGGAGCATGTGCATGCATGTGTGTGTGTGTGTGTGGGGGGGGGGGGGTGTGGGGGGGGGGGATGGGTAGCGTGGGTGAACGGTGATATTGTCCACAGAGTGTCACGTGCTCTGGAATATGCTGGCGGCCTTTGTTGTCCTGCTGCCTGTTCTGCTTTTCTGGCACTTTCATACAATGGTGCACTTGAACACCGTGATGTTATTAAGCCTTTCAAACTTCTACAGCTGGAATTCCAGCTCTCAGGAAAGACTAGCATCCGAACGTAGGACACATGGCACAAGATATCATCATCAAAGGATAGCAGCAAGGACTGAGCGTAACATCTGAACAAAGGTGAACACTGAACACTTATGACTGCTTTTGTTTGGTCAGATTGCTTTCATGGAGCCACACAAGCTGACTTACTCATGCTGTATCTTCAGCATGCCTTTTCTGAAGACATGTTAACAGAAATATGGATCTTTGTTTTATCACCTGGTGTGATCTCATTCAGTTACTATCTGCTGTGTTTTGTGAGGCGATTTCAGTAAAAATGCTCAAGGAATTCCTTAAAATCAGTCGTGCAAAGAAGCTGCAAACACATGTCAACCACAGAGATAATTAAAAAGCTTTAATACAAAATGTATTTGAATACAAAGTATTTTTTCCCAAACTGCTGTACTAGGCAATGTCCCAGCAAACAGATGCCCCTCCGTGTGGTGGGGTCGTGGTTGAGTTTGAGTGTGATGACGTCAAGGATTCAACAGCTAAACACACAAGAAGCATACCAGGTGAGCCAAACTGTGAATGCAGGTAGCATTCATGCAGTACTTTGGTGTTTCAGTTTTATTCTCATGCATTCCCTTGTAAGGTTTAGCTCTTATCTACCTCAAAGGCCCCAAGTTTCTCATCTATGTCAGTGGAGCATTGTCCATGTGGGTAAGAAACATTTCTGGAGAAACACATTTTGGAAAAGACAAGAGCATCCCAGCACAGCTCGTACAGATGAGCTGCTGTCTTGTGTCCAACAGGGCGACCGCATGTGGCACTTTGCCATCTCTGTGTTCCTGATCGAGCTGTACGGCCACAACCTGCTGCTCACAGCTGTGTTTGGACTGGTGGTGGCTGGGTCGGTGCTCCTACTCGGGGCCTTAATTGGAGACTGGGTTGATCGCAATCCCAGGAATAAAGGTAAAGATGATCATTTCACACTACTGTATGTAGCAGTGATGAACATTTATGCTCCACCTTGGCTGTGAACTCCATCAGATGAAAATCTCAGGTGTGAATCAGGCAACCAGCAGGCACCAAGCTCTGTTACACACATGCTTTTTAAAAGGTCTGAAAGTTTGAAACTATTTTTCACCTGTTTTCTGTTTTAGTTGCACACGCATCTCTTTTCATTCAGAACATCTCAGTCACCATATGCAGCATTGTGCTCATGTTGGTGTTTTCATACAAGCAAAGGATCGAAGAGATCTGGGACGGGTGGCTTACTGTGAGTAGACGCCCGTTATTGGCTAAGATGTGCTCTAACCTCAGATACGTTGTTATTTGGTCTGAAGGATGCTCCCCATGATAACTGCAGACAGAAGTTACTGTTGTTCCCTCTGTCCCATGCCCCTGCTGTCTCTGCCTCTGAGCTTCTGGCTACTCTGTCATAGTAACATGTTGCATCGCAAAACTCACACAAGGTGGTTTGTTATACGGTGGTGATCATCCTGGCAGATGTGGCAAACCTTGCAAGCACAGCGCTGACCATTACCATCCAGAGGGACTGGATCGTGGTTATTACCGGCTACAACCGAGGCCACCTAGCTGGTGAGAAAGTTCCCCTGATAAACATCCTGACTTGTGTTCCACGTCGGCCCCAGGCTCATGTGAAAAAAGAAAATATTGATAAACTTCTGCTCCGGTGTGATATCAACCTCTTTTAATCTCTGTGTTTGATCTCAACAAAAGGAATGAATGCAACTATGAGGCGCATAGATCAGGTGACTAACATCCTGGCCCCACTGGCAGTGGGACAGGTCATGACCCTGGCCTCCAACGTGGTTGGCTGTGGCTTCATCCTGGCGTGGAACCTCGTGTCTCTGATTGTGGAGTTCTTCTTCTTGTCACGGGTGTACCGCATCGTCCCAGCTCTGTCAGTCAAACCACCAACAGCAGAGACTGATGGTGCGTGTCAGGGGCGAAGGACAAGGAGACGGTTGCAAGGTATGGACTGATTACTGGACTTCACCAAAGCTTGGGTCTGAATTTCATCTGCTCTTAGAACAGTTAGACTAGAACCCTACTGGCATCTTATCAGATGTGCAGGGCGTGTGTCTGAAGGGGGTACAAAAGCTATTTAGACATCATCTTTGGTTTGTTAGTTTTTTCTTTTAACAAAGTGTTTTGAATTGAATCGATCTGTATTGAAGTGACTCACCCAACGAGACCCAGGTAAATTACAAAGCAGGTCTCTGCTCAAGTGAGCTGATAATATAGTACGCTATTATAACACATTTACATTCCCTAGTGGGCACAATGATTCATCAGTTCATAACATATTGTGCAACAAGTTCCCAGTGGTTCCCAAAGCTGGGGTCAACACCCCACAATGGGTCACCAAGAGCTACAAATGGGGTCTTGTGATGATCTCCAGAAATCCAAATAAAAATTACAAACAACTGCTGGAGCTTTATTTCTAGCTAAATCGTTACAAAAACTCAGCTAAACAGTCGTAAATGTATTTAAAGTGACAATGTGTAGTTTTTACTGTTAATATCTGGAAACATCCATCAAAAGCTTGTTAAACATAAATTAAATGATGCCCGGTTGTTAAAAATATCGGCGGCTTTGGAACATATAACCATGAAAATCGGGTCTAAAATACATGGGGGTGGGTCTAAGTCTCTGGGCGATGCCATATTAGACGCCACGTCTACGGGAGCCTGTGAGGACTAAGCACATTAACTGATTTGAAACAAGTGGTTGCAAAACTGTCGCCATTCATAAATGTTGTCTTACACATTTACCTCGTCACTCGTGGCCAGTGATGAAAGGGAGTCTGATGTGTCGTTTGCTGGAGGTCACACTCCCTGGGATTTTTGACCCTAATGGCCTTCCGTTGGTACGGTCTTACTCCAACACAAAAATACCGCTTGCTAGCACTGATTTAGGTATGGACTGCCCCTTATCGCAAGGGAAAACACACACTATCACTTTAAGTGAAGACAAACGGAAGCTGTTCACTTAATGGCCCAAATTATTGAGCTTTTTAAGCATGTTTGTATAGTTAAATCACAGATATCTGGAGTCATACATCTTTAAAATAGCTATTTTGTGGGTCTGACACTGAAATGGGAACTACGGTCATACACCATAGATCATGGAAATCAAAACAAATGCTGCAGTCACAGAGAATAAGGTTGTTTCCTTTTAGTAATGGACTCATAAATATTGTTAATACCAACTTCCTTTAAATGTGATGTCATCCACGGCGGTTCAGCACCACTGTAAGCTTCTAAATACACCTTTATTTGAGCAGGAATAACAGACAAACATGACCTCTGGATTCGACGTTTTGCTGATGTTGCCTTCCATGTTGTAAACAATCATGGAAGGCAACATTGGTTCCAAGTTTTATTAAATAATGTGTGAATATTCTTGGAATTTGGGCGACTGGGACTGTTAATCACTTTAACCTGGCCGGACTAACAGAGAGATGTAATGTAATGCAGAAATAACAGGTACTAATACAACATCTGGAAGGGCATTCAGGTGATTCTTTTACCAATCCTGATGCTCTTCTTTGACGTGTCTGCTAAAAGAGCACAACATGTCATTGACTTGAATTATCCAAGCTTGTAAATCTGTTTTTTGAGAAAATCATCATGTTCTAACGTTCCAAGGAAGGTGTTTTGATTGTACATCCCAGTTATCTGTTGGTGTGTATTTGAAGCTCATGTAGATCTAATGATTGACTGGATTTGAAGAATGAAGTGTTCCTGGACACGGAGCAGACACTCAGCAGAAATCCAACTGAAGATTGGGCCTTTAGAATGAATGAACTGAAATGATGGATTGCCATTCCTCCTTCTCATTAGGGGAAAGCAACGTTGCACAACCACAACCCCTGACGGAAGGCAACCGCAGCTCAAATGTACATCTTAAAGAAATCACCAACCTGCCACTGTGCTTCCGGAGGTTCCGCTGGCTGGTGAGCACTTGTAAAGACGGCTGGATGGCCTACTACCGCCAACCGGTCTTCCTAGCCGGCATGGGTCTGGCTTTCCTCTACACCACAGTCCTGGGGTTTGACTGCATCACCACTGGCTATGCCTACACACAAGGCATAAGTGGCTCCCTCCTAAGTCTACTGATGGGTGTGTCAGCCATCACAGGGTTGATGGGCACTGTAATGTTCACCAGACTCAGGAAGACCTACGGCCTGATTAATACCGGCATCATCTCCAGCTGCCTCCACCTGGGCTGCCTGCTGCTGTGTGTTTGCTCTGTGTTTGCTCCTGGCAGCCCTATGGATCACAGCTTGCTGGTTCCCTACTTTAGCTCCACTTCTTCTGTGAGCCAAAGACAAAAACACACGTATCCTCTGACAGGAGGAAGCAACCAGCCACTGCTGCCCGATCGCTCCTCCATCCACTGGACCAACAACACAGTGCTCTTTGATAACGACCCTTCTGGAACGACACCAGAGTCTTACATCTCCATCATTCTGCTCTTCCTGGGTGTAATCACAGCACGCATTGGTGAGTATGAGGACAGTTGTGACTAAATAGAGCTCAGGAAATAATTCTTACCCACAGCCAAACTAAAAATTAAATGATGCGTCTATCTGTTAAAAATTATGAAAACAAACAGGCAAACCCCGACTTCTAAAACATGATTAAGGACAGTTATCACCCATGTCACACGGGCACAACACTCACACCCACTTGTGTTAGCCTCTGGCCACCAGATCCCAGTGTGGTCGGCTCAGGTTTGATCTATATCAGGCAGAGAAACTCCTTCCACGGAGACCCTGTTCTGCAAATGAGTTGGCGAGGCGTTCTGCAGCTAACATCCCAGTTTCAGACACCGTGATGAAATAATTTAAACATTTTGTGAAAAGTTACAAACGACCAACATCTTATCTGATATTATTGTCCCTAATTGCTCCACAAAAATCTACTTCATAACATCAGATCTTTTGTGCATTTCTTCTCTCTCCACAAGAGGGCAGTACAGAAGAGCGTTCTAGTCACTTTCTGTTGAGCATTTGATTTAAACAGAGATTAGTTCAGCTAATATTTGTTTTAATAAGTGACATCAAAGTTTTTATGTCAGCTTTCAGTACGGTTTAATACATCAACTTGAAATATTTGTGTTAGCCAACATTTAGAAGTTCAGACAAGTTCCCTTCAGCTCAGATAAATGACATGATACTGCCGATGAACTTTTACAAACCAATAGCACCTGTGTTTCAGGCCTGTGGTCATTCGACCTGACTGTGACCCAGCTGCTGCAGGAGACCATCTGTGAGTCCGAGAGAGGGGTGGTGAACGGAGTGCAGAGCTCTGTGAACTACCTAATGGACCTGCTTCACTTCATCATGGTGATATCTGCTCCCCAACCAGAACACTTTGGCATTCTAGTCATCATTTCTGTTTTATTCATCACCACTGGACACAGCATGTATTTCCTATATGCACACAAGGCAAAGAGAAAACACCGCCTCGATACATAACGAGGAGCCGTGGCTTACACATCCCAGCATGAGCTCCGCTCTGCACCTGAGAAACGGACGCCTCCCTCCTGAGCCTATACTGCCGCGCTCCGCTCAGCCATTCATTTCAGCACCGAACAGCAACTGTCTGTCCCGCCTCGCTTACTCTCTTGTGTGTAACAGTAGTAATAAGAACTCAGGTGAAGAAGAATGGGGGCAATTGCTCTCCTTTCATGCAGGTAAGTTGTGCTGGCTACACTAATGCAGCCTGAATACCTCCAGGAGACACGCAACAAGACACAACCGTATTGGCTACAGCTCCAGTGCAGACTCAGCAGAGTTACTGCAGCTGTGAGACTTTCTGAAAGGTCTGCTGCTGAACGTGACCTGATGGATGAGGTTGGGAAGATGGTTGGATGGTTGGATGGGGAGACTTTTTGTACCTTCATTCAATGACGAATTGTGGAAAATCCAGCAGTGAATAGTGACAATAGAGACAAGATGGCATTGTTGTTACTGATCCGTCCACTTGGAAATATTCCAGGAAGTCCAAAAAGGAAGACAAAGGGAACTTTGTGTGAGATGATTAAAAAGTAATTAAAGGCAGCCTTCCCTTTTAATGGACAACGTGAAAGGACAAAAGCATTTTCCTTCGCCTGGTTTGTTTCTCTGTGGATGAATCAAGCAAACATTAGCCCATTTTTAATGAATACGTCACGTCACGGCAGTTAATTGAGTCAAACGGAAGTAGATGGTTTTAATGCTTGTGTATTTAGTAGAAGCTTTAATACATTTTGTTTCATTCCCTGATTAAGAGTGACTTTGGTAGTTTTGTAGAAAGTCAAGAAATCAATCAAAGTTTTTGTGGCCTAATCCAAATCTGTGGTGGGTATCGACACCAGACATTAATGGCTGCTATTGAAAGTACTGTTTTTCTTCATATTTTGTAGTTCTAATGAACGAAAACATTACCTTACCTCAGCTCGGAACAAGAACACTTTATATACCTTAGGAGTTACTCTCATTTGTTTCATGTTTTCATATTTCTTTCATATCCAATGGAAATATCAGCCACGTTCAGACATTTGTCATTAAAGTACAGCAGTTCAATATTTTTGTACGGTTTGTCCTGTAAAACTTCTGTATGTGTTACGTTTATGAAATTTGTCAAAATAAAGATGACTGAAGACCATCATTGAAACACGTCTTGGACAGTTAAATGTACCTGCTAAACGTGTTCCACAGGTCCTATTGTGGATTGTTCCATCACTTATTTTTACAAAAACTCACTTTTGAAGACTACAAAGGCAAATCTGCAAAGCAACAAGCTAGCTTAAACCCTTTTATCATACCTCTTAGCATTCCTTAAACAGCTTAGCTATCTTGTAGATACTGAAACAACAACAACAAAATAATGAAGTGCTTCTCTTGCACTTGTCTAAAAACCTCGACCAAAACTGCAACTGGTGTTTGGTGCGCTCTCGTTTACTCTGGCTCTGCGCGTTCCCACATCGGGAGGTAGCCACGGGATGCTGGCTGATGCAGGTGAAGGTTTTGTGACCATGTTTTGTTTAAAAGCTAGCTTGTTTAGCAGATTTGGTTTCTTAGAAAACTGTAAAAATCTTGTGTGGCAGAGTTTGTTTATTCAAATGAACTTTATAGGAATCACACAGCAGCCGTAAGGAAACCCCTGCACCTGCTGAAGACTGGTTAGCTTGTGTCCTCATCGGCATGGGAAAGGAAGTTATCTCTGATTAAAACAGAAACCAATGTAAATTTCTTTTCTAACTTAAAGGAGGTGTCTGGATTCTTTCTTTTATCTGATGGTACCATCTAGTGGCTGACTCGCGTATCACACCAATAAGTCGTTTACACCTCTGTATGGACAGCCGAAATCAATGCCTCTCGTTCAGGAATGCGCTCCTCTAGCCAACAAAACAGCTCAAATACATTGTTTTACATGTTATGTTATGTATTCATATATTCATATTTTAAAGACTTACTTGTCCACGAGAAATGTCTTTAACTCTGCATCAACCGAGGCACGTCTTTAAATGCTCAAGCACGCTTTGTGATTAACGTCTGTACGTAAGCGATAGTCTAACGCTATTGGTCAGTGCTGGTCAGCGCTCATTTCATATTGCGTTGAGCTCTGTTGGACAGGGGGCGGGCTTAGCAAAAACAAAGGTGTATTGCCTACATTAGATCACAGTACAAGATCAGACAATCGATATTCACATCTCACCCTTGCTTGTCTTAATCACCGGAACACCACAGGGTTGCGTGTTCAGCCCCCTCCGTACTCCATGCTCAACCATGACTGTTGCTAGACACACAAAAATCTCCACCATCCAGAACGTCAATGACACGACAGTCGCAGGCCTCATCTAAGATAATGATGATTCAGCCTGTAAAGAGATGAGTTTCTGTTGCAGAGGGACTGTTGGCTGAACCTTAAAATTCAACATCGGAAAAACCAAAGAGACAATTGTGGACTACAGCAATCAGTGAGGCGAGGAACATTAGGCCATTTGCATCAATGGGGCTGAGTTTAAAAGGTCAGCAGGTACATCAGCTTGTGCTGTGCCATCACCTGCGCCAGGTGCAGTGTCCTCAGACCTCCACACCTTTCAGTACAGCCAGTGCAACACACCTTTCTTCACCGGCTTTGTGCACAGAACCACCTTTAGTTCTGCTAAACACCAAACACACACAGTTTGCTCTTTGTATCTGAATGCTCAGATAGGTGGTAGAATGGTCTTTAATTTTCTTCTATCTACAAATCCATAAGAATTAATGTGAATGAATACTTTTGATTTCATTGAGTATTTTCCACTAGGTTTTTAAAAATGTCCATTTCACCAATCTGTGCTTTTAGAACAAAACCTTAAATAATCTATTAGGTAAATGAACAATTTTTATGAAAAATTACTAAAATTAATACATAAAAAATTCCTGCTCAGACCTGAAAATTATTTAATTGATATAAAATACATTAAACTAATCCTACTTGATATCAACGTGCTTTAGTTTTAGTTTTTCAAATGCCATGTATTTTCTATTCCATCCCAAAAAGTATTCTATTTTTCTAAGAGATCCATGGTTTCTCTGCAGATGGTCAGGAAGGTCTTACAGATCTAAGAATAGCTGCAAACAGCAGTGGTCCTTTGCTGTGGAATGACACGACTTCCTCTTTGAAGTTGAGCTCCTGTCCCCACTGCGTCTCCTTCTAACCAGCATCACAGTTTCCGTTTCTCCCCTGTGTGGCGTCGTTCCACCTTCAAAATACAGCAGGAAACAGTTTACCCTTGAACGCCTCGCCTCGTGTGGTGTAAGGTACTTTTGCTGTTGCATGTCCCTCAACTGTTAGTGTTGCCTGTGAAACATTAAAAACAAGGATTCTGTAACAAACCGAGATCAGTTTCATCACTTTTATGGTTTTACAGTGCTGCAGGCATACGTAGTAGCGGTGCAGTTCCCAAGGTTGCTGCGTTTGTCTCTGTTTACACTGAGCGGTACTAGAGCATGCTCACTAACAAGCCTGGCTTCAGGCATTCTCACTGTTTAATTCATTTACTTGAGAAACTGGGTCAGTGGTGGCATATCACCATGGAACCACCACTTTTATTTCCTCAGTTAAACTCCATCCATAATGTTCAAAGACTCAGTCTCCACTTCTGAATAAAACACCTTAAAACATTTCTCTCAAGCCCAACAAACATATTTTTCTTAGTGAATTAGATTATCATGATATAATTAGCCTATGTCAGTAATCCCGCAAACAATTAGCCAATGACATAGATCCATTACACGATGGAAAATTACATGTGGGGGAGCCTTTTCTGGATATCAGAGCTTCTGAGCTTATAGCAGCCTGAGAGGGAATGGGTGGGTGTGGCTAGCAACAACTTGTTTTCTTAAAGTGACAGAGCTCTGAAATGGCTCTTTCTAGAAGGTGCTGAAACTGTAAATAATAAAACCGCTGAAAACACTTTATGCACGAAGATTTGAGTACTAAGAACTTCAAAAACATGGTTTGTACCAACAAAACTCACCCCAACTTCACACTGGAAGCGTCAGTGGTGCAGAACGGCAGCAGAACGCTGCTGCTTCTAATTGAATCCATTATAGGAGGGGTGCCCAATCCAGGTCCTGGAGGGCTGGTATCCAGAATGTTTAGTGGTTGTTTTGCTCCAACACACTTGATTCAGTGGTTGAATCACTTGTGCAGCAGCTCATGAGGCTGTGCAGAAGCCTGTCTGGTTGAAGTCAAGAGAGTTGAAACTAAAACCTGCTGGGTACCGGCCCTCCAGGGCCAGGACTGGGCCTTATAGTCTATGGGTTGATCCAAACCTGCTGTATCACAAAATATTTCTGGTGCACACCAGAAGCAAAACGCTGCTCTCCGCCCGCAACATTGGGTTCTATTTTCAGAGGTGGAAAGTAACAAATTACATTTACTCACCTTACTGTAATTGAGTAGCATTTTTGTATATTTCGACATTTTTTGTCATTTTTAAAATCTGTACTTTTACTTTTACTTGAGTACATTTTAAAAAAGAATTGTAATTTGCTACATTTTAAAAATGGTCTGGGAGGTGTAACATATCATGATACAAGCCTTTTAAAACATGTTCAAGTGTTACAAGAGGAGATAAATGCATGAATTTAAAGTTCATGTTTGGAGACCAACCTTCACAGTTTGGAGGCTCACGCTGGTGAGGAGACACCATTAGTTCTAGTAACACCTGGGCTCCCAAGGCCTGTTCTGACAGGATGGACGTTACGGGACCCTTCAGGATTCCAGTTGGATGATTGGAGGATTATTTGGGAGGATTGGAATGAACAAACTGATTTCAGTGGTGAAGGGTTAAATGAGTGAGTGAACCCACTACCAAGGATGAACTCTGCTAACTTTAAAAATCAGCTGCTCTAAATAAGCATGAAGGTCAGAGAGGAGCTCTAGGATGGACATGGATAAAGGAACTGTAATGTAGAGGTAAAGTAGGGCAGGGCCAACGTTAGCAGCTGTCATACGGTCCATCTGAAATGTTTGACTTTCATTTAGCTTGTTATGTGACAGGTCAGAGCACAGTCTCATGTTAGAGTTTTGTCATGAGAACATTGAGATACCTCACATACTGATGGCATCTAAAAATTAACTTTTTTGTTTCAAAATAAAGAATAATTTTAATCACAGTTGAAACGTACAATCCTAGAAAAACCTCGTCCATCAATGTGCACGTCCTGTTCTCACTGACAGAAATCCTTCCATCAAACTCTCTGTGTGTGTGTGTGTGTGTGTGTGTGTGTGTGTGTGTGTGTGTGTGTGTGTGTGTGTGTGTGTGTGTCCGTGCACACACGAGCGTGTTGAGAAATGGTGTTGTGATATTGCACTGATGTAGCCATCTTTATGCCGACAAAAATGTAACTAAGTAACTTTTACTTTGAGTACATTTTATTTACGATGCTTTTTACTTTTACTTGAGTAAAAATTTAGGCATGTACTTTTACTTGTACTTGAGTAAAAAATTATCAAAGTATTGGTACTCGTAATTAAGTAGGAAATTTTAGTACTCTTTCCACCTCTGTCTATTTTTGCAATGAGTGGCTTCTGGGACACGCCAGTTTCTGCAGTTATACAGGGCTAGACAGGAAATCACACAGCTTCAGTCTAAAACATCTGGTCATTTTTAAAACAAAAGACTATTGCAGCAGTGTCATTTCTCATGTCTGTAGTTTACATCTGTACATGTGACCTTCCGGCTTGTGTGATGAGCTACACCGTAGCTACAACTGCCCTGGGGCGCACTGACGGTAGCAAGACTGTCGAGCTCTGGTGCCACCGGTCCCTCCGACCACCACCAGCAGACAAGGTGGGCTAAGTGTCTTGCCCAAGGACACAACAGCAGAATTATCTGATTCGTGATCGAACCTACATTCAGATTATGGACAACCCGCTCAGCCCCCTGAGCTACTGCTGCCCTTAATCTCCACCACACTTGGACACCAGCAGCAGCCTACAGCAAGACAAGGTGGATCTATGCCATCATGTTGGTGACGTCAAATTCTGTCACGAACATCGGACCTTTGCAACAGAACCTGGAACTCATCAGGCCAAGTTTTCCCAGTCTCTGCTGGTCCAGCGCTGGTGATCCTGTGTGAATTCTAGCCTTGGTTTCCTGTTACACGAGTGAAACCAGTTGTAATTCAAGGTTTAACTAATGCTTAAACCAGAGATCATATTCGGCAGACCTTGGCTGGAACTGGTAGGTTTAGCCTCCAGAAATGACCTCAACAAGACATTTTCATCCACACAACTGTTGCTAACTGGATATGTTCTCTTTTTCAGACCTTTCTCAGTAAACCCTGGAGATTGTTGTAAAATGTCCAGGAGAGCTGCTCATTTAGAAATACTTCAGCACATCGTCTTCATTGAGTCACTGGCATGTGATTGGCTGTTTGGGTTAACTAATGAACAAGTGTACATAATGAAGTGGCTGCTGAATAAATAATTGGGTGTTATTTGCTCTGAAGCTGCCTCAGTGTTACGAGTTTCCTGAATAGTAGAACATTTTAAAGACTTCTTCTCTTGTTGCTTGAAGATGTTTCACCTCTCGTCCAAAAAGCTCCTTCAGTTCTTACAGAAAACGAAACTGTTACGTCTATTTTTCCAGTTACTCCATCTCACATGTGTACAGCTCTACCCTAAAAAAGGCTGACCTTTTGTTGCCCAGCCCAGTCCTGATCTTGACTCTCTCCTCCTGTCAGTAGATTTCCAAACTTCCTCTTTGGGACTGTCTGGCCCACCAGATGTTTCCTCAACTCACGGTCCTTCTAACTCCGTCCCCTCCCCTCACGGTGGAAGGTAAAAGAAGGACGAAAAGCGACTCTGTCCTCCACTTGTAGAACAGCACAACTGCCTGAAGTTTAGCCAACCAAGGCAGATGAAAACAAGGATTTACTTCTGCAGCAGAGACAGAAAACTCGCCAGGATTTCAATCTCCATAGAAAGTGTATGGTACACATACACTGATTTTGGAGCTGCTCCCATTCTCTGATCGTTTCTGTATGAGCCGTGCTGTTTAGGAGCTCTTTTATTTGTTAGAAAGCCAGTGAGTCAGGAGCTGACCATGTCATGGGACTGTGGTCTCAAGTACATGTTCTCCATGTCCCCTGCTCTGCAGCAGGGCAACAAATGCATCCTGCATGACAAGGAGGAACTGTCCAGACTCGAAATGGTCCAGAAACTAGCAAAGGATGGCTGTCGCTTCCTGCAAAATCATGGCAAGGGACCAGAGGTGACAAGTGAGGTGAGAAACCCAAAAGAGAACCCAACACTCTGGTTTATGCCATTTTAATTGATATTTTTGCTGCCATGTGCCTTTGTTTGTAGTTTATTTAGTTTTATGCCATATGCTCGATAATGTTTCCATTATTTTGCTGTGTTCTCAGTAGATCCATCCAGCAGATGAGACCAAATCTTTTATTTATTTTTTTTTAAACTAACAAAATAGTTTTTAGTCTGCTATAAAAGGGATGCATCTGTACAAGGTAGCAGTAACCCTAACCCTAACCCATAGTTAGGAAACAGCTGACCCTAACGTGTTTGCCATCAGCAGAATTATTAAGAAAATGCACTTTGTTTATTTGTGGCGGTGTCTTCAGATTAAAGGCTGGGAAATCTAAGAGCACACACTCCTCACCAGCCTGTTTATTTTTTAAACATTACATCACTCAGCAGCTAGCATTCTAGGAGCCATGTGATTGGCTAACACGGTGGGCTCAGCTTCTCCCTTCCTGCCAGCTGTATTCACTTGCTGAACTATTAAACAATTGCAGGAAGAGTTGACGTTGCTTGTTGGGCCGTGGTGGCAGAACATTGTGTTCTCAGGGCGGGTTCCCATGCGTCAGATCGCTGACCTTTTCCCCCTAACAAAGCTCAATGTCAACCCTAACCCTAGCCCACCGCCCATTACACGTTAGCAAAAGTCAGTTCTACTTCTGTTTTATTCCAATATACGATTCATGAGTGTGCTGGTGCTACACACACACACACACACACACACATGCACGCACACACACACACACTCACACACACACACACACACACACACACACACACACACACACACACACACGCACGCACGCACGCACGCACGCACACACACACGCACGCACGCACGCACGCACGCACGCACACACACACACACACGCACGCACGAACGCACGCACGCACGCACGCACGCGCACGCACGCACACACACACACACACACACACACACACGTATGCATCCCAGAGATAATCTGATGAGTTGACTGGTGGATGGTTTTGGTCGGATTACTTGACCTTGTTGGTAACATTTGTTGAGCGATATGAGATAATCTTGTGCTTCTTGCTGTAAAGTGACTCCAGGCTGAACGACAAGCTGATATTTTAGGTCACTCATCATGAAAGTGCTTAGAAACCATCCCAACTGGCTTAAAGACACATGCTTACCACACATTAGTCTGTGTGTTTGATGGCGTTTAGTGCAGAGATCACAAGTGTTCTGCAATCTCCTTACAGGAACAGAAAGCTGCTTTGATATTTAAAAATGTTTATTGAAATTAACGTATATTTAAGACGTCACAGTAAAACTTGTTTTGAGTGTTTAAGATTTGGTTTTGGCCACAACACTTCTACTTCTAATGTCTTATTAAAGTCATAAGAAGTTGTTGCATTTTCTATGTTTTATCACAAAAACTAAAGGTAAGCACTTTGACCTGCAAACGGTAATATGTGTGTGAAGTCCTTCCCAGATCCAAGATCCAACTTCATAGACATTTGGAATTGAACTTGTAAGTTTTGATTCGCTCCATCAGTGCCTGCTTCCTGTCCTCTGTCCACGGTGAATAAAGACCAGCAGAACTCCCACCATTCATGAGAAAGTGCTGTATGAGGTTTGTGCATTTGACGTTATGTTGTTCATAACGGGAGACGATGAAGCTCAACAAAACTCAAGAAAAGAAATCTGATGTACAAACACTTTAGTAGTCAGTGCCTTCATGCAGTTCTGTGGAGGTCACACTATCTGCAGTCCATCAGGACTGACATCCTGTAAGAGTGGTCTAGTGGCCAATACCATTTGTGCAAGTCCAGCATGTGAGCAGAAAGTGTCTCTCCAGCCAAAATAACCCAAAGAGAGACACTACAGTTTTGGTGAGGCTTGGATTTACGCAGAACCCTAAATTGTACTCTTGGTTTGACCCCATAGTCATGATGGGAGCTCCTTAAGGTTTGTGAGGGAGCTGTTGGGCTTGGTGCCCTGTCTCATTCCTGACTCAATAGGCCTTGTTGTTTGTTTTCTGTATTATAACCACAAACACTGCATTACCCCAAAAAGCTGAGGCTGGATTTATAAGTCATCGTGAGGACAGGGTGACAGCCATTCTCTCAGACACCCTGGCTTTACTGGGTAATGTGAATATCACACGTCGTCTCTGCCGGGAAAGAATTTCCAAGCTTTCCTCCATCTCTACGACCTTCATCTCAGAACCTTTTTTTCTGCTCGTGTGCACAATCTATTGTAGGATCAGCACGAACAAGTTCATTTGATCTGTTTAAACCAGAAAACGTTAGAATACATCATTTTTTGTTAGAAACATTGGTGCAGGCACAATACTTTATGTGCTCACTTCAGAAGACAAGACTTCTAAAAAACCTCCACCACATTTGTCTCCAGAAAACACAATTATGGTGGAAGCAGACCACCACTGCTTCTGGCCTTTCAGGCCCTGGCTGTCAGCATAATGAGAGATGACTGATGTAATGTATTAGGGTGAGTTAGACTTTTATTGTGAAGGGCACCGGAGGAGGGAGGTCACGTCCTTTGGAAAAATAAAAGGAGCCAAAACGGCATGCTAAAAAGAAAAACTCGGTTCTCATGTCAAGTTATTTTAACAAATAATAAACATTACAATTGATGCTAAGCAGTGGGAGACCAGTGCTTCACACCAGTATCTGATCTGTGTGCTCTATTGTGAAAAATCCTCAAGTTTTGGAAACCATAGTATTGTTTGGGTCCAAAATATAATCCAAAATATGAACTTCAAGTTTTAAATGAGAAGACTTTCTTTTTTACCTTTTCAATAAAAACTTGCCCAAAATTTATATTTCAGTATTAAAGTTCCCAAGAAAGGTATCATTGACGACCTGAAAAAGTGATACTGGGTCAGTAGGCAGATGTTAGGTTGCAGGGCTTCCCGGACTCCCGGACAAGCCCCCACTTTGTGGTAACCTGCTTCATTATTGTCTGCTTTTCCGGGGTTGGGTCGTGGGGGCCGAAGTACTCTCCACAGTGTACTCCGCCCACTGATCCACAATGTCCCATGTCGAGGTCAGCAGCATGCCGTCCCCACTACAAACAGTGTTGGCGGCGCACTGCTTTCCCCTCCTGAGGCGCCGGATGGTGGACCAGAATCTCCTCAAAGCTGTGTGGAAGTCTTGCTCCCTGGTCTCACCAAACTCCTCCCATGCCCGGGTTTTAGCCTCCGAGCCGCATTCCGCTTGGACTGCCGGTACTCATCAGCTGCCTCTGGACTCCCACAGGCCAAAAACACCCAATAGGAAGCTTGATGGCATCCCTACCCGTTGGTGTCCACCAGCGGGTTCGGGGGTTGACAGGCACTGACAACCCTGTGACCATAGCTCTGACAAAGGGTGTGTGTGTGTGTGTGTGTGTGTGTGTGTGTGTGTGTGTGTGTGTGTGTGTGTGTGTGTGTGTGTGTGTGTGAAAACAAGAAGGTGCCGTCCACGGCCTGCTGTCTGCTCTCCCGATTGTTGTTTTTGCTTTTTATTTTCCTGTGTTGCTCTTTGGTGCATAGTAGCTCAAATTTTCACTATGATCACCTCACCCTTCTTGAATTTCGGCATAAACTTGGATTTACCTATCACCGCTGTTCGGATCTAAGACGGTCCTTCGCCCCGCTGTTTACGGCGGTCCCAGCTCTGCTGCTTCGCTCTCCCCGCCCGGCATGGCTACCAAGGAAACGCCGTAGACATGGCAAATGCGGGGGTTCCAAAGTGCGGCTCAGAGCCTCCTCCGGCCGTTCGTGCATGGGATATAAACCTCACCTGTCACCAGAGTTGATGCATGGAGATCATCGGACCTTCCGCATTCCATCGCTCTGTCGAAGATTCTCTGGGGAATCCGGTCGCTGGAATGCCTCAACCACCATCCCGTGGATGCACCGGGGCGTCAACCAAGCTAACCTTTGCTATCCTACGGTGGCCCAAGCGGCCCAGTCACCCCGGTCAGCTGATTCGGGTCTTCCACCGATCTTCAGGGTAGCTCTCCTAAACGCCCGGTCAATTGGGAATAAAACCCTCATTTTAAGGGATTATTTTTTCCAGCATGAGGTGACATTATTCTGCATGAACGAGACCTGGGTTCTTCCTGGTGAGTCAGCTGCTCTGTCAGAGCTCTGTTCTTCGGACTGTCAGGTTCTGAACGAGCCCAGGCTCACTGGTGGTGGTGGTGGATTACTAACCATGTTCAGATCCTCTTTCCATCCTAAAAAACTTACTATACCAGTGACTCCAACCAGCTTTGAGTTTATGGCTTTTGAGGTGGACTTTAGTCCTCCGCTGCTGTTTATTCTCTGCTATCACCCACCTAAGTACAATCCAAACTTTTTATCTGAATTTTCTGATCTTTTAACAGACTTTCTTCCAAAATATGACCGCAGGATTATTCTTGGTGATTTTAATATACATGTTTGCTGCCCTGACAAACCTCTTGTTGGTGGCTTTTTAGAAATTTTAGATTGTTTTGATCTCCAGCAACAGGTCCACTCACCCACCCATTCAGGATCGCACATTTTAGACTTGGTTTTGTCATTTGGGATCTGTATCTCTGATCTGAATGTTGACTCTGCATGTTTCTCTGATCATTCTCCTATTATTTTTAATATCTGTGGCTTGACACCTCCATCCACTAGGAAACATAATCAACACCTTACAAGAATAATTTCCCCTTTCACCACCAGTCTATTAGCATCTAGCCTAGCTGTGACTCTATCCACTTCCCAACCTGATTCCACCTGTGTAGGAGTTGAGGAGCTGCTGACCTCTTTCAACTCTACCTGCTCAGCTGTTTTAAATGCAGTCGCTCCTCTAAAATCCAGGCATAAAACAACTGTGGCAGACCCTTGGCTCAATGACTCGTGCCCTAAGACGCCAATGTAGGGTCTGCGAACGCCGGTGGCGGAAGAACAAGCTGAAAAACTCCTACCAATTATTCAAGGATTCTTTGACCTGCTATCATAAAGCTGTCCGCACAGCTAGAAACAGATATTTTGCAAAAATAATCACTAGGCATAAAAATGACCAGAAGAAACTGTACAGTGTCCTCACCTCTGTACTATCACTTAGAGAATCTCCCAACTCTTCTCCCTCTACAGGGGCTCTTTGCAATGAGTTTCAAAACTTTTTCCTGCATAAAATCCAGGGTATTAGATCTGGTTTCTCTTACTCAGGCTTACTCAGTGGAACCTCACTGTCCACCCTCATTCTCTTGCTTTGCTCATGTGACACTCTCTTCCCTGGTTGATCTAATCTTGGCTATGAAGCCCTCAGGCTCTCCAGAGGACAGCCTTCCTCCAAGACTGCTGCACAATGTCCTTCCAGTGGTGGCCCCTGCTGTTTTGGATATTGTCAATTCCAGCTTCTCCTCTGGTGTGTTTCCAGCTGCTTTTAAAAATGCAGTTGTTCAGCCGCTTTTGAAGAAACCAGGCCTTGACCAGTCTGACTGTGCCAATTATCGCCCAATCTCAAAACTTCCATTCATCTCAAAAGTAGTTGAGAAACTGGCTCTCACGCAGCTCAGTTCTCACCTAGATGACAATGGGATTCTTGACCCATTCCAATCAGGTTTTAGACGTAATTACAGCACAGAGTCTGTACACATTAGGGTACTCAATGACATCTTGATTCTGACTGACTCTGGCTCTCATGTGCTGTTACTCTTAAGCCGGGCGTACACTGTGTGACTTTTTCACTTTTTTGAGCCGATTTTCCAGTCGTGCGAGAAGCCACGACATCGGGGAGAGTTTTGCGCCGAGCGGTCGTGTAGTGTACAGGGGGTTACGAGAGGCGATTAACACCACGTGACCAGCCGCCGATCAGCAGTCGTGAGGTCGCAGGGACTTCTGGTGTGTTTAATATTTCGCTCGTCCCTCATGAGGGTATCGTACTGTTGAAGCGGCGCTGCGAGCAGCTGCGAGCAGCTACGATCCAAAAAGTATCAGAACCGCTCACGGCGCATGCGCGCGCAATCCTGCATCAACGCCGGCCGGTCGCTCGCTATTTCCCTAATAACACACGCTGCTCGTTTTTGTTTCTACACGTTTTTTACTCACAAAGATTGTCAAGAAAGCGTGTTTGTCGTGTTCATGTCAAATTAAACTGATCACAAAACACAGATTCACTTTCTTTATTTCGTTTTCCTCATCCAACCCCCATAAATCCCTGTGTGTCCTCCTGCAGCACTCCCGAAGAACAACAGGCAAGACAAAAAAGTCTGACGTGTTGAGTAAAAACTGCTATTTTTAGCACATTTTTAGGGCCGACGTGTTGCTACCAGACGTACAGTGTGAGCAGTCAGGTCGCATGCGAGAACTGGGTCGTGCAGTGTGAGCACATGACTCGTGAGATCTGCTCTGCGAGGAAGTCGTACAGTTTGAGCTGAAGCTGAACGCTGCGAGTGAAAAAGTCGCACAGTGTACGCCCGGCTTTACTCAACCTGACTGCAGCATTCGACACTGTAGACCTCACCATCCTACTTCACAGACTTGAATTTTGGGTGGGTGTGACCGGTACTGCCCTCGAATGGTTTAAGTCGTACCTTAATGGTCGGTGTTTTAGTGTTCATGTTGGAGACTGCTCTTCTCCCAATGTCCCACTTCCATGGGGAGTACCACAGAGCTCCATCCTGGGTCCTCTCCTCTTTTCAATTTACATACTACCACTTGGTAAGATTTTAGCAAGTCTCGGGGTTAACTACCACTCTTATGCAGATGATTGCCAGATCTACCTTCAAATCAATCAACAGCACTCATTTTCTATAATGTCAGAATGCCTCTCCCAGGTCAGATCCTGGCTTTCTCAAAACTGCCTACGGTTAAATGACAACAAATCAGATGCCATACTTTTTAGCCCCACTAACATGAATGGCGCTTTAGATGCCTCAACTCTCCCACTCAATCTCAGATCATGGGCCACTAGCCTAGGTGTGAAACTGGACTCTGACCTTTCAATGTCTTCACAAGTCAACGCTACTGTCAAGTCCTGCTTTTTCCAACTCTGCCGCATCACTCGTCTTAAGTCAATCCTCATACGCCCCGGATCTTGAGTCAGTCATTCATGCTTTTATTACTTCACGTCTGGATTACGCAAATTCTGTCCTGATTGGGATTAATGCTTCAGCCTTAAGCAAACTGCAGAAGGTTCAAAATGCCGCGGCCAGATTTTTAACCAACACCGACAGACGCATGCACATCACACCCATCCTCGCAGATTTACACTGGCTCCCAGTCAAATTTAGGATTAACTTCAAGGTCCTGTAATATGTTTACAAGGCTTTGTACTGCCCATCCCCATCCTATCTGACGGACCTGCTGACCCCATATGTTTCCACCCGTGCCCTTCGGTCAACAGATAATCTGCTGCTTGTTGTTCCGAAGGCTCGGTACAAATCACGGGGGGAGCGTGCCTTCTCTTACGCAGCCCCAAAACTCTGGAACTCTCTGCCCCTCCGTGTGCGTCTGGCTCCCTCCGTTAGCACTTTCAAGTCGGCCCTGAAAACGCACTTCTTTAGCATTGCCTTCCCTCCGTGACACTTTTCATGACAGTCTAGCACCGGATTTGAGTTTTTAATTCCATTTTTATGATTTAGTGGCACACTTTTGGCACCTCGCACCATCTGGTATTTTATTTCGTTTTATTTGTGCCATTTCAAATGTTTTATTATCCGTCACATAATTTTATTTTTATAGTGCTGTTAACTGTTCTCCTATTTTATTGTTTTTAGTAGGAATTTTTATCTCCGACTATTTATGCTTTGTTCTTATGTATTTTGCCTGTTCTTATTGTGTTTCTTGGTCAAGCATTTGGCTTTTTTATGTACAGCACTTTGGTTAGCTGCCATGCTATTTTGAAATGGTGCTTTATGAATACATATGGTATGGTATGGTATGGTATGGTATGGTATGGTATGGTATGATTGGCCACCTCCACAATGGAGGACTGTAACATGCTCATTCAGACTCAATGTCTGCTGCCTTGCCTGGGACATTTTGGAAGTTCTGTCAGGGGCTGAAGCTCCTTTGACAGGAGATTAACACAAAATAAACTCAGAACATTTGATTTTGCAGACGATGTTGAAAGTCCTGCAGAAAATAAGGCAGAAACATCAGACCAAGCATTCCCAAGAAATATTCTTCTATATTTTACTTCCACATTAGTTAGTGCAGTCATTTTTAGGAAATCTGGACAAGTTTGCATCTGAATTCTATAGAAGCCATCAAAGGCAAGGGAAAACGCTTCTTCTGTTGTGTCATTTTTGTATGTGTGTGTGTGTGTGTGCGCGCGCGTGTGTGTGTGTGTGTGTGTGTGTGTGTGTGTGTGTGTGTGTGTGCGCACGTGTGCATGTGTGTGTGTGTGTGTGTGTGTGTGTGTGTGCACGTGTGCATGTGTGTGTGTGTGTGTGTGTGTGTGTGTGTGTTAATAAATCAAGATTGTGCAGCGAGTGGATTTAAAAAAAAACTTTTGGAGTAATTGCAAGTTGCACCGGCCGTTTAAGAGGTGCAACCCCACGTTTGGTCTTTCATGCCTCCTCTGAAACATGTTTTGGTGCTACTGAGAGGACATGAGAGATGAATCTATAATCTCTGGGGCTTTAACGTGGACTACAAGCCATTGTTAACATGCACAGGATCATCATTTGGCAGCTTGAAAGAGATCCCCTCTTGTTCCCCCAGACAGCACCCATAATTTAATTGGTTCTGTGCATAAATCAGCAATTTAAGTATGTGACTCATTTATGTAAATCCCTGACTGGGCTCCTGCGATAAGGACTAAAAATCATATATGGATACTGCCTTTCATCACTGACAGGGTATTGTGATGGAAATAGGTGGTGATTTGTGTGAATGGGAGGAAAAACACTGAGGAATCTCCTTTGATGACATGATGTCTCCCCCCCCCACCCCCGACTTTTCCTCTCCAGCCACAGAGTGACGAGGCAGTGCGTCTGTGTGTGAGAGAGAGGGGCCATGATGTGCTCGTGTTCCAGAGAGTGTCGTCAGAGCTCACTGCATCTGTGAGGGGAGGAGGGAGGGACGAGGCAAAGAACAGGAGGTAAGCCTTCTCTCCCCCTCCTCCCCTCCCTTTCTGGATTCCCCTCCCTCAGTCTCTCTCTCTCTCTCTCTCTCTCTCTCTCTCTCTCTCTCTCTCTCTCTCTCTCTCTCTCTCTCTCTCTCTCTCCTAGCTCTCCTCCTCTCATCATTTTCTTCCCGTCTCTATCGATCACACACTCACTCAGGCCTCCCCTACATGGCAGCTCCCAAAACAGAAATGACTACCTTACACACAGAGAGTGAAACTGAGGAGCCTTTTTAGATGGTTTTTCTGGAACACATCAGGACCTTTCACTGAGCTCCTGGACGACAGACAGCAGTGGGATACTGTTGGTAGGAGTTGAAGGTGGATAGGATGGATCTGTAGAGCTGTCATGCACTCCTCGAGGACGGGCTCTCATCCACAGCCCCTGAGTGTGCATCAGGAAGAGGGCAGGGTGCTGCTGCATGCTGCCTTGGTGGAACAGGAGGAGGATGAGGAGGACGAGGAGGAGGAGAGCAGCAGCGACAGCGCCAGCCGGGTTGAGCCGGTGACGGTGCCCACCTTTGACGTCCCCTACTTTCGCTACATAGATGATGAGGGAACGGAGGGAGAGGAGGAGTGGAGCAGCAGCCGCTCTCTGTCCTCTATCGGAGGAGACTCTTCTGCTGACTCTGTTGTGTCTGACAGGTACGTGGTGGTGTCAGGGACCCCCGAGAAGATTCTGGAGCACTTGCTGAATGGCTTGACCCTGGAGGATGACCGCGGGACAACGCAGGGGAAAGAATCAGGTCAGCAGCCCCTTTCTCCTACTCTTAAACCTTAATTTGCTCTGTCTTCACCTCCTCTTTGACTTCACCCCTAAATAATGAGTTAGGACACCAACCCCTTGTGGGTAATATCAGTGAGTTAGTCCTGTGCTAGTAAGGATCCAAAGTTTCAGCCTGTCCTGCGAGCCTCCAGCAAAGAGCGACACACTCCAGCCCTACAGCAACAACAAATCACCACATTTCCTCTCATCCCAGCAGGTACATGATCATGTGCCGCTGTTGCCAGGGCCGAGAGACCCTCTGCTGCTGGAGCTGGAGAGGAGTTTCAGTAGGAGATGATGAGTTGTTACTCAGTCAGACCAGGAGCAGAAGTAAGGGAAAAACACGAAGAGGATTAAAAAAGAGCAGATTTTTTTTTTCTTGGAGTGATTATAGATCACATCTCATCAGGATGGTGGCAGGCTAACCACACACACATCCTCGTTGACTCTGTAGGGGAAGTGAATATAACTGATCCTAATTCTCCTTCATGGCTGTGCATTCGTAGATCCAGTAGACAGCGGTGTTTTCTACACGTGCTAAACCAAACGTTTCTATGTGTAAACCAGTGAAAACAAAGCTGTGGTGAACATCTTTCTTTCATTGTAAGAGTGAGAGTCCTCCCCAGTCAAAGAGCTGGAGACACAATGAGTCTGGCATGCATCAGTCTGCATTGCTGCATTAAGAGGGATGGTTCAAGCATGCACATGATTGCTTTTGGGTTTAAATGTAGTTTAATTTGAATTATACTGGACTGCTGTTGTTCAGTCTCAAAAGTGTCACAGTTGTTCGTGCTGATGCCATTTCATAAACCGTACACAGTTCTCTGGCACAAAGACTACAACATCCCACCTGGAAGCACCACAGGTGCCGCTGTAGTGAACACCTGTGAACAACCCAAGTGTGGTCGTGTCAACAGCAGCAATACAACGCTGACAGGAATCTAAAGGCTCACTTTAAATGTTTTAATGGCTGCACTGACTAGCTGTTAGCTTGTCAGTCTGGTTTCTCCTTGCTGAAGCAACAGGTGAGATATTAAACAGACATCCTTTTGTGCAGCCATGTGAGTCTCTATTGCCCCCATAAACACTCCAAACACAAACCCGTCTCCTGTTGGTGTTTCCAGACCCCCCACAGATGACAGGTTTCTGCAGCAGATTACTAACGCTTGTACACATTTCACATCAAACTGGGAATATGTTTTCCCCTCATTATGGTAACACTTGATTTCATCAGCGAACATCATTACACATGCCGAGGAACTTTGTGTCTTCCTGCCGGAGATGGCCCTTCTTCTCAAAGCACCAACGGCATGCTAGTGGCAAAACACTGAGTGTGAAGCCCAGCTGTGTGGATTCCTCATGTGTCTGCGATGCAGTCGCTTCCCTCATCCAGTCTTTAGTACAACTATTGATTCTTGCTCTGCACAGATCCCAGTGCACACTGCCAACTCTGAAAAACATGTAACGTAACGTTGGTTCCTAATGACGAGCTAATTCACTAAAGCACCACATCAAGAGATTATGATGGGTATTTGTAATCTAGAGGGTGAATAAATGATTAAGCCCTGAGAATGCTGAGACAGTGATGATCATGGGTACGGGCGACACAGAAATGCCCGCATGTGAAACGCTGCATTGATCGTTGCTAGAGGACTGGCAGTTTGACTGATTTCACAGTACGCTGAGAAGGGAGGCAGCTGCATCAACTCAGCAATTTCTCCAAAGAGGAAGCCAAACGGGTTCAGGATAAACCTAACCCATCTGTGATTAGATAGCACATCAGTAAAATGTTAGATCCACAGAAAGAAAGGGGTGTTACTGAGGCTCGTTCATGCAGGGGTTCGGATTTCAGCGTATTTTATTTACCTCCAGCTTCTCCGTTGCTTTAAAAAGAAAAGCGAATGCAGCATTGGTGATGAAATTAAATATTTACTTTGGTTTTCTAAGCTTTGATTGCTTGCAAAATGTGCACCCGGTGGGAGCAGTGAAGCTCTAACTCATGAGAAAGTGTTCTAGTTTAGATAGCTGGGAGAGAAGCAGCGAGAGGACGTTTACGGCTGTGCAGCTCACTGCCGCCGTGTTCAAGGTGTGTTCTTGTATTTATGCTGCCTGTGTAGAAGCAAGTGGCCTCCTCCTAATCAGGGAGTGATGTATCCACAGCTGCTCTGAACGGATTAACATAATGATGTCTGGGAGTCTGCTGGACCAGAACGCACACAAAGGCCCGGGGAAGCTGCTGTGAAATGAAAGAGAGGAAGTTATAATTCTGGGAATATGGCAGGCATGCACAGGGGCTGAGTTAGTAAAACGTTACAGATCTGACTTTATTAGATTGTTTTTACATTTAATTACGTCGAGTTTGGAATCTGTTATTTATGCAGCATTTTATTTGTGGTCTTTTATCAAAATTTATTTGATTCACAACGTTTAAAGAAATAATTATTGAATAAACATGGATATATATGTATACATATGTATATATATATATATATATATGTATACATATATATATATATATATATATGTATACATATATATATATATATGTATACATATATATATATATATATATATATATATATATATATATATACACATATATATATATATATATATATATATATATATATATATATATATGTATACATATATATATATATATATATATATATATATATATATATATATATATATATATATATATACACATTTATATGTGTGTGTGTGTGTGTGTGTGTAGTTTGGCCACAACCAATAGACAGAGCTCGGTTGTGGGGCATATCTACGTTTTCATCGCTACTGTAAAAAGTCAATGGGGCAGTCCATCATACTGTCATGGTGGCTGTTGGTTTGGGACCCATATGCAGGTGAGTGAGAGGCAGCAACATACTTAAATCCATTTATTACAGGGACTTGGGAGTGCAGACAGAACAGGAACAGAAACATGTCGACATGAGGAGACATGAGACAAGGACAGCAGCGAACCAACAGCAGACACAGGACCGACAGGGTTCACTGGGAGCAGGTGATCAGGTTAACAAGAGGCAGGTGCAACCGTGCAACTAATTAAACGCTAACAAGGGGAGACGAGAGGCAACCAGGGCTAGGGAGCAGCACGTGACACACACACAGGAAGAAGAAGAAGAAGAAGGCCCAACCCCAATACTCACCCTGCGGTCTTCAGCTAAGTGCACTAGGAGAAAGTGTGCAGTATAGGGTTCGAGTGCGAAGTACACACGTCTGCAAATAACTGCCGAATTGAGACGGGGAGCATTACGTCATCGATCACAACGCATTCCAGGAGGCTGGTCGCTGTGATACTTTTCTCAAAAACCTTTATTAACAACTTTTAAACTAACAACCAAACAAGTTATTTGAAATAAATTTACATTCATTGCTGCTTTGTCTAAAAGTTTTAGAGCATCAACTAATCATCCTAAAGTTAACAAATGTCATTAGAAAATACAGATGTTCAGAAAAGGAACTTGAGCCTTTTCTCCTGCAGCAATGACTTGTGGGTAACACCTTTGCCCGAGGTCCGCATCGCTGCGGACTTGGGTGAAGTGCAGATTAAGGGTGCAATGGGGGCGTGGCCAACTCCTGCACTTGAGAATCGGGACACCCTACGCACTCGCACTCCTGGCTGGAAACGTGCAAATGAAGGGCGCAAGGGTGCCAGTGCGAGTGTTGAGATTGGGCCAAAGAAGAAGAAGAAGAAGAAGAAGAAGAAGAAGAAGAAGATGTATTAATCAAAAAGTCTAAATTGTTTAAAGTTGATGCCAAAGCCGTTTGTAATGATCGCCCTTCCTGTGCCGTCATCATCTTTGTAGTTTTTCCCTTTTGCAGCTTTGGTGCCAAGGCCGTCCAACATCTCCCCACAAACATGGAGCACTGTGATTGGTCCAACTTTAAACTGTTCAGACCAATGTTAGACCTGCTGAGGCTACAACAGAGCGTCGCGACACCGACCTGCAAAGTAAAATGTTTTGCCCAACCTCCTTGCCTGTGTCAAGCCAGGACCTCCCAAAGCCATCTGTAGGCAGACAGAGACATACAGGAACTCTTACAGAGCTGTGATACCATTGGGTGTGTGTTTGGGATTTTATAAACGTAACTGTACACATATATCCTTGGTAACCTCACAGCTACGCAGACAAAATGATGGTGTCCCCTGTATCTCATGTAAGTCAGTGTGAGATCAGGGAGGAAAGGTGTGTTTGAACTCATCTGAGAAAAATGAATCTGAAAAGTCCCGCATCTTTATTCATAGATCGACCAAAAACAGTCGTGTGCCATGAAGACGTCTCACCTATTGTGTGTTCGTCTGAGATTTTCCTCCTAAAGCGATGCTCGACAGTAAAGAACGAGCTCTCCTGCTTGTGGAACATAAGGAACGTAGGCCACATGAATCATGAAAACAGCCCTGCTGTTGAGGTGAAGATCACCAGAAATGAATCACGCAGCTGTTCCTGCCCTTCAGCGTCCTGCAGCTTTAATGAGGCTGTGCCAAATGAAAGTCTTCTCTCCTCTCTAATATCTGTTACCGCTGCCTCATGGATTGCCTCCAAGCAGCCAGTTTCTGGAAATCCTCTCAAATGTCATGAATGAATGTTAATGACTATCTGACTGACTGAATGGATGGTTTTGTGTTATTTTGATGAATGACATTTGTAATGAGTCACTAAGTTGTTTAACTGATGGTGACTTTTTTAGTTTTGAAAGATCACAAAGATTATGAAGGCCGTTCCATAGTTTAACGCCCAAAACGGAGAACTCGTTGCAGTAAGGTGATCGTCTTAGCTTTTAGCTGAAAGATGATGCAGATGATCAACTGAACTGTAGCACTTCATTCAGATCCTCTGATGGATTTTCTTTCCATTCATCATTTTAGATTTTTAAAGCTGAACTTTGAGCAACAACAAGTTCCATCCATAATAAATGATGTGTCTGTTTTTGCAGAAACACTTCTGGATGACTTCCTGCTAACCTACCCAGTGTTCATGTCCACCAGCGACTTATGCCAAGCTCTTCTTGGACAATATCCTTCAGCAGGGGTCTTTTGTGGAACAGTTCACCCGTGATTACACTTCAGGGACTGTGCAGTTGGAGAGAGATGCTTGAAGAACATCTGCCTAACTCGACGCTGATTTTCAATCATGCTTTTTTCAAACCAACATGTAATCCTTAGCAAAACCTCACCTACTGCACCAAGCGACACAGAGGCAAGGACGGTGCACAGGAAGCTCTGGGAAGGAAACAGAAAGTTCTGCACCTGGTGTCGCAGTGGACGTCTCTCTGTAGAGACTTCCTGCGAGAGGACGAGAACGTCAAAGTTTTCCTGAAGGTAGGAAACAGCGTGTGTGGAGAGAGGGGGAACCTGTGCAAGAGGTGAATTGGCTGAAATCGTTTGTTTCCAGGCGTTGTATCGATGCGTGTACAAAGATCTATATGAGCACCCGACCCTGGAGAAGGAGGTGCAGGAGCTGCAGAAACTCTACCAGCTGCATCGCAGACAGTAAGAAAACCACGTCACTGCTTTGTTTCTTCTTCCAGTAAACATGTGCAAGGAAATTCAAAATGCACCGTTCACTTAAACGATGTTTGAGTGTGTGCAACATCCAGTAGGAACGAAGGCCACTGGAGTCCAGACAAAAACGTCTACGTACAAAGAAAGACTTCTGCTCTGCGGGCATCTTTTAAAAAAAGTTTCATCAATGAATTCACTCATGAAATGAAAAGTAATTGCTGTGCTCTGGGGTGTTTAGCCCAAAAACACCAAGATCACTGAGCTCTTTGCCTTGGATTTACACGAAATGCAGGAATTTAGAGCAATAATGACAAGCTGTCAGAAGCGTTTATCACATCACACCAGAAAAGGAAATTCCATAAATGGGGAGCAGGGAGCACGCAGAAACTTCCCTTGGCTGTGGAGCCAGGATGTGGTGCAAAAGCATGAACAAGTCTAGCCAGAGGTGCCGAGTCTCTGTGCACTGGTCACTTTTTAAAAGGAATGAACAATAAGTGATTTTTCCCCATTTTTATCCTTAATTGATTTATTTTATCTAGTCCGAAAATCACAGCCATCATTAACAAAACCTCAGAGCAGACAGATTATATTCTGATTCTAGCTCCTTTTCCTGTGATTGAGTCCTCACATCATCTGTTGTCAGTCCGGTACAAGGGATCGCCAGCTCCATTAGTCCCAGTTTCATTAATCCCAGCTTCATTAATCCCAGTATACCTTCAATATTTCATACCTGTAGTACAATGTTAGGTAGAATAAAATACAATACAATTGTTTGTTTGTGTGTGTGTGTGTGTGTGTGTGTGTGTGTGTGTGTGTGTGTGTGTGTGTGTGTGTGTGTGTGTAGGGGGTGTGTACACATGTTCTTAACCTGAGCAAAAATAACTCAAAATGAAAACAAATTAGAGCAAGTTTTGTTACGTTGTCCCAGTACTGTTTAGGTTTAGGATAAAGGGGCGTGTCACCACAATAGGCTACCATGTTGACCCCCCCCCCCCCCCCCCCCCCCCCCCCCACACACACACACACACACACTTAAAAACTGCAGGGATTATTCCGTCTGGGTCTGCAGCTGATGTCAGCATCTCCCTCTCTGATGTCTACATGCAGGGGTGGGCACCAACCGGGGGGGGGGGTGTCGTTGACCGGCACGCTGCTGTATTTATGAGCTTTTCACAATCAACCCATCTCAGAGGAGGACAAGGCTGCTGCTCTGCTTCTGAGTGAAAAGGTGTAATTTCTTCATAGAGCGAAGCCTCCTGTCGGCTCCCGCCTGGCCTCTTTCTGCACATCCAACCTCCAATCATACATTCCTGGGAGCTCAGAGGAGAACACATCTCTGTTTGTTTTAGGGTGAGGTTATGGCTCTCTGAGCTCATTTCTAAATCCGCTGTGATTCCACTCTTCTTGGAGCGCGTTAGATGACACGGGCTGATTGGACGTGACAGAAGGAATCGGGCTTTTCATTAGTGGGAGGCTGCTGCTGGCCTCTGAGATGGGATCCCTCAGGGCGGGCTTTGTGCCAACACGTCTATTGTGCTGCAGAGCCCAGTAAAAGCTGAGAGATGATAACAGGAACATGCATCACGGACACACCAACAGGAATGGAGCGGTTAAATGAAGGGATCACCCTGGAATGTCTCAAATCTACTCAGCACCAAGGCTCATTGATGCTGAGCTGCCATATTGGACTGAATTAAGCAGGAGGGTGTGTTTAGTGTAAATACATTCCTGTTCCACTGGTTACAGAGTGAGCTGGAGGTTAAAATGTGATCATTTAATCTTTCTGTGCATGAAAGCTTGTGGTGTACCTCACCGTTCCATTTCTCTTTTCCAGTGCAGCGGACGACGAGTCGCCTCACAGAAACGTAAGCCAGAAGATCTTTTCATACAGGATTACAAAAATGAATAATTACCTGATTATCAATTGAACAAAAGGAATTACATACACTGAATAACCCTACTATGCAACTAACAGGCCATTATTTACCAGATTTTTGCTAATAGCCTTTTAATTGAACCATTTCCCCAGATGAAAGGTCATGTGTGTGTTTGAGACTCAGCTGTATGAGATCTTTATGTTTGCTGAACAAAGCTCAGTACAATTATAATTAGGTAATCAACACACTGATTGCTTTTGTTGATAAATATTATTTATAGGGAATGAAGTCTTTCATCTGCATTCAGAACAGTTCTTTAATAAACAGTTTAAAGGTGCATTATGTAGAAATGAAGTAAAAATGACATCCGGTGGTAAAAGTTGGTCACTGCAACCACTTTAAGCAACTGGAGCTTTCGGCTGGATGTCATCACGTTACAGTTGTCGGCGCTGCAGTATTAGCTCTCAGGAGACCCCCCACCCCCACCCCACCCCCCCGAGAAAAACTGACATTAGACTCTTTGGGGATTTTCTCACTGTAACATTCTCGCTATATTCTTACATAATGCACCTTTAATAATAATGCTTGTTGTGTAACTTAGTTTCATGACACTGTTTAATTTGTGAAACCTCTGTTAGCCGAGGTCACTTCCCGCCAAAGTCATTGTTCTCTGATGAAAATGTGACTTTAATTCACAAATTTTCCTTTTTTAGAGCAAAACCCTTTTCCACCAGCTGAGTTTAAAGGAGAGCAGGCTGAGGTCCAGAAGCCCGCAGAGGAGGGCCAAGGAGGGTACGTCACACGACACGGCGCTTCCTCCCGGCGTGCGTTATTTCCAAATAAAGGAGGCGTGAGGTCTGGGCTGAAGAACAATAGGTGGGCTTTTTCCAGGGATTGAATCAGATTTTTGGGAAGGCAGGTTCCTGATTCACCGAGTGACCTGAGAAAATATGAGACCAGCTGTTAACGTCAAAGCTAGAGAAATGAATGAGGCTTTGTGGGTCTACTGCAGTGCATTTCACCAACTTACCACAAACACCAGTAAAAACCAACTTTTCTTTCCCTGACAGTTCTGTGTCGAGTGTACGTCACCGTGGACTCGTACCTGAGCGTGAAGATCAGCGGGGGGGCAGCAGCTCAGGAGCTGCTCCAAGCGGTGGCCGAGAGGATAGGCGTTCCTCAGGCAGAGCTGATGCTTGTGGCCATTACGTTTCCAGGAGGTAAAAATCTTTCTAAATTATCTGACACAGCAGGTTCATGCTGCCTAACGTCCCTACGGTAACTCGACCTACAGCGCTTACACGTCCACAAACAAAGTGACCTTCTAGAAAACACACCCCAGTTTTAAAATAAATTCTATTTCATTCGATTGTTGAGGTCAGACCCAACAGACCTAAATGTTTCTGAGTTCGGAGGGAAAGTGTCAGTTCAGATCTGTTATTGGAGCCGAGCGGTCTGATGTCCCATAGCGGCTCACCTGACAGGTTTTCTGCTGTTGGTGATGTTTTCCCATCTGCAGGTAGACTCCTCCTGCAGCCTCAGGACAGAGTCTTCTCCTCGTCGCTACGCTCTGTAGGGAGGCTCCACGTCTGCAGGAGGGACCTTGGTGAAGTCCTGGTAGGATGCTTCATTAGCTTCACATGTAAATAACTGGGCAGGGTTACCTGGAGCATATCTAGAAACTTATAAAGACACAAACATACAGAAAACCTGCCAAAGTTGAATGATCCTGATCTAGATGTGTATGAGAAGAAACGGTTACAGAAGTAACAACATGACTCATTCAGTTTGTTTGTTTTTGCTAGAGGAAAAAACAATATTAAAAAAATGACCCAAAGGATCTCAAAAGACAAAGTGAGACATGCACATCATCAAGATGTAGAAACAGAATGAACTGATGAATGGGACATGCCACAGCTGCAGGACAAGCATTTGGACCACAGACTAAGATGAATGACACACGTATCGGCCAGGTTGCTTCGACTACGACTTTTTTAAACCTATTTTTGTGTCACACTCTGTAAATTATTCAGCCAACTTGACTCTGGCGTCTTTCAGTAAAAAATACCTTCTGAGCCATTCAATGAGATTTGAATTAGATGAAGACGTTTTTCTTGAGTGAGTTGCAAAGCTTATCAAAAGTATCCTATAAATATGTACACACTGGCCACTTTATTGGGTACACCTTGCTAGTACCGGGTTGGATCCCCTTTTACCTTCAGAACTTAATCCTTCGTGGAGTAGACTCCACAAGGTACTGGAAACATTCCTCAAGAGATTTTGGTCCATATTCACATGATAGCATCAGCAGTTGCTGCAGATTTTACATCTTCACATCCATGATGTGAATCTCCCGTTCTACCGGATCCCAAAGCTGCTCTATTGGACTGAGATGTGGTGACTGTGGAGGCCATTTGAGCACAGTGAACACTGCCATGGCCTGTCGATGGCCCATCGAATGCGAATCAAGGTACAAAAGGGGCATGATCAACTTCCGCACTTGAGAATCGGGGCACTCTACGCACTCGCACCCCTGGTCGGGATCGCGCAATTGAAGGGCGCAGGGGTGGAAGTGCGAGTATTGAGATTGGGCCCATGGTGAAGAAGCCAGTCTGAGATGATTTGAGCTTTATGACACGGTGCACTTTCCTGCTGGAAGTAGCCATCAGAAGATGAGTACACCGTGGTCATAAAGGGATGGACATGGTCAGCAACAATACTCAGGTAGGCGTTACAAAGATGATCAATTAGTACTAAGGGGCTCAAAGTGTGCCAAGAAGATGTCCCCCACACCATTACACCACCAGCAGCAGCCTGAACTGTTGATACAAGGCAGGATGGATCCATGCTTTCATGTTGTTGATGCCAAATTCTGACCTAACATCCAAATGTCGCAGCAGAAATCAAGACTCATCAGGCCAGGCAACATTTTTCCAATTTCATATTGTCCAGTTTGGTGAGCCTGTGTGAATTGTGGCCTCAGTTTCCTGTTCTTAGCTGACAGGAGTGGCACCGGGTGTGGTCTTCTGCTGCTGTAGCCCGTCTGCTCAAGGTTAGATGTGTTGTGCTTTCACATGTGCTCTTCTGCAAACCTTAGTTGTAACGAGTGGTTATTTGAGTTACTGTTGCCTTTCTATCAGCTCAAACCAGTCTGGCCATTCTTCTCTGACCTCTGGCATCAACAAGGCACTTTCACCCACAGAACTGCCGCTCACTGGATGTTTCCCTTTTTCAGACCGTTCTCTGTAACCTAGAGATGGTTGTGCGTGACAATCCCAGAAGATCAGCAGCTTCTGAAATGATAAATGATAAATGACCCGCACTTGTATAGCACCTCTCAGAGTAAGAACTCCAAAGTGCTTTACACTACAGTGTATCATTCATCCATTCACACATACATTCATACACTGGTGGGGATGAGAGGCGAAATGCTCAGACCAGCCCGTCAACAACAACGCCACGTTCAAAGTCACATAAATCACCTTTCTTCCTCGTTCTGAAGCTCGGTGTCAACTGCAGCGGATCATCTCGACTATGTCAGCATGCCTAAATGCAGTAGCCACCATGTGATTGGCTGATCAGTTATTTGTGTTAATGAGCAGTTGGACAGGTGTACCCAATAAAGTGGCCAATGACCGTGTATTGTGTGGGAATCTATACATCTGCTTTTGGATCATGATCTCCAAATTGAAAAGTTTATACAAACAATATACAAACAACAACAACGAGCCAGATTTGTTTGTTTTTCCTTTGAGCAGAACCTGTTTACAGACAACTCAGAGCTGGAGCAGAGGACAGCTCACCTGCTGAGTTTAAACACCTGGGATGTGGCTGTTGCCCTCACCAGCTTCGACTGGACCATATTTACCTCGATGCATGAGGTCCGAGTTATTTTGAACCCTTGAGCACAAACACACACCTCTGTAATCGCTACACAAGAACGTTGTGCTCCCTCTGACTTCGGCTGTGTGCGGTTTGATTTTGCAGCAGGAGCTGGTGTACTTCACCTTCACCCGTCATGTTTGCAGCAACCAGAACACTGCACTGGAGCTGCTGCTGCAGCGCTGCAACGAGGTGCAGCTGTGGGTGATGACCGAGGTGCTGCTGTGCTCAACGCTCTGCAAAAGGGTCCAGCTCATCAAGAAGTTCATCAAGATAGCTGCTCAGTCAGTAGCTTCATTTTCCTCCCACTCTCACATCACAGTGGTGGAGCTCATGGGCTGATTTTGCATGAGGATGCTGCTCCCTCTAGTGGCAAAACTGTAAAATGCATTTTCTCCAATCATCTCTTGCAGCTGCAAAGCACAGAAGAACCTCAACAGCTTCTTCGCCATCATTATGGGCCTGAACGCTGCAGCTGTCAGCCGCCTCAGTCAGACGTGGGAGGTTGGACATGTTTTTGGTTTTTCCTTGCAAGAATTAATTTCCTGTCATGTCCCTTTTACTTCAGCAAGTATCTGACTTTTCCTGCAGAAAATTCCTGGAAAGTTTAAAAGGCTGTTTTCAGAGCTGGAGACAGTCACGGTAAGAGCAGCATCACTGAAACTCGATTGTGTTCCTGCAACAGGGAATTTAAACACCTACACAAACGTCAAGGGTCCATCTGATCATTAACCTCTAACTGACTGGTAGCAAAGCTTGCATGCACAGACACACTCCTCCATCTCAGGAGGATCACACTCATTCTGGACATTTCTTCCCAGGATCCTTCACTGAACCACAAGGCCTACAGGGACTCCTTCAAGAAGATGAAGGCGCCAAAGATTCCCTTTCTCCCTTTGCTGCTGAAAGGTGTGATCACTACTTCCGCAGCTTCATTTATCCAACACTGAAACATCGGGTGAACTAAACTATGACTTGTGCCTGTTGTAGACATCACATTCATCCACGAAGGCAACAGGACGTTTCACGATAACCTGGTTAATTTTGAGAAGCTGGTGAGTTTTTTTCACTTGTTGATTTTGAGCAGACGCATGAGGAGGCGTCAAACAACACTCATTTACTCTGTCTCCATCTCTCTCTCACCTCCAGCACATGATAGCAGACATGGCGCGGCTCATCCGGCAGTGTCAGGCAGATCCCGTGGGTCAGTATTTGGACATCCCCTGACTGCTCTAATGCTGTTTATCACAAAATAGTTCTGTGTGAGATTTCTGAACGAAAAAAGAAAAATCTCCCTGACCATCAAGCTTTAATTAGCTGAAATCAGCAAAAAAGGTTCCATGGTTGTTTTCAACTTAGAGGGAAGTACAGATTCTGTTGTATTTAAATATCACACACACACACACACACACACACACACACACACACACACACACACACACACACACACACACACACACACACACACACACACACACACACACACACACACACACACACACACACACACACACACACACACACACACACACACACACACACACACACACACACACACACACACACACACACACACACACACACACACACACACACACACACACAACCCTAACCAGAACCAATGCTGATCTATTCCTAACCCTAACCTTAACTAAAACTTAATTCACACCAGACCTCTAACTGGTACAGTAAGCTTCTGGTATGCTTCTAAAAAAAAGTGAGGACCAAAAAAATGTCCTCACTTTGTAGAGAAAATGGTCAAAATGTTCCTCAGTATGTGGTATTGTTAAGTTCCTCTGTTAGGTGACACAATCCCCACTTAACAGGGATCATCTACTGGAGAAATATACGCAGGATTCCACTCAGGACTTCATGGCTTCACTTTTCATTTTCCTTTATTCCACTTCCATTTCATATTATCCAAGATGGAAATAAGGGATGACGAAGCACGAAGCAAGGCAAAGCCTACGAGCAGGTGAAAAACCTTAAACAAAAAAACAGTGTGTGTGCTAAGAAACAGTGTAAATTGTGTAACATTTCATTATAAACTGCCATTCATAAAATGTGTGATTTCAACGTGATATTCATTTTTAAATGTTAGCACGAAAAAAAATATATATCATTAATTCATTCGGATATATCATTAATTCATTCGGACCCAAACTCACTTAAATTCATCACTTCAGTTATTTGTTTCACTCTTACATAACAACATTAATAATGAGCAATCAAACATCAAACTGATTTCTAAACACCCGACACAAACATTTATGATGCGCACCGGTGTCCACAGCGTCAGCTCCGAGCTGCGCTCAACAATCACACATCAGCTGATCGGCACGCACACACGCGTTACAAATCTGCGTCTTACCGGCTGCCTTTCCAGTCTTTAGATGAGTGTCATTTACCGCTCCGGAGGATCACCACGTTGGTGCTTCCTCTAGGAACTTTCACAAACAGTTTTCCCTCCTGACATGTCCTACATAAAACATTTCAGGCAGGAAATGCGCGGTGACGTTCTGAGACGTGGAGCGACGCGCGCACTGACCTTAATTAGTTCCAGCTGTTTCATCTACCACCTACCCCGTGTGTCTTATTTATTTTCTTTATTTTTACATATTTTTTTCCATTCTTTTTTATATTTTTATTTTAGTTTTTATTTCAATCTAAATATGCTGTATGATCATGATTTTGACCGCACAGGTATGTACACACACACACACACACACACACACACACACACACACACACACACACACACACACACACACACTCACTCACTCACTCACTCACTCACTCACTCACTCACTCACTCACTCACTCACTCACTCACTCACTCACTCACTCTTTCTTGTTTGTGTGGACCTCCATTGACTTCCATTCATTTTAGTGACTCCACTATGCCTAACCCTAACTAAAACTAAAAGATAATTCACTCCATCAATTTCCTCTGCTTATCTGGAGTCAGGTTGTGAAGCAGCAGCCTAAGCCAAGAGGCCCAGACTTCCCTCTCCCCAGCCACCTGGGCCAGCTCCTCCAGGGGAATCCCAAAGCGTTCCCTGGCCAGGTGAGAGACATAGTCCCACCAGCGTTTCCTGGGTCTTCCTTTAGGTCTCCTCCCAGTTGGACGTACCCAGAAAACCTCACCAGAGAGGCGTTCAGGAGGCATCCCAACTAAGCTCGAGCCACCTAAACTGGCTCCTCTCGACGGGGAGGAGCAGCAATTCTACTCTGAGCCCCTCCCTCATGACAGAGCTTCTCACCCTATCTCAAAAGGAGAGCCCAGCCACCCTAAAGAAAACTCATGTTGGCTGCAATCTCGTTCTTTCGGTCACTACTCAAAGCTCGTGACCATAGGTGAGGGTGGGAACGTAGATCTACCGGTAAATCAAGAGCTTCGCCTTCTGGCTCAGCTCTCTTTTTACCATGGCAGATCGGTACAACGCCCGCATCGCTGCAGATGCAGCACCAACCCGCTTGTCGATCTCACGCTCCAGTTTTTCCTCACTCATGAACAAGACCTCGAGATACTTAAACTCCTCCACTTGAGGCAGGACCTCATCCCTGACCCGGAGAAGGCATTCTACCCTTTTCCGAGTCAAGACCATGGTCTCAGATTTAACTCCTCATCATATCTCTAAAAACAAGTTTAGCATTTTGTTCATTACCTTTATGGACAGAATAGGCGCAGCCGTGGTGTGGAGTGTGTCGAGTTTGGTGGCAGGAGAATCTCGTCTCTGCTTTTTGCGGATGATGTGGTCCTCCTAGCTTCATCCAGCTCTGACCTTCAGCTCTTGCTGGGTAGGTTCGCGGCCGAATGTGAAGCGGCTGGGATGAGGATCAGCACCTCCAAATCTGAGACCATGGTTCTCGACCGGAAAAGGGTGGCTTGCCACCTCCGGGTCGGGGGAGAGGTCCTACCTCAAGTGGAGGAGTTTAAGTATCTCGGGGTCTTGTTCACGAGTGAGGGTAGGAGGGATCGGGAGATCGACAGGCGGATTGGTTCGGCGTCTGCAGTGATGCGGACGCTGAGCCGATCTGTCGTGGTGAAGAGGGAGCTGAGCCAGAAAGCCAGGCTCTCGATTTACCGGTCGATCTACGACCCAATCCTCACCTATGGTCATGAGCTTTGGGTAATGACCGAAAGAACAAGATCGCGGATACAAGCGGCCCAAATGAGTTTCCTCCGTAGGGTGGCCGGGCTCAGCCTTAGAGATAGGGTGAGGAGCTCGGACATTCTGGAGGGACTCGGAGTAGAACCGCTGCTCCTCCGGATCGAAAGGAGTCAGTTGAGGTTGTTTGGGCATCTGGTCTGGATGCCTCCTGGACGCCTCCCTGGGGAGGTGTTTCGGGCATGTCCTGCTGGCAGGAGGCCCCCGGGTCGACCCAGGACACGTTGGAGAGGTTACATCTCCAATCTGCTCCGGGAACGCCTTGAGGTCCTGCCGGAGGAGCTGGTGGAGAAGGCCGGGGAGAGGACGGTCTGGAGCGCCCTAATTGGGATGCTGCCCCCGCGAAGCGGAGGAAGACGACGAGCATTGGAACTGTCCACACGTTACAGGTTAAAGTTAAAATTTGTCCACTTAAACACATAAAGACAAGTACACACACACACACACACACACACACACACACACTATGAACCTTTAATAACTTAATGATGCATCATCATTTATCTGAACCTATTTATTTCCTACTTTCCTCGTGTTACAGAGTAGAAAGTGGAAACTGTCTTGGGCAACAGGGTTAGGGTTAAATGTGTGCCAGAGTTTAACATCTGGATCTTTTGCTTTTGTTTCAGGAAACGGAATCACCCAGAAAAGCAGCTCAGAAGTTCAAGCCTACGTCGATAACCTTCATGTCATTGACAATCAGCAGACTCTGTTTGAGCTGTCACACAGAACGGAGCCTCGCGCTTAGACAAAAGCTGTTTCTTCTGTTCTTCCCTCTGTCAAATTGCCAAGGATCAACCCATCACCGTCTCGTCTCGTCTCGTTATCGCTCAGGACTCAGACAGCAATCACAGGAAAGGAACCCGATCCTGGCTGAACACAGGATGGGGCCCCTGAATCACAACGCTGTCGCTGTAGTAACATAAACAAGCACATTTTAGGAAAGCTTCAGAAAGTGTTTGCATAGATCCTCAATCGTGACTGATCACAGCCATCCAACAGCAGCCCTGCAGAGCCAGAACGTTCAACCACAACAACAGCAGAAGGCTCGAGCTTCTAGTTTATCAATCCAGCCGAACTAGAAGCTGATGCTGCTGTCTGGCTTCTGTCCTGCAGAGGGCAGAGGTTTGCTGTGATGGAGCTGATCTGCAGCGAACAGCTTCCCTTTGTGGGGAATGAACACCCTGCCTCAGATTACAGCTGGCACAGTCCTCCTGGAGCACTGATGCTGAACCTGGGTACATCGAGAGGTGTAGACGGGTTTCATGGAGGGTCTTCTAACATAGACACTGTTCAAATGGCCGCAGCAGTAGTTTTATTAGATTTAGCCAAAGAGTATTACACACACACACACACACACACACACACACACACACACACACACACACACACACACACACACACACACACACACACACACACACACACACACACACACACACACACACCTCTTTCTGGTTAACAATTAATCTTTACAGATGCAGCATTTTAGATGGGGCTCTGAACACGAGTCAGGAGCCGGCAGCGTGTGTGGTTTACTGTGACTCAGTGTGAGCGTAATAGCTGCAGACAAATAAATCCAGTAATGAAAACAGGAACTGCTCATGGTTTTTAAAACTTCCACAAAAGAAACTTCTAGACAATCAGATAAATAAATCAGGATTTGGCTTTAACTTTTAGCTGAGTGGTGAATAAATGAATCTAAGCAGCAAAAAAAAAAAAAAAACATTAAAAAACCCTTTAGGACAACATTTCTCTGAGAATAAAAAGCAGCTAAAAATAGAACTGTAGAAAAGTGTTTGCTTGGTCAAGTTAAATAAGAGAAGTAAATTAAAGGTTGAGTCCTGGTTTAGCAGCATCACCTTTAATGCTGTCGGCTTAAGAACGAATGTTAGATTATATTTATATAGCACAGGCCTCCTGGATAAGGTTATTAATTATTTCAGAATGTTTATTTGTATTATAAATGCTATTTAATATATTTCCGTTAACTGACGTTTGTATGGACAACGGTGGCCGGTCTGAGCTACCACCACGGTCATCTGAGCATGCTTCTTCATTTTTACGGGCCTCCTAACATAAACTGGGTTAAACTACGGAGTAAGGAGGACGCTCAAGCCTCGAGGCCGTGTTCGTTTGATAAAATGTGTAAATGAGGACTTTAAATTGTGAATATGTTCTTAAATAAAGTTGTGAACAAAGAAAGTTCGGCTTCAGTTTTACGTTTAAAGTCATAATAAAACAACACGATCTTCACCAGGTGGAAGCACTTTTCTAATCCTTTTTCTAAAATGAACTCAAAAGGCCAAAACTATTTGGGAGCAAACTGTGGCCACCCTTGCTGCTGATTTAAGAGGGAAAGCAACAGCCAATCAGACGAGTCGATTACCTGATCAGCATCAGTGTGATCATCAGGAGTTAGCTGGTGTGGAGCATACAAGTGTGTGTTAGCTACTGCGTCTCACTTTTTTAAATGTGTATATTCTTTTGCCCCCCCCCCCCCCCCCCCCCCCCCAGTTTGTTCCTTTGGTTCTGGGGGCGGAGCTGTGACCCAGATGCCCTCTCCGACTTAAACCAGGTGTCCCGTTCGGCCTTTAACATGACGTATCTAGTGGCACGACCCCTGCTGAGCTGGGCCTGTGCACCCTGCCATTTCCTCCCTAACAGCACCGCTACTGTATCATTTCCCTGTCACCAAATGAGTGGCTAGCTGCTGCGGCGGGCTAATGAGAGGAAGGGAAGGCAGATGAGGAGAATCTGCAGGAAGGCCACATCAACCCCCCCGGCAGTACAATACACAGAATCAATCTCCCATCCTCCAGTTGTCTGTCTGCAACCACTGAGGCTGCAGGGAGGAATTCAGAGCAACACAGCCGTTATTAGTGTTAAACATAACCTTATTTCATTTGATCTCCTCCACCTTCCCAAAGAACACCAGTGGGATTCAGCCGCTATCATTTACATATCCCCATGTCAATAAAATGGCCTTGTTCAGAAGGAACGACACACAGATGGAGAAGTTCACACAGTTTTATTAAAAGTACTAAATGAATCACCAGTTTTCCTCGCAGTTCTCTAATCTTTTGTTTCTTTTTCATGCTAAATGATTCGCGGCTGATAAAAGACACAATTCTCTTCATCTGAACATCTTCCCACTTTTCAATTAACCTCAAACTGCATAAAAAAGATAACATTTTAGATAAAACGGCTTTCCCTACATTCATTCTGAGTTAAAGGTTCCATGTGCTACAGATGAAGGTAATCAGATGCTAACAGACAGAGAAGACCGATAAAGGATGGATAATCTAATGTGTTGCTTTCTCATACAAAGCTATCAGTGTGTTTGAATGGCTTTCTCCAACAGGCCCGGCTGAATGAATTACACTAGTCTGTTAGTATTCTGCCTCTGCCGTACAAAAGGTCAATGTCAAATGCACCTCATTTAAAAGTCAATAGCAAGCATGCACATCATCTCCTGGGAATTTGGTCCCAGGAACCTCCAGACAGCATTGTGTATCATTCAGTGTGCAGAGGGCAGCAGGAGAGCTTTTTTAATCTTGACCTTCCAATAAAATATGCTCCCTATCCAAAATTACATGGTCTTAAATGGAGACATAGGCTCCCAACAAATCATAGGCTGGAGGGGACTCACAACAGCGCCGGACGCAGACACAACAGGTCTGACTGATATCTATACTAACGTATCTGCACCACTTCTGGATATTTAATCATGCTAATGTGGAATTTAACTAAGAAACATTCATTATAGTTCATATAGTTATAGTGTTACATAATCTACTGGAACGGCGGGATGGGAACGTTTAGGCAGCCTTGTTAATCTTCATGGATTTCCTGTATAAATCGTTGGTTGTTACGATAAAATGTTTCTGTTAAATTTATCATATAGAAGACACACGGTGATGTCTGAGAACAGAAATCACATTTATAGGATTTACAGAAAGTCCAGAAAGTTATTTAAACAAAATTAGGCAGGCGCATAAATGTGGGCATCATTTTATTGATTCCAAAATCTTTAGAACTAATTATTGGAATTCAAATTTGGTTTGGTAAGCTCAGTGACCCTTGACCTCCACAAACAGGTAAATCCAGTTATGAGAAAGAGTATTTAAGGGGGTCAGTTGTAAGTTTCCCTCCTCTTTGAATATTCTCTGAAGAGTAGCAACATGGAGGTCTCTAAACAACTAATGACCTGAAAACTAAGATGGTTCACCATCATGGTTTAGAGGAAGGAGACAGGAAGCTGTCTCAGAGGTTTCAGCTGTCTGTTTCCACAGTTAGGAACATGCTGAGGAAATGGAAGACCACGGTTCAAGTGAAGGCTCGAAGTGGCAGAACAAGAAACATCTCTGGTAAACAGAGGTGAAGAATGGTGAGAATAGTCAGAGTCAACCCACAGAGCAGCACCAGAGACCTACAACATCATCTTGCTGCAGATGGAGTCACTGGGCATCGTTCAACTATTCAGCGCACTTTACACAAGGAGATGCTGCATGTGAGAGTGATGCAGAGGAAGCCTTTTCTCCACCCACAGCACAACCAGAGCAGCTTGAGGTTTGCTAAAGCACATCTGGACAAGCCAGCTTCATTTTGGAATCAGGTGCTGAGAACTAATTAAACTAAAATTGGGTTATTTGGGCATAACAAGGGTCGTTATGCATGGAGGAAACAGAACACAGAACTCCAAGGAAAACACCTGCTACCTACAGTAAAGCATGGTGGTGGTTCCATCATGCTGTGGGCTGTGTGGTCAGAGCAGGGAATGGGAATATTGTTAAAGTTGAGGAACACATGGATTCAACCCAATATCAGCAGATTCTGGAGACCAATGTCCAGGAATCAGTGACAAAGCTGAAGCTGCACCGTGGCTAGATCTTTAAACAAGACAACGACCCTAAACACTGTTCAGTATCTACTAAGGCATTCATGCAGGGGAACAAGTACAACGTTCTGGAATGGCCCTCTCAGTCCCCAGACCTGAATATTATTGACAATCTGTGGTGTGAGTTAAAGAGAGCTGATGGAAGCCATCCAACCTGAATGAACTAGAGATGTTTTGTGAAGAAGAATAGTCCAGAATACCTTCACCCAGAATCCAGACTCTCACTGGAAGCTCTAGGAAGTGTTTAGAGGCTGCTGTTTCAGCAAAAGGAGGTTCTACTAAATAATGAGTTATTTATTTTTTAAGGTAACCAAATTTATGCACCTGTCTAATTTTGTTTTAACAATTGAGATTCAATTGAGTTGAAATGACGACGGGAGTCGGCTCAAGGCACTTCGCAAAGACAAGCATTATTGCACATTTTCTGTAAATCCTATAAACTCGGTTTCTCTTCTGTGCGTGTCTCCTATGTGATATATGTAACTGAATGTTTTTATCTTAACAACTAACGGTTTATAAAGGAAAATCCTGAAGATTAGCAAGGCTGCTCAAATGTTCGCGTTCCCGCTGTAAGAGTGGATTTCCAACAACATTCTCAACATAAAAAACGAGCCACAGCACCATCCTGACTGTCACACCGACAGGAGCAACGCTACTCCTGCCAGAACCCACTTGGCTGGGGGTTGTTTGGTTCGGAGGTGGAAAGCTGACACGTATGTGGACCCGCGCTGCTTGGTTCGGTACACCGGGCACTTGTACGTGTTCTTCAGCTCTTGTTCTTCTGCAGGAACAGCTCTGACATACAGCACTGGCATGGCCGGGGTCAGATCTCTCAAGACGGCTTCAGTGATGACGGCAGACTGAACGTCCCAACGTGCTCCTGAGAAGACACGTGTTACATCTGGGAACATCTCTTGAGCAGGCACCTGCTAGCTAATCAAATTCTGACCTTCCATGAAGAGTCCATGGATGTAGGCGCCCTCTCTCGGAGGATGGCCAAAGTCATCTTTCATTTTCTTGGTGACATCCACAGTCAGAGTCATCTTGTCCAGGGGCCACTGGTTCTTACGGGCAATACTCTGCAGCACAGCTGTAGAACACCAGTATGCATGTTTACTGGTATTAGTACTCCCATTATGCTCACAGACTGGGTTCTAGTTGTACTAATTCAGAATATGCAGCCCCGTTGTAAACAATAAATAATTACAACAATCTAAATAATAACAGAAAAATACAGGTAACATTGTAAAATAAGTGTCCCTTTATCAATGCAACTTTGTGCATTATTAAGCACCAATAAACTAAGGGTCCCTAGGACAAAAGGGCCAGGGTGTGTCTGCTTCGTAATGCATTACATACTATGGTTAAGCAGCTGTAATACTGTATTTAATAGTTTATTAATGCTTAATAATGCACTAATCAATGTTTAAAGGACCCTTATTGCAAAGTGTTGCCAAAAACAAATAAATGAAGCTTGAATTCAATCCCAGTTCTGATAAGAACCCAAACATGTGCTCTTCACCAGTGAGGAAGGACTGTGGGTTGAAGAGCCCAGAAATCCAAACAACTGCAGGCAGAACAAAGTCCTGAGTCCAGCTGTCCAGCTCGTGGCAGCTGGCCATCAGGTCACTCAACCTGTGGAACAAACAATGGCAATTCAGTGTTTAATGTCAGAGCAGACCAAGTCACCGGATAAACGGTCAAATCAGGCTGCTCAGGTTTACCACTGAGTGAGAGTTTTGGTGGAGGGATAGGCCAGTCTAGACCAGGACTCTGGGACTGAGTCGCTGAAGAGTGAGGACAGCAGAGCCTCCATGTTGGAGGAAATGGTGAGTTCTCCCTGCGAAGCCACAAATAACAGAAACATGTGGATGCTTCAGAGCAACAAAGGTGTGGTCCACATCAGACTGAACTACCTTCAGGCCCAGCTGCAGCTCACTCAGAGACCTTCTTATCTCTGCCAGCAGAAGATTCATTCGTTCACACTCCTGAAAACACACTAAGGTGTAAGGGCTTCGGTCTGCTGTCTTTGTCATCATCTCTGACATGTTGTACTCATCCGGGACCTTCTCCAGAACCTCGTCAATTATAGACAGAACCTGTCAAACACAACAAACCCACTTAGACATGAGCTCCAGGCTAAGTTGCATCCTCAGAGCTTCTCTCTGCCCTCACACCTTCTCCTCTGAGCTCTGAGCCGCCTCGTCCCCTCTGCTGGAGTCCCGGGGCTGCAGTTCCAGCAGAGTCTTGAAGAGGGTTTCTGAGGTAACAGTGAGGCACTCCAGCTCAGCGTTGGGGTGGAGGCCGTACAAAGTCGGGTTCTCACAGGGGAGATGCTCATCTATGTATCTATGATAGCCGCTGTAGTCCAGAAAGGAGGGAGACAAGAATCCTGGACACAGAAAGAGCTCCGCCACAAACTGACAACATGGAGAATAAAAGGAAGAGATGGGTTAATCCGGACTTCTCCGTAACTTGTTAAGCATAAAATACCATCAAAGTACTAAAAGTGACTCATAATGCAGGAGAGGAGCTAGACGTGCTGCTTTTTACAGATAAATAATAAAAATATTAGGAGCCAAACTGCAGTTTAGATTTGCATCCCCAGAGGGCGCCGTTAACCTTAACAACACCACAAAGGAAGTCAGGAAGAGAACATAATCTTAATGCTGCGGGATGGCTCAAAACAACAGGATAGTCTTCTAAACCTCTAACATCTAAGACTTGTTCCAAGAAAGATTAAAAAGTGAATTTTACTGAATTGAAAGTGAGAAAGTTATCCTCACAAGCTAGCGTCACCATTTTCTCACCATTCTGGGATGCATGCACTCTTGCAGGTAGGTTTTACAGAGTCTTCTGTCCCAGTCGTCAGTGATGTGACCCCCATACATGATCTCTCCAAAAAGATAGCACAGATCCTCCCAGGGCACCTGCATGGACTTCACAACAACTCAAAGGCTTGTGTCATGTTGCAAAACCAGGAAACAAAACGTTTAACTCTCTGAAAACTGTTAAGGTCCAAAAACGTTATTACAGGGAAAAACTAACTTCTCTTCTTTTGTAGAGTTCAAGTACCAACGGCATGATGCACCTTATCTTTAAATGACTGTGTCATCGGTAACTGTAATAAACAATAACAAGATGATGTTTCTTTACACAAACCGATGCCGTGCATGACAGCGGAGTCTCTCGCTCAGCTGGAGATGAGGATTTGTGAGCGTGAAGGAGGAAGAAAAGAGCCTGTGATTCATAACAAATTACAAAAGCTGTAGGTTCACTATCATTTGTACCTGTATTGTTTTGCAAATTGCTTCCTTCATCAGCTCTAATTGCAGTGATCACTTATGTAGCGTTGTGAACTGTCACATTGGCTGCATGTAATTACATTTAGAATAACGCTTCATTGCCCTCCTAATGAATTCTGTGTGTACGCACATCCAGGTTACTGTTTGGTTAACGTAATGAAGGACATTCGTTTTTGGAGGGCAGAAGACCTGCGAGATGTGATTGGTTGTGACCAGAGTGACGGGGGCTCCAGGAGACGTGCATTAGCAGCTGTGAGAGGGGCATTTCTGGAAGAATGGATTTTTTTGTCTTGTTGAAATAAAGCTAAATTACAGGTTGTGCTAACAGTTGTAAAGAAACTGAAAAAAAGGAGCACTGAACATTTTTATAAATAACACTGGAACAAAAGAGCCCCTGAAATAACTGGAGAGAGTGTGCAGCAATTCAGCATTTCTGTTTGACATTAAGGTCGCTGCAAACACCGTTATTATTCTAAATTTCATTAGCTCACAAGGTTGTGGTCACAACAAATTAAAAGTTTTAGTTAAATAATAAAAACTGAGTAGATGAAGGAGTGAGGCTGGAATAACATACTTTGGTGTTGGCCTCCAGGTAGTTGAACAACACGTTGGCTGAGATCGTGAGGTCTCCTGTGCTGAAGGGGTAGGTGTGGTTCCAGCCTTGAGGACCAAATTTACGGCGCTCTGTTACACAAGCGTGGAAGAAGCAGAGGGAGAACAACATGGAGTTGAACTCCTGTTCTCTGGAGCACATGTCCAGAGTGTCCTGATGAAATACAAGGAAGTGAGGGTGAAAATCAGAACTGAGAAATGTTGAAGATAAAATGTCTACACACCTGGTTGAAGTTGTTCAGAGCAGCGTGCAAACTGGGGTTCATGCCTGAGGGTGGCTCGTTTGTGATCTTGATGGCGTTCTCCAGTAAACCCCGGGGGATCACATGCTGCTCAGAGCTGTGACTTGGTTCTCCAGTGATGAACACCCTGTAGCTGGGGTGACTGGCCACCGCCGCCGTCTCCAGGAGGATGTCCAGTGACGGCAGCCAGCGGGCCACAAGGTGCACGTTCTAAACGACAAACGAGCGTACAGCTACATTTCATTCCAGCAGGAAGTTGTGTTAGTTACGGAGGCGTTTGTGTTTGTATCAGTCGTTTAAAACCAGTTTATCGGTGCCCTGAAACTGTAAATAAAACCCTAAGCTGCCCTGTTCTCCCTAAAGGAGCCGTTTACGGAGCTGATCAAACCAATTAGGGACTTTATTGAACCAAATTGAGTTTATTTCCCTTGCTCCCGGGATGAGATAATAACAGTACAGATACAGGGAAGCTCCAACAGAAGCCTGAAGCCACAGTCAGGGAGTAAAAGCCTCCTCACCTGCAAAATGACCCAGTGTCCCTCTTTGGAGGCAACAGTGAGAACCCTCTCAGCCACCTCCTCCTGTCCCTGTCCCAGGGACACATTGTGTAAAGTCCCCTGGTCAATAGAAAACCCCAGCTTTAAACCTGCATGCAAGAACATACAATTAGAACATTTATCCAATTCTAATGATTACAGGGCATGTTTTTATTTATATAGCACACAAAGGCCGCTCAGTGTGCTTTACAGCGGGAAGTTTAGGTGCAGTACCGAGTTTCTCCACATCCCTGAGAGGATCCACTCCAGGTGAGAGGATGAAGAACATGGGGGTTGAGGGACCACTGTCCTCATACAACTTTTCAAACTCCAACCTGACTGTCTCCACATACCTGGTCCCCATGCTGTCTTCAACAAACTTTCTGCAGGGACCAAACACCAACGTTAGGAGATGCAGAGCGGTCAGGCTCTCTGCTTCAGACGCTGACTTACTTCAGTGCATAAGTCATTCTGTCTGGTCGGAGCGCTCTCAGGATTATGAGCTTCTGCAGAGAGGTCTTGTTCTTCCAGTCCTGAGGAAGCTTTTCATTTTCAGGACTGCTGGACTCAACAATCTTCCTCCAGCGCTTCTGTGAGCTTTCCATGTCTTTGTTGAGTCCACTGAAGTCCTCCATGGTAGAAATGGTCTGCGTGGAAGTGAAAGACGGTATTACCCCACATCAAAAGTGCAGTTTAAAACGTTACCCTGTAAGGATTGCAGGTGTTTCACTTTACCTTAATGGCACCCCAGCTGTGTGGAGAGAGGAAGGGAACGGCACTAACTCTGGACGTTTCCACAGGAAAGCGTAACAGGAAGTCAAAATCCTGATCATCGATCAGATTCTGGCTGAGCAGAATCTACGGGGAAGAAGTGCGAGTGGCTTGTTATGATCTGGTCGTTACTGATCTATTTTCAGTGAACTGGGAATAAAATAAGAGAACTTTGGAATTGGGTTTATTGGTACGTGATGAATGTAAGATTAACCACATGAAGGACAGCCTTCAAAGCAGTTTTATGCCATAAGAACCGGCCCTCCTGTCAGAACAGACTGTTAGAACAGCCACCGCTGCTGGAGCAGGGTGTGAGAGGTAATCAATAGCAGCGTATGGTATTGCTGACTGCTTTTAATTGAAGTTAATGTGGGGGCCGAAAAGTACTTTGATTGATGAGAGTGACAGCAGGCCCCACCTTTGAGGCGGACCTCAGTCCCTCACCTGGAAGGCAGTGTGTGACAAGAAGGTTAACTTGTCTCTCTCAAACAGGCCCTGGCTGGTGTACAGGAATACAGAATAGGTGATGGCCTCAGTGAGGGTTTGCACTCTGGTCCTCACATCCTCATCCCATTCTGCACGCTCCATGGCTTTGTTAAACACCGAGTTAAAGGCCTGGACAACGACCAAAAGAGCAGATAGTGGTAACGTACAGAACCCCAGGCTGCACTGGGTTGTCAGGACAAATGTCAGAACGAATGGCTGTATTTTTTAAGGACTGTAGCTTTGATATAGTGCATGCAAAAGAAACTAAATATCAAAGAAATAATGAAGGAAGAGGTTGTGCATCCTCTGGGAGCATTTCAGGAGTGGAAAGTTTCACCTTGAGTGAAAACTGGTACATGAGGTTAATCTTGCTGAGGTCATTGATGATAAAAAAGAGGAGCGACGCTCTCTCAGCTGCTGGGCGGTATAGTTCTCGAGCCTCGTTGATCTTTGTCTCGTTCTCTCTGGCCTCCACCACCTGTGCGTTCCAATTGCACAAAATGAGCTATTAGGCTCTCAGTCATGCTCCAAAACCCTCCCGTTTCACATATTCCTAAGCACACATCATTTACAGCTAATGCAATAACATGGGCCACTTGCAGCTGTTTGACATTCAATAACACCTGAGCGCCCAGGAAAAAATAATAATGAAAGAAAAAACATTGTTTTACTCTTTTGAGGAATAACTTTACCTTGCACTGTATGTGAGCGGCCATGCTCTTGGTGTTTTCAAGCTGCTCCACCAGGGAATTATCACTTAGAAAATTACCACAGGCTGCAGAAAGATGACTCAGCAGGTCATCTTCAAACCTCTTCAGCTCAATCTTGAAGTGGTTCTGCTGTGTGGTCAGCTGCATCTTTGTGAAAAGAAATTCAAATGTCTAGTTTTCCCATTTGTTACCATGGATAGGAACTTAAATGTCAGACAGTACCTTTAGAGCCTCCAGATCAGGCCTTTCTTTGGACACTACCTGACCCAGAAGCTGCTCCTCCAGGCCCACAGGAGTCACTGTGAAGTTAATGAGGGTAGTCTGGGCCTGGAGCTCCGGAGGGAAGTGAGGATTAGCCAACTTAGTGTGTAGAATGAGCCGAAAGCTGCTTGTGTACTCGCACTCCTTCCCCCCCAGAAGAATATACCTACATAAAGAAATGGTAAATGGTAAATGGCCTGTATTTGATATAGCGCCTTCTAGAGTCCTGGAACCCCCCAAGGCGCTTTACAACACAATCAGTCATTTACCCATTCACACACACATTCACACACTGGTGGGGATGAACTACGATGTAGCCACAGCTGCCCTGGGGCGCACTGACAGAGGCAAGGCTGCCGAGCACTGGCGCCACCGGTCCCTCCGTCCACCACCAGCAGGCAACGTGGGTTAAGTGTCTTGCCCAAGGACACAACGACAGCGACAGACTGAGCGGGGCTCGAACCTGCAACCTTCCGATTATGGGGCGAGCACTTAACTCCTGTGCCACCGTCGCCCCAAGGTCTCAGTCATCCACCCAAGAATATTAAAAATAAAACCTGATTAGATTCTAATTCATCCAATTAAACAAATGGTGACCTAAAGCTAGAATTCTTGAGTCACTGAATGACAATCACAGTATGAATATATCGGATATGTAGGGCTTTGTAAACAAGATCTAATGCAGAACAACAAGGGTCCTCGTTTATCAAAGGTTTGCAAAAAATGCTCTATGTTCCATCTTACTAACGGAATTTAGAACGTTTGTACAAAATCCTGATTCACGAAACCTGCGGAGGTCACTCGTACGCAGGTTCCTCCACAGTGGATTGATGATAAATCACACCTGTGCGTACCCAAGTGCTTGTGTCTGTTCACCATCATTTACATACTGAAACGCCCTCAATTAGCTACTTTTGGTCACAACACGTCCTCAGCTCGTGAGTCAAATCCCCGCGTTCCTTCTGAAAAACAAAACAAACAAAAAAACTACCGACAGTGAGATCAAGGCACTGGCTGCCAAAGTAGAAGAGAACTACACAAGTTGCAGAGGTTGTAACGCGGTGTCATGCGGTCCTCAGGGCACACTGACCTGCATGTTTTCCATGTCTCTGCTTCAGCTCACCTGATTTACGCTGCCTCCTCAGGAGGACATCAGGTGCTGCAGATGCCCGTTAATCACTCATTCATGTAAACCAGGTGTTGGGAAACACCGTTCCACAGGTTCTAACACCAGTGATGTGATGAAGCTGTTTCTCCACCAACATATTTACTTATTGTGTGTGAATAATTTCTGAATGAGGAACACGTGTGGATGACTGAGACCTTCAGTATTTTGGTTCCCACGTTCTACCACTGGATGCTGTTCGTATGCATGGTCGGAGCTGTATTTAGGAGCATTTCTACGCAAAAGTACTAAGTGGTGAATACCACACAATGCGTAAAATTGTTCCAGTGCACAAAATACACAGAGACCTGTTTGTGAGTACAACTGATAAATGAGGGCCCTGGAGTGTATGTTTATCAGCACTAGATGTGTTTCCATTACTAGAAACACATCTAGTGCTGATACATCTGGTAAATTTACCAGAACGTCCCGGCAGGCCACTTGATCAGAGGTACAGTAGGTACTCGGACGACCCGGTGAAGCTGAGCGTTAACTCATGCAGGTGTGAGTAAAACTTAAAGAGTTGCTTGTGAAGCAGAATGAAAGCAAAAGAAAACAAACATCGATCGAGCTGCTTTAACATTGCTGTTACTAAACTCCCAACAGCGGAGAGGACTGGAAAATCTCATCTCCCAGTCAATGTCCCCATCCCAGAAGTTCCTGTAGTGCCTCACGTAGCAACCCCAGATGTCTAGTATTTCATCAAAATGAACAGGAATTAACGTTTTAATTTGCAGACACAAACATCCCAGCTGTCTGGCCTCCAAACAAGACGCACTGCACAAGGCCTCGTCACCGGATACAGGAGACATGATCATTCCCAGCTACCTTATCGTGGCTGGAACAAAAGTCATGCAGGAGACGAGACTTTTGCACTCACTCTGAATAAAGTTCCTCTTCCTTGAATCATAAATGACATTTTAAAACGTGATAATTGCACACGTGTCATATAATCATCCCTTGTTAAATGCCAGAGTGTGTGAATAACGTGTGCATTAATCAATGATGTGTTCATATGAACATTTGTCCTGCAATGATTCATTTCAGACCTTAAACTACACCAGATCAGTATTTGTTGATTTAACAAGCTAATGCATCAGTGTACTCATACATCATTAGACTCATATTAAGGTTTCAGCAATCACTTCACATAAACGTGTAAAAAACATTTCCACTTCACACTAAGAGCTAACCTCTCTGAGGATCTGAGGGAAGGCGTGATTTCTGAGGGATTTTGTTAACGCCCTTTAAACGTGTCGAAATCTGATTTGTCCAAGTTTATAAATAAAGTTGATAAAAACAGGAATCACTTCCGGATCTAGTTCGTCTTCCCCAGTTGGGTGAACACGCATTTTGAGACCATCCTATCTTCTGACATCAGGTCAAAGCCTCTCTGCAACTCTTGCGAGTGATTTCAGACACAACGGCTCTTTTCAGAGCCACCGGACCGCCTTAGATGCGAAATAGACTCTCCAGCTCCCTGCCGTCACCTGAAGATAACCCAGACTAGAAGGGTCGTATTCTGAGCTGGCTACGAGCTCCGGTACCAGAGGTCCACGCCATCGGCAGTGTCCACCTCGACCTCCTGACCCCCTGGATCGCTTGGGGATCTTCACACAAGGGTGCGTAGACCGGCACAAACTGCATCAGATGGTTTTATAAACAAACCTCTAGCTGATCAAACATACAGCCAAACTGATGTTACAACCCAGACTCCACAAACTCTCTCAGACACTTAGAAGGTTTTGCTAAAACATCTAGCTCACCCTCCATCACTCCATTCATCATCTGTTATCCTGTACAACCAGCATTTCATTCATACTTTGTCACGTATAATCATTCAGTTTAGGAAAACAGAATTAAAATCATTTTTATAACTACATTCTCGACTCAGTCTGAATCGATGTGTATGATCCCTGAATAAGCCAAAGAAACTAAAGTCTTCTGATTAAACATGCAAAGACCAATCAGATAGATATATTTATATGGAACATCACATCTTATTGATCATTTCATATATATATGTATTCAATCCTTAACGCTACACTGAGGGTCTGGCAATGGAAACACGGGTATAGATTCATAAACAGAAAAACTGTCTGTTGGTGAAACACGAAGCCACAGCTTACAGGTGCTGCTGGGTTTGTCGGAGCTCCAGGCACCAAGAAGAAAGTCCCACCTACTCGTCGTAACAAAGTAATGCTGTTTTTAAACAGGTGATTACAACTGAACATGCATACAACTAATAACTATGGGAATCAATAAACTTGACACCTGTAAAGAACTATCTGAGGTATAGTCAAGACTCGGTCATTTGTCTGGAGGCAACAGGACTTGGATTTTATACTGGTCACATGATCCCCACTGTGGTCAAATCTAGGAAATAACACTATCTAGCAGGACAGCACAGGATTTGGCTGGTCTGCAGGAGAATATGTAGCCAATAACTTTCAACTACTAGTTTGCTATCTTTGTGTTTACTAATGTTAATAAGCTGTGGGTCAAACCTAGAATCAGAACCGTAGGAGTTGTAGTTTTACTGTACATGCACTAACTTGTATTAAAACCAGTTTAGTGATTCGTTAGATACTTTTCTAACACTACAGAAAATAAAACACATTCATCAACAGATGCAGGCCCAGATCTTACCACCCATCGTTCAGCTTTCAGAGGTGCATGACCAGAAACTATTCATAATTGGCACGATTGGAAAATAATTTTGTGGCACTTGCATTCCAAAGAGTAAAATATTTTCTGCATGGTTTTATCGTTTCATCTGAAAAGACAAATCAATAAAGCTCACAAGAGTACAAACATAAGCAGTTGATGTATTTTAACAGGTTTCACAATCACAAGAGCTGCAATCTGAACCGATCACCTGTGAAACGTCCTCTTTTTAAAAGTTAGCTTTGACCTACACCAACGTGGTCTGCTACTTTTATCAGGCTCCAAATGTGACTTGTGCTGAATACCAGGATATCTGAATAAATATGAAAGATCATCCCAACACCAGCCAATACGTATCTCTTCCTGTGTTTCAATTAACGCTGGCTTGACGAACCTGGTGGCTTTTCATTTATCGCTAATTACCCCTCGGATGTCAGACAAGGCCCCAATTTTTATGGCACAAGTTCCTCATGGCCTAGGTATGGTTCAACTCCATATCTTCACGAGCTAGAATTAATGTACTATTGATAGAACCATTACTCCACCAAATTAAAGTCCTTGCTGATGGATTGGCTTGTAGTCTTCCGTCAGCCATGAAAGGAATAATTAGTATTCATTACTTCACACTCTACAACATTCCAATTATTAATGAACTTCAGCTGTGGAGCCCTACCAGATCCATCATGGCTGCCCCAGCAGGTTGAATTAATCATCGACAGAAACAAGTGTGTGGGTCATCTACAAGGGATAAACTTATAATCAGATTTAGTGTGATAAATTGTTACGTCTGGATGGACAGCACTTCAGAAGAAGCTTAATGAACATCCAACGGGAAGTTCGATATTAATGGTCATACATGGAGCAGAGCAAGAAAGATGTAAACATTTCAGAGGAGGAAATCAAAGCAGAACATCAATATGTGGTATTTTCTATTTATGCTGTTGGTTATCCAGATTATGGGATATACTGTTATTTTCTATTTGAGGGTGATTGGTAACTGTGGTGCTTCCAGAACCGCTACGAAGCAGCTATTTTGTTGGAGCTGCTGGTGTTTATGAAGTCAAAGGCCTAAATTCACCTGATGCTTTAAACACATTTCCTGTTTGGTAAACTTGACTTAATGATGGATAGCAAAATACATGTAGTGATAAAATCTGAGTAAAACAATACTTTTGCATAAGCACCCCTCTGTCAATGAAAACCTAGCAAAAACATTATGTTAGTATTTGATAAGCTGATTCAGTATTCAGTAAACTGGAGCCTGAATGATGGAGGAGCACTAAATCTACTGCTACATGCTACTGCTGTGTGGGAAACTGGAGATCTAATACATAACCATGAAGGGCTTCTTTTCAGTGTTTACACTGAAGCTCAACGGTTCAGAATTCATCACAGCTAAAGAATATAAACGCACAAATATACATCTATCACCCGTCTTGAAGGGCCAATCAATTCGGTGACCTCGGGGATTTAAAACGCGTGCTCCACATTCATTTATAATCTAAAAAGGGGGCAATAATAATGCACTTAGTCATGTTCTACTGGTGTTCCAAAGACCAGTGAGGCTCAGCCATCTGGGAAATCGGCACATATTTTCCAACACCACAGAGACCTTTGAAGACATGTATATATATATATATATATATATATATATATATATATATATATATATATATATATATATATATATATATATATATATACGTGTGTGTGTGTGTGTATTGTAAAAATGACTAACCTTCCTTTTTTAATTGTTCTTTTTCCAAGTAAAGGCTCCAGAACTGGGTCTATCTTCTCTGGAAGGTTCTCGATCAGTACTGGGTCGCCACAAGCGAGAGCCCGTTCAATCACATCAAGATACCTGCACAGAAAAAAACAACTAAACAGCAGAAGGCAACTATTTCACTTTTAGCCCTTCACAAACTGATGATCTATTTCAGAGTGTCACTTCCTCTTTACGTGTGGCATTAGACATTGTTGCCACTCCAGCTGAATGAAGAGAAGACTGAGATCCTCATCTGCACCCCAGACAAGCTGGTTATTTATTTGTAGAGCACCTCTACCACCAGTCAAGGTGGCCCAAAGTGCTGAACATTCAAACCAAAAAGATAAAAACATAATAAAGCAGGATTAAAATAAATAAAACCATACGATCATAAAAGAAGTAAAACAAAAGGAAAAGTTCTCACACCAAACCCTCCGTCAGGAATCTTGGCGTGACCTTTGACCCAGCTCTCACCCTGAATTCTCATGTCAGTTCTCCTGTTGGCTCTTCCTTCTTCCATCTCAGGAACATTGCTAAGCTGAGTCCCATTCTGTCCCACTCTGAACTTGAGACAGTTCTCCACACCTTCATCTCCTCACGCTTAGACTACTGTAACTCTCTTTTCACGTGTCTGAGCAGAACCTCCCTGAACCGTCTACAGGTGGTTCAGAATGCCTGTGCTCGGCTTCTGACCAAGTCCTCCAAACACACCCACATCACCCCGCTTCTCCTCCAGCTTCACTGGCTGCCAGTCAACTTCAGGGTTCATTTCAAGATCCTGGTTCTGGTCTATAGGGCCTTACATGGACAATAGGGCTGCAACAACGAATCGATAAATTCGATGAAAATCGATTACTAAAAGCGTTGGCAACGAATTGCGTCATCGATTCGTTGTGTCGCACAACTCTTCCAAAAGCGCCCCCCCCCTTCCCGCCCGCCGTTGCGCGCAGACCAGAGCAAGTCAGATCAGCGCGAGGGAGAGCCGCAGATCAGCGCGAGGGAGAGCCGCAGATCAGCGCGAGGGAGAGCCGCAGATCAGCGCGAGGGAGAGCCGGTACCGGCAGATCAGCGCGAGGGAGAGCCGCAGATCAGCGCAAGGGAGAGCCGCAGATCAGCGTGAGGGAGAGCCGGCAGACTTGCGCTGCTGCGAACCGGTTCCGCATTGTTGCACAGCGATCCAGGCAGCTGCTTCCAGCGCACGGTCCATTCTCAAAGTGGCGCAACCAAAAAACTATAATTAGCACACGATCGTTCATGTCCGCACATGTTCTCTATTTTCTGTCTTATTTGTGCCTGAAGCGCGCTACTGCGGAGCTCATCACCTGTGCTGCGGTGATGTCACCTCACGCAGCATCGAAAACGCGCTCTGCGCTTTTCGGTCTGGAGATCCCTTTGACCTGCTCAAAAGTAACTGATGAGGTGAAAAGGTAAGAATCCAGGCAACAGATTTTCTGGAGAATTAAGAGGAGATGCAGGAAGATGAGAGACAGACAGGACAGGAAAATAGTTAAATAAAAACAAGAAAACAAAACAAAGTGTTGAAAAGTAAAATGTAGGTAGATTTATCTCCACGACAAGTTTTTACCAGTAAAAAACATTAAGTTATACACATGTCATATTTATACATCTGATACAATTCAGATCACCTTCAAAACTCAGTCACACACCCAGGGCCGTTTCAAGACATTTTGGGGGCCAAGGCAAAATGCCCCCCCCCCCCAAATAACTGGGCTCCCCAGAAGCCTCTGTGTAATTCATGCCCTCTCCAGTAGTGTTAGTTATATGGTGTTTATAAAAGCCCCTCAGACATTACTGACATGTTCTAATATTATCAGATGAAAAACTAAATTATCAGACATGCTGTCTCATCTGCTTCTTTTCTAAACTTGCAAAAAGTAACAAAACCATTTGAAAGCCACTATTTGTGGATTCTCTGAAAGTTTATATGGAGTGTGGGACAACTTATTTTTTCATTGATCTTATCGTCTAATCTCACAGCTGAAACAAGCATCCTTAATAATCTGTGCACAGGAAGCTTACCAATGCTGTAGTAAAACAAAAGGTATAATAATTTATTATTAATAAAACCTTGTTGCAGCACTAAAGCAGAAAAATGAGATTTTGCATTAAATATGCAAAATATTTACATATGAATAGTTTTAGAGCCCTTTAATTGGCAGAATCTGATATTAATTTAGTTCTTACAAAAAATGGGTCCCAACATGGTTTGTGTGGCGTTGCCATAGTGTGACGTCATAGGCACAGATCCCCTGTCCTCTTGTTTGGAAATGGAAATATGGTCACCCTACATTAAACAAACTGTCCACCCGGGCTTTTGCACTGCACAGAGACGCTTCGCTGCCTACGACTGAACGTCAGTTGAGAGTCAGTCTCATGCAGACTGACCAATGAAGAGAAGGCCTCAAGTTAAGACCCTCTCCTCATTGGTCAGTCCACACGAGGCGGGTCAAAGGTTACTCTGGGCGGGTTACGTGTTGTCAGGCATTCAAGTATTGAGTATATTTACTGCATATTACAGTAAAATATTCTTTATGTGACCACATTATGGTGATCCTTGGGTTGTGATGATGGAGCCCTTGAATATTGTTGCCCAGGGTACAACAAAGTGTTAATCTGGCCCTGGTTCCGCCGTCACATTCCAGCAGAAACTGGTTGATTCCACCGGGGCCAGACTACTAGCATGTGGTTTTACAACCACAATGTCCTCAGAAGCAAAAACGCTTTTAAAAGGGAGGGAGGAGTCCTAACTGTTGCTGCAGGCGTGCTGTGTGAGAGTGCAGTTATATACTGGTTAATATATTTTTGGGTTCAGTTGCTTTCATGTGGCCTAATGTGAGTCTATTTGGGATCATTGGAATGATCAGCAGCATTTCTTGATGTGACTTTATGGCAGTTGCCCAGGGCATCATCGCAAGGAGGATGGCATTCATTTACTTTTGTTTTATTTGGTATTTTTTCAGTCATTTTTGGAAATAGTGATCAATTTTGATTAATTCACAGCCTATGTTTAATTACATTTAAAATAAATGTCAACAGATGAGATCAAACAAAACTGATGAGAATTGCCCTTAAGCTGTTTAACTTGGACCAAGCATTTTAGGTCACAGATAGATGTAGCTTAGGGTCTCTGTCTATACACCTTATAAGACAATTTAGGTGATGGCATGTTGTTTTTCTGCTATTGAACTGTTTTCTAATAATGTTGTGTTAAATAAAGTGAAGGAAGGAGAGAAATAACGTTTCCCTAGCAGTTTTTAAAAATTTCCCCATGTAATCCGATTAATCGATTAATCGTGTCGAGACCCCATCCGATTAATCGATTATCCAAATAATCGTTTGTTGCAGCCCTAATGGACAAGCACCATCTTACATTGGTGATCTTCTTAGTCCCTACACCCCCAGCAGGTCCCTGAGGTCCAGTGATCAAAGCCTACTGGTTGTGCAACACCAGGCTAAAGGTCAAAGGTGACAGATCATTTGCTGCTGTGGCCCCCAGACTCTGGACCTCTCTCCCCCTGAGCCTGAGATCAGTGGACTCAGTGGTCTCCTCTAAAAAGCAGCTGAAGACTCACTTGTTCTGGCTTTGGTGTGACCTTCACCACCCTCTCCTTTCTACCAAATCTGCCTTTCCCACCAATTACCTCTTACATTCATTTTCTTTTTTCCCATCCTCACATTTTTCCCAATAATATGATTTCTTTTATTTCATTTAAAATTTTTGTTCTTGTGAAGTGCCTCGTGCTTTTTATCTCGGGAGTGGCCAAAATATTGTTTGTTCTTTAAAAAAGAAGGTAGTTAAGTACAGGAAGTTGATTCTCTGGTTTAATTGTGATCTATGTACTTTAAAACAGGACTCTAGAAAATTGGAGAGATCATGATGCTCTACACACCGAGAGGAATCCTACCTATTCTGGAAAAACAGTCTAGTGCTTCATAAAATGAAGCTTCGACAAGCTAGACCTGCATATTTTTCATCACTAACTGATGAGAATAAGAATAATCCTAAATTTCTTTTCAGTACAGGTCCCAAACCTACACAGAATCATAGCTCTGAGCCATCTATTCCCTGCCTTCAGCAGCAATGGGATTCTTTTTGGATGAAATTGATTCTATTAGGAACAAAATCATCTGCATCCTCCCAAACACAAATTCTTCTTCATCAGGGAGTGAGGCAGAGGTGAAAGTGGAACCTCATCTGTGTTTGAACTGTTTTGATTGAGTTGAGCTTTCAGTGCTATCAAAAATATGAGCTTTAGACCCAATCCCAACCTAATTATTTAAAGAAGCATTGCCCTTGTTGAATCTCAGTGCTGCTTTTGACACAGTTGATCACAATATTCTCTTCCCAAAGAAACTGTGCTAGGCTGGTTTAAATCTTATCTGACAGATTTTAGTTTAGTCATGTAAATGAGAAACCTTCTTCATACTACTAAATATATGCTTCCAATTGGTAAAAGTGGACAGATGATTCTCATTTATATTTATCCATAAACCACTAATCCATGACCCGTAAACCCTTTCAGGCTCAAAATAGGTTTTGATAAAAGGATGAACAAGTAAGTCCTTCAGGGGAACTTCTGAGTTAAAAAATGCTCATGAAATACGTGTGTGGAGTAACCAGGTAGGTAGGTTTTAACGTTGCACATCTGCAACGTCGGCCTCCAGAGGGTTAAGTATATTACAGGCTTGTCTTGAAGACAACAATCTGAATGACTCTAAACTACCGGCTCTTAAATCAAGACAAGACAGAGCCTCTGAAAAGGAAACTGTTTAGTCAATGACCTGACCTGAATGGCATTAAATTAGCCTCCAAGAACAAAGTAAAGGGCCTTGCTGTTATCTTTGACCAGGACAAGTCATTCAAATCCCACGTCAAACTGGTTTGTAGGATTTCCCTCTTCCACCTTCGGAATAGACTAGAAGCATCCTTTCCAGGAGTGATGCTGAATAACTAGTTCATGCATTTATTACATCAAGACTGGATTACTGTAATTCAGTACTCTCAGGAAGTCCATAGAATGTAGTTAAAAGTCTTCAGTTTGTCCAAAATGCTGCAGCTAGAGTTCTGATGAGAATTACAAAGAGAGATCATATCTCTCCTGTCTTAGCTTCCCTACATTGGCTACCTGTTAAATTCAGAATAGATTTTAAGATCCTTCTTCTCACATATAAAGCTCTTAATAATCAAGCTCCATCATACATCATTGATCTGATTGTTCCATATGTTCCTAACCGAGCACTTCGCTCTCAGACTGCAGGTCTACTGGTGGTTCCCAGAATATCTAAACATAGGATGGGAGGCAGATCTTTTAGCTATCAGGCTCCTCTCTTGTGGAACCAGCTCCCAGCTTTAGTCCGTGAGGCAGACACCTTGTCTACTTTTAAGAATAGGCTTAAAACATTTTTATTTGATAGGGCCTATGGTTAAAATCTGATGTTAGCCTACATCTGGACAAGTGGGGGAGTACAGGGAGGTGGAGTGTACAGTCGGTAAAGACGGCTCTCCCTTGCCCTGCCTCCAACATGCCTCCATGTAAAAGGCTATGTTATCCAGAGTTATCTCTGTAGTTATGCTGCTATAGGCTTAGACTGATGGAGGACACACTGACTACCAACCACTTAACATTCTCTCTTTCCTGATAATACCATTTTAATTTTTTAACATAGAATGTGTAACTATTAGTTGAATTAATTCTAGATTCACTCAGATAAAGGCAATAAAATTGATCTCTTACTAATTAGAATGTTTACTAAGAAATCACAATGTAGCCATAGAAACACTACTTGGTATTAGAGCCGGGCAACAAATGGAAAATGTATCGTTATTGAAATTTCTGACTCTTATCAAGATAATTTCTCCCGTGTCAATAAATGTGATAATAAAAAAACACGTGTGTAGGTTGGCAACGCTCATGTCCCTGTGTACTACCATGAGTCACATAAAAATGTGACTCAACGTAAAACATGTGACAGCCCCATCTAGTGGACAACTTTTGCTTCAGCGCATACCCGTAGTTATCCTCCATTTATCGTTATCGAGGTGAAATCCTCAATATATCGTGATATTGATTTTAGGCCATATCACCCAACCCTACTTGGTATATATGTTTGCTTAGTATGGGGATCACTGAAACAAGTCAGTGACTTGATGCAATCTGCTGGGTTCCTTATATAGGAAACATTTAACTAATTGGCATAATGAACTGAACTCAACTGCCTTGTGATTTGGCGCTATAAAATAAACTGAACTGAATTAAAAAAGTTGTGTGTTCTTGACATTCAGCTTAGTAAATGGATCAAACGAGTCTCTCTCTCTCTCTCTCTCTCTCTCTCTCTCTCTCTCTCTCTCTCTCTCTCTCTCTCTCTCGCTCTCTCTCTCGTCACCTTTTCTGTCCAAGCTGCACCACCTTCAGCTCTGGCCCAAATTGTTTTCTGATCCACTTGACGCCCTGCTGCTGTGGGTCAATGATTAGTGGCCAACGCTCACTGGTGGTCAGGATGGCTGCATTTTCAGTTGACATCCTATCATTTGGCAAGCCCTGGTTATACCAGGCAGCTATGGTGGCATCATCTGTAAGCACGAGGACTGGATCCAGGCCGTCTGTCAGGGGCACAGAGACCTGGAACGGAAACAGAGGACTGCTGTCACTGTAGTTCAAGCACCAGTGGGAGTGAATTCCAGTTCACAGATTCAAGAAGCACACATTTTTTAAACCTTAAATGTATAAAAATGGCTCTTACTTTCTGAGACTGAAGAAAAGGAATCCAAACATTTTTCAGAAGCTCTTCTCGATACTGGCTGGTAAAGTAACCCATGTACGAGACAAAGGCTGAAGTGACCAGGATGTCGCCACATAAGGTTTCCCGTTGTTTTTCATACTGGACGATTGCCTGGGACCAGCGTTCCTTCTCTGACTGCAACACAGCAAGACCAGGCTTAAAAACCAAGTTACAAACACTCCTAAAATAAAAATGAACGGGACTGCTTCGAGGGCTTCAGTAAATCTGGTCCATGTTTTCTGCTAAGACAATGCAATTATTAAATAATACAAACGAAAATCCCTTAGGATTGCTCACTAATTCTAGCTGGAGATTCACTCAGCATCATTTTAGCGTTTGTTTAAACCTTCAATACTACGACTGTGACAGCCCGTAGCAATTAATCATGCATGGCATTTTCTTACGAGGGGCCGTGGATTCTGAATATGTCACATAATAAATTCTCAGACAGTTAAAAATCACTGTAATTTTGCTCTAATGTATTATGGATTGCCTGTAATATCACTCAGTCTGGGGTGAGACATTGTTAATTTCCAACAGCTGTTGAGGCTTTGAGGTAAGTTAATGATTAAATATAGACGGCCTGATTTATTAGTCTGTACACTATTGCTTCCAGGTCAATGCCATAAAGGCAAAACATTTATCTTGATATGCTTAAAAGCCAAGTTGTTCCATGCAAAGCACATTTATTTTCTGAAATAAGAAAGTCGAACTTGCAAAATGGCCACTGAAATGACCATCTGACACCTGAACAGATTTAGAAAAAGCCTCCACAGCAATGAAAAACAGTTTAACAAAAGTCTCAGTTAACTGTGAAAATATGAAGCATTCAGTGCAAACAGAATATCTGTGGATCGTCCACAAATTCCCTTGGACACTCGGCTCGTTAGCAAAGAAAACGTATGATCTTTCCGTCTTTGACAAACCACTAAACGAACATTCTAAGTTGTGTCTCTGTTCCTTTCTAAATTTTGCACACAGCTCAGCCAGCCAGTCGCCCAGTTCAGCCACGCGTTGTCTGTGGTCCAGCCCTCTGCCTCACATGTTCCCAGTATGCTGTTGAACTAGGATGTAACATCTAGCTGGGATGTTACAACTTCTGGTCCAAAAGCTATTTGATTACCAGCACGTCCACAAAAATTGATGTTTCTTTTTTTTAAAATTATTATTCCAGGTCAGCCCCAACAACGCCCCAGTGTGTTTACCACTAAGCCTTTAACTAGTCGGTTGGCCAGCTCTATGGTCTGGGTGGTTCGCGTCACCTCCTCCTGACAACAGATCTTCTCAGCTGTGGCTCGCTCAAACTGAGCAGTTAGACTCTGGAGGATGGCGTCGAGGTCCTGGAGAACCAAAGGACACCAATAATCAAAATCGGCTTTCAGACCAATAAACATGATTTTGGTAGCAGTACGCTCACCGCCAGTTTCTTTTGAACTGCCAACATTTTGGTTGTTGCCATTTCTAATTCTGCATTAGCTTGTGATAATGCCTGCCTTTTTGGAGTAACTTCACAATAAATCTGGGAAAAAATGCAAACATTATGGAGGAACCTCAAAATGTTTTTGGCATAAACTCTTTGACAAAAGTGTCAGACCTCATAATATCTGACAATATTGATAGTCCAGGCACAAAGTCCCGCTGCAGCTGTGGATTTGGTCCAAACCAGATCAGGGTGGAAGTCTGGATTTTTTAGATACTGTTGCTTCACCACAGCCAGACAAGACTCTGGGATGTGTTCTTTGTCGTATGACACAAGGGCTTGCAGGAAATCATCCACCTGACACACACATAGAAAAAAACAATCAATAGCTTTACATTTATAAACAGTCAACTAACTCTGCCTAGCATATTCAGTAGTTTTAAGGTGTTTTTTCCTTCTGTGTAGGCCTCTAGATTGTGATTGGTCACAAATCTAGACCATACTGGAGTCAAGTCTGGCTCGTCACACCGTGCGAGAGTCTGCATGTAAACACGATTTCACAGACGTTTACTTGCAAAAACAGCAGCAAGAGGTGGAGAAGCAGGGCAACACTTGGCCCAACAGAGGCTGAGCATATTCATGGAGACATCCAGCTGTAATGTGAGCTCTGACAAGTTGTTGGGCAGGGCGATGTCAAGGCCCTCTCACAAATCAGACGGACATTAATCAGGCAGATGTCATTGACATGGTGACAGCTTAACCTTGCCCATGAAGGCCCGTGCCGCCTTCCAGCTCCGATCCTTCGGCACACGACCATGTGGGGCCAGCAGGACCATCACAGCTGCTGCAACGTTGATTACTGCTGCTGGGGGGTTTGGAAATGCCTTCAACTCGGTAAGATTCACCTGCAACAACATCACGAACACCAGCAACACCTTTTACTGTCAGATTTGTTGTGTACTGAATAGAGCTGTTTTCTAGTTTGTGAAAAACGAACGCACCTTGTTGAGGGTGTTCAGCGCCTCCACTGCAGCTGTCAGCGACGGCTCGGCCTTGGCTAGGTCACTCTCACAGTCCTTCTGTTTTACAGCGATTTCTGCCTGCATGGCAGCAACCTGCTCAAAAACAACAACAAAAGCTGAATGATAAGATGTTCATGAATGCTGCAAAAAGCTGAAACAATGAACATCAACACAAAGGAATATCTAACCTTTTGTGCTTCAACATCTGCAGCCTCTCTCTTCTGGCTAACCTTCTCACTCTGCAGTCCGATCTTCACCAGCAGAGCTTCAGTGTTTCCATTTTTCAAGTTTAGATCTGCTTCTTGTGATGCTAATTTGGCTTTTAGATCCTCAACCTTATGCAACATATACACTCAGAGTTTAAAAGAACGACACTCTTTACCTGTAACACAAGCTTCCTTTGGAAGCAGCATACCTGAGTAGCAGTGGTCTGTAGTTTCTGAAGGCCGTTGTCAAGCCGGTTCATCTGATGCTGAAGCTGAGCTCGGCTTTTCTCCAGAAGCGTTCTGTACAGGGTGATTTGCTGGAGAAAGCTCCTGGGGGTGGTGTAATTGTACCTCTTCTCATTTTGCAGGTATTTTTCACTTGCCAGGTTGACACTGGTGTGAACGTGGGCCATGAAAAGACTGATGGATTCCTGGACAGCAGGCTATAAAAATAAGCAGGCAAGTGTGGAGATGGGAGAACGGGGCGAGCTGGATAAAGTACGCTTTAACATCCCCAACCTGATGGCCACTGAAATATTATCTTCATAAACTTTGAATTCATCTACAAGTTCTGCCATCCAGCTTGGCTGGCCCTGACTTACTCAATCTAAAATTTAGGTGCAGCTAGCAGGAATGATTATGCTTTGAAACCTCTGTGAAAATAATGTGTTTAGAGAACTGCCATGCTGCTTGTAAAACATGCACACCGTTCACGTTATTTCTGGAGTCCTCCCAACTTTCTAAACCCTGTCTGCAACAGATGTGGCACCGCTGCCCAACTAGGCATTCATCACACAAAGACACACCGCCTCTATTAATCACACATTTACCGATCAATTACAGCTAAAACAAATGAGCAGAGAATATGAAGCGCAAACTCAACCATAAGCCATTGTTAATGATCATGGATCTGGGAGGCAAAAAAAATCATTATTAATTAAGATCTGACATAATGCATTTTGACAAAGCATGCAGGGTTACCATACGAAGGAAGCTCATTGATTGGCCTTGTGTAACATTTATTAGCAGGTCATGATTTTCTTACTTTAAATAAATGATTGCTTCATTTCTTCTGCTTCTGCCTCTTAAACAAGAACCAGTTTTTAAAGACATTAGATATAATCATTCATACATTAGTTTTAAAAACATCTGTCTCATTGAAATGAACGCTGTGGTCTAAACGCCGTCTATGCTGTAAACGTACGGATTCCCAGCTATAACAACCGCTGAAGATGCCATTGCTCAGCTTTAGTTTGAGTTAACTGCTGCTGCTTTAACTACTAATAAACAAGTCTGCAAATGAACAGCCACATGTTGATGTTCGGTCAGTAATGGGACACGTAAGTCTGGCACACGTTCACATGTGTGATAAGGCCTTGTGGTTGTGACAGCTGGGCTACAGTAGGAGGGTCATTATGTGCTTAATCAGTCCGCTCTCATTAACAAATGACTCTGGGCTGTGATCGCTCTGCTGATATGATGGAAAACAATGATGTGCCTGCGCTCACTATGAGTCTCCAGGCATGTGTTCAGCAATTTGTCAGAACCTCAGTAGAGAACAAATGATGAAGGAACTATGGAAAAGTTAATTCAGCTGCACGGCGATAATTAGACGAGACTTAATGTGGTTTAAACCAGCCAAGAGCAACATGGCACACCTAGGCTAAACGCTATCTGCGTGTGATCAAATCGGTGCTCTTGAGATAGATCTTTACTGAGAATCAAAACCACATCAATTAAAGTGCTGACCTCAATGCCCTCCATCTCCTGGATGAACCTGTAGCTGACCGACTGCAACGCTTCAGCTCTCCAAGGGTGAAACCAGTCGATGGTAGTGCAGTTCACGAGGGCCGGAAACTGTCGGGCTCTGACGCGCAGGGCGCTGCCCACAGGAGACAAGCACAGCACCACCTGAAAATAAAGAAGCAGGACTACAAAAGTCACCACGAGCCAGTGAGGTCTACAAAGGTTGAGCTGTTGAGGGGTCCATACGAAGACTAGAGGCTGTCCTCTGCACCCCCTCTTTGACAGCAGTTTCACGTGGCCAGCGGCCGTGCTCCCAGTGAGGCGGAGCAGACGGTGACACCAGCGGAGGCCTTGGCGAGAAGACTAGCTGGGAACTTCTTTTAAACGTGGGCTTTTGCGGCCAGGTAAATATTCAGCTTTTAATTTAACAAATCAAATCAGCATGTATTCCACTTTCTCATTCATCGTCTTTGTGTTGTTGTTTTGAATACGAGTAGCAACCACCCTTCCTGTGGTTAGCGTTTCAGGCCGCACTGGCACGTCTGAAAAATAATGTAGGTTCAAACTTTGTTTTCATGCTTCCTAACAACGTTCTGACATAGTATTGCTGTAAATAAATTGCAGACATAAAAGAACAACAAAAACATTAATAAAGTGGTTCTTTCGCATTTGTCTTAAAACCTCTGTCAATAACACGTTTCGGACCAAACGCTACTTTTGGACCGTCCTGGTGTCTCGCTGAACCGCAGCACTTCCCTGGATCCTCCACTCATCACGCACTCGTGCATTTTCCAACAGTTGGTGTGAGATGGAGAAACAGCCGGCTGCTACGACTTCAACGTTAGCACAAACTACCAGAGTCCCAAAAAGAAAAACACCATTTGAAGTCATGGACAACAAAAGTAAAGCCAGCCAACTACAATGAAAACCAAAGACTGCAAAACAGATTAGCTCTTTATTAGTGTTTCATTGTTCTTTTACTGTCTGGAAAATAAAACACTACTGGGTTAAAAGAACCAGAAAGTATTTCAAATACTACACCGTAAGTTGTAGTTGCACTCGGTTTGTAAAGAACCTCCAGCAGTTGTCCCTGCTGTCCAGCAGTCCAAGGCCTCGCACCTCAGCTCTCACAGCAGATACGATACCATCGATCTCCTCCTCACTGAAGATCTCTGGGATTTCACCTGAATGGAAAACCAACAGTAGAAACCCTTACCTGCCCTGGCAGTGACTATTTACCCTCCCCAACAGAATAATCATGGAGACTTTCTGCTTTAAAAGGTATCTGAGAGGTAAAACGCAGAACGACTGTCATTTAGGATTTCACCTGATGCTAGTAAGTGATTGATAACGACCAGAAACCGCTCATCGGGTATTTGTGCATCACTCAGGAGCAAAGCCACACGCTTATTCTTCACTCCAGCCTCTAGCAGCAGTTGTGCCAGATCCACCTGAGAAAACAACAAACAAAAATAAACTCACACACCCCACCTTAAGCATATGTGACACCTGGAACATTTCTGAATTTTCAAGATAAACCAGGAAAGCTTCTAGTGTTAGGAATTCCTTTTTCTTGCTGTATCAGCGGGATATGAAAATACTTAAAGGTGGCATATTTGTATCAGACTTTATTTTATGCAACACTACAAATATATGAATTATATAGATCAGTATCCTGGAGCTGAGCTGCAGCGAATCACATGGATACTCTGCAGACACTCCTGGATTTGAACGAGACCTCTGACTTACATCATGAGAACAGCCTGTTAACGCATCTGTAAAGTCATCACCATCTTATAAAAATGTAGTTAAGGCCATCTTGTCTTAAACCTTTATAAAGATCTGTGTTCACCTTGAGGTCCTGGATGCCGTAGCCTTTTCTCAGAGTGATTTGAAAGATTCCTACACAGGAGATGTAGGCAGCCAGGCGAGTCAGGCTCTGCTTTCCACTTCCTCCCACTCCAACCAGTAAGGCATGGCTCCGTGGGGCCTCCAGGATACGACTGATGCGACACCTAGAACCACGCACGTCTTTGTTATAGCTCTGCAAACTGAGATCGGTTCCTTTTATCGACAGTACTACGTTTTTGGTTTGGGGCGACTACACTTACACATGTTGCAAAGCATCTTCAAACAGCACTAGATTCATGGCTGGATGGAGCTCATTGTAGCTTTCTAAGGCATCTGTGAGGACACCCCTGAGTGAAGACCAGCTGGTGATGGGGACATAGGAGAGTCCCTCACCCATGTGAGCCAAGTGGCAATAGAGGAGGGGCTGTTTGTTCAGCTTACTGTCCTCTAGTTCCTGAGAGAAGCAAAGGCTTACTTTTGCCACTGTTATCATTTTCAAATAGAAACAGCAGTTGAGTCTCTTTATGAGAATTTGTATTGCACCTCAAAGCATTCATGCACGGTCTCCATCTGGAGCTTCTGGAAAAGCTGGAGGTCCTGTGCATCTACCAGTCTGTCAGAGTATACTCTGCAGGACTCGTGGAGCCACAGCATCGCCAAGTCAGTGCTTTCCCTCATAGTCTCGGGTCCAGGTAAAAGAATTCCCTAAATAAAAACAGCAAACGCATCGTAAATCCTCTCATATAATTCCTAAGTCGATTTGAAATGAGCTCCCTCTGAGCCCTACCTGTAACACATTAGATATGTCCCGCAGATTGAACGTGTAGTGAAATTTAATCGCTGTAGGCAGAAAAGTTTGCGCCATCTTGTGATGAAGAGCAGTGAGAGCTTGGACAACAGCTGCAGCGCTTCCCTGGACCAGCGGACCGAAATGCTGCTGCTTCAAATGGCCACACAGGATCTGACTGTAGATGGATCTCTGAGCATCCACCGAAGGAAAGTTTACAGCAAACACAGAAAAATGTCTCTGTTGGAGAGGAAAGAGCCAAAAATAAATTATAAAGCAGAGGTCTGCTATAATAATGTCTGGATCATGTGCATCTGGTATGCCTTCATGGTTAAACTATAACAGAAATATCCATCCATCCATCCATCCATCCGTCCGTCATCTGCCTATCCAGGGCCGGGTCACGGAGGCAGTAAACTAAGCAGGGAGGCCCAGACTTCCCTCTCCCAGCCACTTAGACCAGCTCCTCCAGGGGAATCCCAAGGCGTTCCCTGGTCAGCCGAGAAACATAGTCCCTCAAGCGTGTCCTGGGTCTTCCTTTAGGTCTTCTCCTGGTTAGACATGCCTGGAAAACCTCAGCAGGGAGGCGTCCAGGAGGCATCCTAACTAGATGCCAGAGCCACCTCAACTGGCTCCTCTCAATGTGGAGGAGCAGTGGGTCTACTCTGAGCCCCTCCCGGATGACCCAGCTTCTCGTCCCATCTTTAAGGGAGAGCCCAGCCACCCTGCAGAGGAAACTCATTTAGACCGCTTGTATCCGAGATCTCATTTCTGTCACTACCTAAAGCTCGTGACCTTAGGTGAGGGGAGGAACGTAGATCAACCAGTAAATCGAGAGCTTCGTCCTCTCTCTTCACCACGACAGACCGGTACAATGCCCGCATCACTGCAGATGCAGCACCGACCCGTCTGTTGTTGTATAACAGAAATATACAAGACTTTATGTATTAAAAAAAGAAAGAAGGAAGGCTGAAATATTTCTTAGGATCAGCATTTCAATGTTTATTTTTACTTGTGAGGATAACTGTGATAACAATAAAAAATTTAACAAAACAATATTTTGTTAAATCGTACAATATAATATGACTGCAAATATTATTTTTCAGTCGATGATGTTCCATCTGTTCCTTTTCTATTTGCTGTACTTGTAACATGTTTAGAGTTTTTGTCAATAGTCACAATAAAAATGAGAGGAAAGCGTAACATGATCACTGTCTCCAAACGCTGCTGGAAACTATACAGCATGTTTTTACGCTTTTATTGACCACATCCAGTTAGACTTGATCAGAAAAAAATATATGCTGAAATCCTGAAGGGTTGGGTTTCAGTGACACGTACCTGTAACCGGGGGTTGATGTTGAAGCTCCCAGCGGTTGGGTTCATGCAGGCAACATACTGGGTGTTTTGAACCTCCTTTAAAGTCAGTTTTTGTCTGCAGAACCTAAAACAGGTGAAAACAAACTGATTCGCCAGATTCAAACGCACGGTGAATTCATATGAATGTGGTGGCTACAGTGGCAGAGGAGTTAAGTGTACGTCCCATAACCAGCAGAGGGTTGCAGGTTCGAGCCCAGTTCTGTCTGTTACCCTGCTGGTGGTGCTCGGAGGAACCGGTGGTGTCTTTGTATGGCAGCTTCACTTCTGTCAGTGTACCCTAGGGCAGCTGTGGCTACGTTGTAGCATCACCACCAGCATGTGATCGTGTGTGTGTGAATGGATGAATGACTGGTTGTTTTTTAAAGCACCTCGGGGGGCTGTAGCACCCTAAAAGGTGCCATTTAAACTCAGGCTTTTTTATCCTTCTTGATGAGTAAACTGTAAAGATCTACAAAGCATCCCTTTTGTGTGAATCTGAGAGGATTCATGAAGACTCTCTGAGTAGAGGGAGTCAGACGGTGCACAGATTAATTAGCTTGACTTCATCTGAATGAGCCTGAATGTGGTTTGGGGAAGGCCTTCTCACCAGTGCCCATAATCCAGATGTTGGCGTATGAGAGCATGAGGCTGCACAGTTCCATAGTTGTCCACAGCAGGTATGTTCATGTCATCTATAAAGTAGACCAGCCTCTTGTTGCCCACAGGGAAGTAGCTTCTGCCTGTTCTTTTCTCTAGTGTCCGCTCTAGGATCTCTACAAGACAAAAGCAACAACTGAAAATATCAGCCAGCCAAACAGAGAAGTCATGGAGTGCATGAACGTGAAGTTTGCCACCTCTTCATCCTCTCTGAGTCTCATCACAGCCAGCAGATGGAGCTACGGTTTTCTTCACATGTACCACTGAACAGTCAAAGAAGCATCTCACCTTGCAACATGAGGGACGTAGTGTAGTAGCTGAAGGGTACTTTTGAGGTTGTGTAACTCTCTGGAAGAGAGGCTAACTTGTTCCTGACAAGTGCAGTCTTTCCCACTCCAGCATTCCCCACAAGCATCACTGGCTGTCTCCTCTCCAGCAACAAGTCCATGAAGTACCAGAGACGCACCGTTTCTGCTGTGTGTACCAGAACAGCCTGCAATCACAGAACCAGCGGGACGGCACAGAACAGAAACATACATGCTTATTACGGCTTTCTCTGAGTGTGATTTATTGACAGACATGTGTTCAGTGAATTGCATGTGATTTATAATTTCTTGGATTTCCTCGGAACACCACAAGTATTCTGTCATAATAGCATCATTTGCTCAGAACAAAACCCCACTAATTATGGCTCAGCAAGAGCCTTCGGAGCATTCGCAGCTGTACACAGGAGCAAAAAGAAAGACAAAAGCGCGTGGGTGATAGCTCAAGTCTTGTTGCTCATGCCTTCACCCCCACACACTCCGATACGTGGAGCGGTAGATGGTAATCAGACACGGTGGCAAGCCTATCATGCATTCCAGCACCCCTGCCATAACTTCATAATGTGACTTTACCCTCTCTTATTATGTTCACTGGAGCATTCAAACATTTTTAATATCTCTGTATTGTTTGTTGTTAGTTATTTTGTTTTCTTGTGATTATTAGTCAAATAAGTTTTTCTTCTCATGGGAAAGGTTCTCTCATGGCCGTTGTTGTTTGCTAGTTCTCACCTGTAGTGGCGTGGAAGTTTCCATCTCAAACCGCGGCACAACGTCACTCCACGGCAGAAAGCGTCTGCTTTGATGGTCCAGGTAGTAGTCAAACACTGTCCCTTGTGCTGGCAGCTTCACGGTCTTCATTTCTTTGGTCCACCACTGACTGAACTCCACCCGATAGTCATGCAGCTAAACAGTCATTCAAAATACAAAGGAGTGTATTTATTCATATATGTGGCGAAGACAGCATACAGAAATGAGCTTAGATCATCCCTTGGCATGAGTCTAGTTCAAACTGAAGGATACGGGTTATGCAGGAAGTAGGAATGCTAGATATCGGCTTTTACCGATACCCGATACGGACTACTCCTCTCCAAAAAAAAAAAAAAAAAAAAACACTGAAATGTTTTGGGTTATTAACATCACATTTTTCCTATCATGCTTATATTTCCTGTTATATTTAGTAACAGGAAAAGTGCCATATTTAGTCTCCAACAGCTGAGTCGCATTTTCCCTAAGCGTGACACTAAGATGTGTTTATTGACTGAAATGGCTGTTTTCTTTTCTGAATATTGAAGTTACAGTGAAAAACATGTAATAGGGTCTGCAGAAGGGATCAACAAGCCTCGGGTGAAGATTCTTGTTATGTTTTAGAGGTTTGTAAGTCAGCTAGCTACACATAGCTACGTGCTGCGAGGATAGCGCAGGTTCAATAGGGCAAATTTCTACTTCACAATTTGTTCCAATTAAACAAAACATTCCTCAAAAACTGAACCTCAGATCTGTCTCATTTTGCCATTCTGACAGAGAGAAGTAGCTGAAGAGTTTAAAAACGGATACCAATATTAACCTATATTACATGTTAAGGCCGATATCAGCTGATTTAAATGGTAGACTGAGAACATCGGACATCCCTAGCATTCACATTTTATTTAGGTAAATAGGCACGTGTCCTAGTTTGTTGGCTATGTTTTACAAATGTTTGTAAATAAGATCTAAACTTGACTTTGTTTTACAAGGACATGAGGCACCAGAAGTCAGAAACACTACATTTAAGGAAAGCTAACCCAGGAGGCTGTGGCATTGAAATAATATTTGATTAATCCCAGATTGGATAAAAACATGGAATACTCAAACGAAACAACATGAATACCTGATCTTGACAAAGCGCTCCACCAAACGCCCAGATGCAGGCAAAAGTGAAATATGTCTCGTAGATCTCCCGCGGGGACTCGGCTGGAATATTTTCTGGCGTTAGAAGGCAGTCGAGTAAAGTGCAGAGAGTCTGAATGAGAAGATGGGATGAAGGTCTTGTTTTATTGCAGTTTTCCAACAATAGAAACAGGTGAAAGAACAAACTACGGTGTGTTTGTGACGTACCTGCACCATACAGTTCTCAGGGATTGGAGTTATTGTTTTGAATTTGTTTTTCATCTGTTCAAGACACCGTGGAACATATTTCTCAAACAGTATTGTGAGGTGAGCCCTTTCTGTCTGGCGTTCTCGTTGGTCAATCCAGCTGGCGATGTACCTGAACAACAATGTAGACACGTTAAATAACATAACACTACACACACCTTGCTAATATTTAGAGAGGTGGCAGAAAAAGAAACTCACGGGTTCCAGCCAAGGTCTTGTTGGTTGATATAAAGGATTCCTGCTCTAGATACTGTGGCAGGAGTGGCCATCTTAAGGTGACTGATTTCAAATATCAGTCTCATGGACGGAGTCAGTGGAACTCGCTCGTTACTGGCGAGAGTCAGCACCTAAGAGATATCATTACACGTTCGGTTTCCAAATATCCTAACATCTAAGGTTCTAGCCGAACACCATCGAATCTCTCGAGAGTAAAACTCTTAAAGACAACAGCATCAATGTGAAATGATTAACGGTTCTCAAAAAGAAGCCCAAAGTGCTTACACTCCAGAGAGAGAGAAGTAACATCGTTTCTGTACGTACCACCTCTGTGGCTAGGTGTTGTACAACAGCGCAGGAGTGAACATAAGGGAGGTACCTTGTTATCATCCATCACTGTGTTGAGTGATTCAATCCACATCGGATCAATGTCTCCATCCAACACAATCCACTTAGGCCCAAGGTGGGAGATGTTTGCCTGCTCTCGCATCAGTGATGAAAACAAACCTTGCAGAGAGATGGAAGGATGTACAAAACTAAATAATCCCCTGCGTAGGTGCCATATGAGAATAAAAACACTTTCTTTTGTCAAAATGTAAAGACAAACTAAGCTAAATGCTTCTAAAAACAACAGACAACTGGAAATGTAAAAAAATAATTAAAAATATGTATTATAGTTTATTTCTCACTGAACACCCGGCCAGGTGTCTTACTTCATTCTTGCTTTACTTGTTTAGAACATTTTAGCTCTGACACTTTTTAATGAGGTTGCAAACATTTTTTAGCGTACAAGTCAAATTCACACACAGCTGAAGTTGTGAAGAGATAAGGTTTGGACATTTTTGACGCATGCTTTAAGATTCAGGAAGAAAGATGACTGTGTGGAGTGTGATCAGGAACAGCCTAAATGCGTGGCGTTGTAGGTCTTCAGAACCCACTCCGTTTACCATCTTTCCACTCCCGAGTTGCAGGATGAATGAATCCAAACAGCTCATCTCTGTCTATTGCTTTTGGATTGAGGTCATTCCAGACTGGCTTCCTCTTCAGGTTCACATGTGTTTTATGAAGAACTCTCAAGATCTGTAGAGAGCAGAAAAACTCTAAATTTAACATAAGTTACAAAATCTACTTTCCCAAGCGTTTACGCAGAAATCTGACCTGGCTCTTTCCAGTCCCTGCACTTCCAACAACAAACACAGAGTGACGCACTGCCATGAGCTCCTCCAGCTGCACAACCTAGCAAAAACAAAAAAGTTTACTAGAGTATTCTTTTTTTCTTGGTTTGCTGTTGGTTTTCTCAACTTTATGTCAAACCTTGAGGATAAAATTCTCCTCCGGCTGCAGCCCGAGCTCTACCGTGGTTTCTCTGGCAGCTTTCTCAAAATCCAAGTCTCTTTCTCTCTCCACCTCCAAGCCTGGGAAAAGGTCTCCAAGCAGTCCCAGGAAAACAGTGACATCCTCAGTCACAATTTTAGGCATGTTGAAGTCCCTCAGCGCACGCATCAGTACCTAGAATGAACAAGTAGACCAGCATGAGACACTTGTCATAGAGCTATAAGGTAACATGTCCACATAAGTGACCTGATCTTCTGGTGTTGTTTTGTCCCTTCTTCTCAGAGCTCCGGCCAGAACCAGCACAGACTTAATGGCACGTAAACCCCAGTCATAGTGATCCTGAAAGACAAAAACACATTACACTTGTGACAAGTTAAGCGTTCATGTAAAGGTGCAGTATCAGAACTTTTTCTGGAGCACTTTTTGCTGTATTGCTTAAAATGTTCTTCAAAAGCCAACAGCAACTAAGACTTTAAAGGGGCCAGTTCATAGAAGATCCCCTTTTGGAGCTGTTTACCATGTGATAATATTATTTCATCATAAAAAATACCCCCAAATCCTTTTTATTGGCGGCGTTCTAGCTTTTTCCTGTCTCAGCTGCAAGTTTTCAGAGGTAAGGACCTGCAGACACGAGGATGGAAATCAAGTGTGCCATCAGGCCTTTCTCCTCCCCATGAAGCTTGTGTTGGATCTGAAACCCGCCTCCCCTGGAAGTAGGCCACTAACGCCCACTTACTGTGGGTAGAGAGCGGTTGATTTCATCTCTGCAGTAAAGGATGTCTTATTCTGTCATCGTCATGCCACAGACGACCGTGTTAAAAACCCCTACCGGTACCAGAGTGGCTATTGACACATTACTTCTGTGTTGTGACAAAATACAGCCGTAAACACCAAGTGTCCTGTTCACAAAGACACACCAGATGGCCAGCACAGGACATGTGTCTTAGGCTACTAAACTTTAGTGAAGCTTTGGTGGGTTAGTGGATAGACAAGCTGCCTTGCATGCTGTTGTGCACCGGCTCGATTTCCGGTCTCAGCAGTAATTTGTTGTCTTCCTTCGGTATTACATTTTAACCCTTTATTGGTAAACTGTTTAAAATAAATGGACATTTTTCTTGTTTTTGCTGGATTTGTTTATTTAGCCAGTGTGAGTCCATGTGAGGTGAGCAGAGTTAATCAAGTAAAAAGCTGCTTGGAAATGACCAAATTCAAAACTGTTTAGAGACAAAAACTATTTTACAGAAAATAATCAATGAAACTAAAATATAAATAATGTAATCTGCTTCAGCTGGCTAAACTGCTAGTATGGGAATCGAAACAGTGTCAGGACATGGAAAAACTAGATGAAAGGCAGCAGCTTTCACGGTAGACCAACAAACCCAATAGTTTTTTTTAAACTTCTGTTCTGTCTGTTGAAGTTAAGAATAAACCCAGAAAACTAAAAGCTGTCTGGTAACCCACACTGTTGTAGCTAGCATAGGTTGCTGTACAGTTACAGTTGTTTGCTTGAACTGCTTCCTCCAAGATCATACGCCACCTTTAATAGATCTGAGTTGAACCTAAAGGCAGTTTAATTATTCCCACCTGCTTTGACAGCAGTTCTTTGCAGAGACTGTACAAAGTAGTAAACTTCATGGCTAACAGCTTAGCACCACGGAAGCCCTCTGCCACCAGCATTATCTCACAAATCAGCTCAATGTCAGGCACCACCATGGCGCAGGGCCTAAAGCAGGACACAATGAAAAATCATTACGCTTCAGAGAAAATAAAACTCTACAAAGAAAACCGCCGAGCCAAGTTCCACCTGAAAAGAGCCTTGAGGTTCTCAGGTAGCTCCGCCCTGCCTGCATAGCCTGGGTTCATAGTGATGAAGATCCCAACCGATTGTTTTAAAACAATCTCCTGGCCGAGGAAAAGGAACCTGTAAGTTCACACACACACACACACACACACACACACACACACACACACACACACACACACACACACACACACACACACACACACACACACACACACACACACACACACACACACACACACACACACACACACACACACACGCACACACACACACACACACACACACACACACACACAGAGTGAGCACACTGTTCCGTGATAAAACTGCTCATTCGGCCTCGGTTGCTCACCGTTTCTTTTTAGACCGAATGGCGTCCTGAATGGTTTTGACCTGCACTGCAACGACGGACAGAACATCCACTGGAATACGATTGAACTCATCAAAGCAGCCCCATGCTCCAGTCTGTGCAAGGCCCTTATAAATGTTTCCAATTGACTTGACAAAAAAGGCAGACATTTTGTTTTTAAAAGTTGACCTACTAAATCATAATTAACAAAAGGACCAAAGCCAGGATTTCCAAGTTTTGATGTGCTGAACTTACCTTGTAGTCCATCTGTTCAGAGCAGTTGAAAATGTACACCATGACACCCATGGCTCTGCCGAGATCCTTTGTTGTCTCCGTTTTCCCAGTTCCAGCTGGGCCTGCTGGGGCGCCGCTCATAGTTAGGTGGAGTGATTGAGTCAAGGTGATGTAGCATCTCCATTTGACAAAAGCAGAAAAAGAAAAAAATAAAGACAAAATGTGCACTTTAGCAATCGTTTCAGTTATGAAGTTTTTATGCCTAAACACATTTGGGCTGATAATATGTTACCGGTCTGTAAGCGGAGTGATGACCAGACGCGATGTGTTTCCAACATACTCGTATGAGTACAGAAAGTGAGCATCACAGATGTTGACAAAGCAGTGGTGAAGCTGCTCATTCCAGCAATGTCTAAGCTGGGAAAGCCACTGGAAGGACTGTGAGGTGGTGACCTGTGGGCATACGATGCAGAAATAAACTGTCATGTTGAGGATGATGCACATGAACATTAAGCAAACCTATTTTATTGCACATCTTGCTTCAATCCGTTCAAATGTTCATTATGAATAATTATTGCTTTAACCTTTTGAGCAATGAGGTTGGCAACAACATCTCTAGCGTGGACGTCAATAGTGCAGATGGTCATGATCTTCTGTCTGTCGCCTGGGCTCAACTCTCCCAGCAGCAAACCAACCAACACGTTGAGTTGGGAAACCTTTGAGTAAAAGAATAACAGATGAAGTTATAATAGAGCTATGGTCAATATGAAACATGCTCACAAAGCTAATTCAGGACTCTGTCACTTTGAAAAAGACAAGCTGGAGCTGGCCACGCCCACTCAGGCTGCTATAAGCTGAGAAGCTCAGACAGCTGAGAGGGTCTTGGAGCAGGGACGCTGCCCATCTAGCAGCAGCTCTTTCGTGCATGCTTGAGGTGGTTATATTCTACTTTCTACCTTTTGAAAACGGCTCATTTTAGGCACATAATTCCTGAAACCAAACACAGAAAATGGAAAGAAGGATTTTTCTCATGTTTGGAGTGTGGAGGCAGTAGTGGCACACATGGCCGCACGAAAAGATGCACAAGATGAGTTTTACTAAGTATGTCCTCTTTAACTTTGCCCATGGAGCAGAATAGATATTAATATGCGACAATTTGTTTATGTCACAAAATCAATAAGGTTTGGCTCCATAGCTAGTACATGAATGTATAGTTTAAAAACAATCAAAAGGAGTATTGTGTTGTTCTTTTGACTTAAACACTACTTGATATCTGGTCCTGTATGACAGCAGATTCAATCAATGCAGGGAAGCAGGTCGGAGGAAGACACAGATTATTCAAACAGCAGCCAAGGGCACGTTCACCTTTAGAAGTGCTGATGAAGCTGACAAGTGTGATAACACAACTGTGAACATAGATCACAATGAGGTTCCACCAGCTCAGCTCGGGTCAGTGACGCTAAAGTGATTAAGGTGTCATTAAGAACATTGTGACAATAAATATAGGAAACAGACACCCAACAGGAGAGGTAAAACAATATAAATAGTTATTATAAAATATTATTTATAGCTGTGTCTATTTGGGCTATATGTCCGAAAACTAAAGTATAAACATTCTTGTTGAATGCATAAAAATAAAACCAACCCTAACCCACGCATCTCTCAACTCTACTTTTATTATGAAGCACTTTTCAGACAAATCCATGAGTGCTGAACAGCCATGCATAAACAACTTTACATTAGATCCCAAATAATCACTAAAACAATTTAAAAAATCAACACAAAAACAACAACAATGCTAAACTGTAAAAAAGACACGAAACAGCAATAATATCAATCATCCCACAGAGTTAAACGCCAGAGAATGAAAATAAGTTTTCAACCTTGACTAAAATCACAGAGCAGGCCTGAAGCTCAATCCAGAGCCCTGGTGCCGCCTCCTAAAGAGCTCCATTCTTCAGCCAAGACTTGTCGGAAACTAGTGTGTCTCAACTGTTCATAAGGTATAAGATAATGTTAAGTGACTCACAAAACATTACCTGGAAACTATTAGGCACAACTACTGGAATAGCCTGAAAAATACTCAGAAATACCTTCAAAGTCAGGAAAACGTTTCTCAAGACCGGCCGATGTAGCATAAAACACAAGGGCTACTTTTACATGTTTTTGCTAAGCCTTGTTTGGTTAAGTCTTTTTAAGTTAAACTCATCATACCTGTTTCTTGTTGTAGTCTTTCAGTGCAGACTCAAATCCTTCTTCCAGTCTTCTAAACACAAGCTCCATGTCGTTACTCCACCAGATCTGTGATCCAGTGAGAGCAACTTGAGCCGGGAATTCAAGAATCCACTGCTCCCTGGGTTTGTCCTCAAACACGGATACAGCATCAAAGAGGTGCCCCCTGACAGATTCCTTCATGGACTCCTCGAGAGAACCAAGCCATGTCTCTACCTAATGGAGAGTATGTTAACTAAGGTTTTATTCATGTCCTGAAGTGTGACAGCCAATTAACATCCTTTGATACGGAATCAGTTCTTACCGGTCCGTTACAGAAACATTCATTTTGGAACGAGACGTATTCTCTCTCTTTGCTGTACATCCCGATGGCACGTTTGGGATTATCCAGATCCTCACTTTGGGAAAACTCAAGATCTGACATGCTGTCAAAAAGTTTTGCTAGATGGACAGTTACCTGGAAGAACAGTTGGCATTAAGCATAAAGAAAGCAACACTCGTTGAGCTCAGTCAGACAGAATTTCCCAGGACCTTTACCTCCCTCGGACGGCTCCATTTAGACAGGATGTCCAACAAGTCTGTAGATGATATGAAGTAAAATCTTGGAAAGGCAATTCTCTTCGTCTCCAGATATTGGGCAAGAGCCTTTTCACATAAGGCCAGCCTGTCAGGAACCAAGCACATGAGCTACGATCAGAAGAATCTGTCAACTAAAGCAGCAGCTTTTAAACATTTCACAACAATTATGGATCATTAAAAAAAATGCTAAAACCTTTGTTGCAGGTCTTCTAACTTCTCAAAAAGATAAGGTTTGTTGGTGGCCTCAATGACATTTTTAGTCTTGGCGCTGTCCGACATTAACTCCTGAATGAACAGGAACGCTCAAGTTGAAGAAATATGATATTATTTTCATAACTAAACCTTTAGACTGTAAATGCACACCTGAAATTCAGCATCTACCACTCGGAATCTGTGTGTATCTGCAGGCAGTTGTTGGCAAATGTCATCAAAGCCTTTGAAGATGCTTTCAAGGTAGGCCCATGATCTTTGGACCTCCATCCATATGACCAGAACAGAGTCTGCCACAGTCAGCTGGTTTTGTAGCTCCACTGCCTGTAACATGAAGTGATCTACATGCTTGCTCTGAAAGACACTCTGGAGCTGAATCTTGAGAAAGGAAAGAGAAAAATTAGCTCCACCAAACTAACAGACTTGGTCTAACACTTCCACCCACACCACATCTCCAAACCCCATATGATCATAATCTGACATCAACCCATACATCAGTACTACGTTACAACATTCCATCTTATTGGCATGGAAACCCAACCACATTAACAAAGATGGAGTCATTAAAGTGGCAAGACTTCTGGTTGTAGGATGTAGCCCTCCCACACAGCTGGTGTGTGTGTGTTCAAAGAGCGTCACAGAACATTACCCCAAGTTCCCTAGCAGCAACGCATTTACGGACTGTAAACTGTGCTGTTAGACATTCAAAAGAACCACCGTCTCACTACTTTGACTATATGTCCTTCAACCAGGAAAATCATCCCAAGAACCAGTTTTTGCATTTTACCATGGTCATGTGAGACCACAAGTAAAGTCTTTGGCAGTAAAGTAGACATCCACCTGGTGATCCTCGAGTCTTTCAAGAAGCTCCTCGTCACATTTAAGCAGTGGCAACGAGGTCTGGTAATGTTCTTCATACGACAGCTCCATTGATGCCCATGCTTGGCTTATTTCTGTTATAACCTAAAACAAAGCAAGAGGACGTCATACTGTCACAGGTCTCATTCATCGTCTTGCTCCCAGTAACTCTGCTGTGGTCTCTAACATGAATGAGTGTCCTACGAGTCTTTCTGTGGAAGAAAGCTACGGTGCTCGTTTCAGAAGGTAGAAGTTAGTCAGAAAAGTGTGTGTGTGTGTGTATGTGTGTGTGTGGTGGTGGGGAGGGTCTATAACTAACCTTACTCATTAATATTCATGATATGCAAATGCATCACCTCTGATCGCCTAACAACAACACAACCCTTCTGCCTACTTTGCTTGCTCTACTTTCTGGGGTAAAAATGTTACATTGATGTGATATCTCCACAAAAAGGGGCGACGGTGGCACAGGAGTTAAGTGCTCGCCCCGTAATCGGAAGGTTGCAGGTTTGAGCCCGGCTCAGTCTGTCGTTGTGTCCTTGGGAAAGACGCTTAACCCACGTTGCCTGCTGGTGGTGGTCGGAGGGACCGGTGGCGCCTGTGGTCAGCAGACTTGCCTCTGTCAGTGCGCCCCAGGGCAGCTGTGGCTACATCGTAGCTCATCCCCACCAGTGTGTGAATGTGTGTGAATGGGTGAATGACTGATTGTGTTGTAAAGCGCCTTGAGGGGTTCCAGGACTCTAGAAGGCGCTATATCCAATACAGGCCATTTACCATTTATCATGAATAACACAAGCTTGAGTGTGTCCCGCCATGTTGTGGAGTTGCTAATGGTTATCTTCTACTAGCCAAGGCTCACTCTGCTCTCTCCTGTCCGCTAAACCAACATGGCCATTCCTCTGTTGCAAGTTAAAGTGGGAGTCCAAAGTCCATTTTCACACGGTGGCGTGAATCTGACCCGAGCACTTCCCTGTCCATTGGCACAGGAGTTAAGTGCTCGCCCCGTAATCGGAAGGTTGCAGGTTCGAGCCCCGCTCAGTCTGTCGCTGTCGTTGTGTCCTTGGGCAAGACACTTAACCCACGTTGCCTGCTGGTGGTGGTCGGAGGGACCGGTGGTGCCAGTGCTCGGCAGCCTCGCCTCTGTCAGTGCGCCCCAGGGCAGCTGTGGCTACATTGTAGCTCATTCCCACCAGTGTGTGAATGGGTGAATGACTGATTGTGTTGTAAAGTGCCTTGGGGGGTTCCAGGACTCTAGAAGGCGCTATATCAAATACAGGCCATTTACCATTTACCATTTTTTATGCAGCTAATGCAGGTGACAAGGTTTGAAGACATGTCTCATGTTCAGCAAGCAGATGAAACTCCTTTGGACTGATTGTATTTCAAAAAACACATTTTCTCAGTGAAGAAAATCTTTAAGCATAATAATAACAACAACATAAGCAGCACCCTGGGTGTGTCCCTGCTCGACTCCATCACTGTTTTCATCACATATTTTAACTCATTCACTGCTAATCGGAAAAGCTTCTGCAGCTCACACTCTGAATACCGGAAAAAACAGAAAGAGCTAGAAGCATGCAGATTTTTCCTGATGTAAAAAGTGAGTCCACTCTTTTGTTTGGTAGTTTTTGTGTTTACACGATCATAGAGCACACTATTCTGTAACTCTTCAAACAGCAAAAATGCTCAAAAACGCTGGCAGTCAGGGGCTTTCTGTGAAGATGATGGCCGGCAGTGAATGAGTTAAAATAACAGATTACGCTTAACAGGGTCAAATAAACACACCAGATACCCTTTTTAGTTAAATGTAAACATGTGTGTGCAATAAACCTTCTCAATAGCCATTTCTTTGACAGCCTTATCCACTATATTGTGGACTTCATCTTCAAAAAGATGAAGCTGCAGTGTCAAAAGGTCTCCCAGGGTGGTGTCGTCCGTCACAGAGAAGTTCGTCTGTTCAGAATAAGTCAATTCGTTAAACAAGCTTTGAGATTTTTATGGTGTTGTAAACTAAAGCCTCTGCTGTGTGTATTTATGCACCTGTGTTGTTCTAATTAGCTGCGCCCAGTGGCGCTCTCGTATTGCCAGGTTCTGTAGTTGACTCACGGCCCACAGCGACGTCAACAAGTTCTTCACATAAAGATCAAACTCAGTGAACGCATCCCACGTGCGAGCATCTTTGTCAAGCTTCCGAATGTCCTACAAAATCAGAGGGTAGGTAAACATAACTAGTTATTAGTGACATCTGTTACAAATGGCAACGGTGCATGACAGCAAAACAGCAGGTGTGATAAGCTGGTGTGATGCAGCGCTGCTGGTGGCCTCACTCTGGCAAAGCTCCTTAACTCTGCATCCATCTGGTCCACGTCTATTTGCCTCCATCTGGTTGTGGTCCAGGTTTCTACAGTGCTCTGTGTCGATGTAGACGCATGGACACGAGAGAAAGAATCACAGCAAGCAGAAGACAAGAAGGAAAAACATTCACAAGAAAAAACACAGCGTTTAGGCGGGAGGGGTGGTATGTAATGGTGAAGAGGCCTTTAGCCTATTGCCCTCATGACATTTCTAATTCGATATTAAGCTACATGCCTGCACAAATTCCACAATGTCCCACAGTTCTTTCAGGGCCGTGACTTCTCGTCTGCAGAGCTTGATGTCTCTGTAGTCAGGGATGGTTACATCAAACAGCTTTGTGGACTCTTGGAGCTCTGACACTTCTGTTTCCATGTCCTGGACTGCTTTTTCAGACTAAAACACAAAGCAACCACATAAAAGAGGTTCGAGTGAAGTGGAATATTATTTTTATCCAACAAAGAAGCAGCGCTATGATTCGTACTTCATCCAGACTAGCGTAGGGGTTCACTGCGTTGTAGCTGAAGGGTGCAGTTGCTCTGAACTTCTCCCTGAATTTAGTTTGTTTCACCTGAAAAAAGGAAAAAAGGTTTACGTATATGTAAAGCCTTAATGAAGTGTTTTTCTCATGATGCAGTTACCATTATCTGAAGATCACAAGTAAACTTATTCGACTTGGTGCAATGTTTGCATACTTTCGTCTTTTAAGCATTGATTTCAGATATTCTTCTTCTAAACAGATAAGTCAAGATTTAACTAAAGCTTTTAAATAAAATCTCAGGTTTACATTATTTTTAAGAGAAAAGTGCTTTGAAATCTGTTATAGTTGTTTGTCACCTCCACATCAGTACACTGTCTCCGCAAAACCATCACTTCTTCACTCTGCATGGGTGCAACCTCTTGCCTCACTTTTTGGGCCAGTTTTTTGGCTTCATTCCATTTCTCTGGGAGCTCCTGGGATGATATTTTGGTAACTTTGAGCAAAAATGTCCAAAAAATATAAACATTTCCTTCTGCAGAGCAACGAATAAATGCTGCATGTTTGTGTTTTATTATGAGTGCTGAAGAAATAGATGTTCTCACCTCCATCTGAGAGTATAAGTGGTCTGGTATTGCCACACCACAATGTTCTAGGAGACATATTGAGTCTCTGTGAAGCTCAAACATCTTGTCGGTGATGTCTTGTCTGTCTCTGACAGCTAACAGGTGACTCATGATGTCCACTAAACCTTGGTGGTCCCCTTTAGCAACAGCAACGTTCAGCCCCCCAATGGTGGCTTGGAGAAATGTCTGCATTTCATCCAGACTGAGTGAGAAAGTTTACACAATCAGAGCAAGTGAAAACAGTCTGTCTTGATTTGAAGGTCTATGCACAAAATAGTTGTACCTGTCAGCTACATAAGTCAGGAGGTGCTCTTTGAAAAGCCAGCTCCACCTTTTTATGATGTTATGAAGACTGGCTTTAAAGAACTTGATATCCACCCGGAGCCATCCATCAAACACTTGAAAGTCTTCCAGCTGGGAAACTTCAGCACACAGGTTTTCATAATAATCAATCTGTGAAATCAAAATAACGGAAAATATTATCAAAAACCTGCCATATGCTGGGCAGAAAGCACCTGTCACGGGTAAGAAGACAAAGTCTTACCTGTTCTTTGAAGTTGTTGGTTGCAGGAGGGTTTTCAGTGAGGAGACCTGCTCTGCTGGCTTCCAGCTCCTCGGCTGTGAGAACACGTCCATATCTCAGGAACTGCCGGAGACACTCTGCTCGGTCATCTTCCCACAGATGGTTGTAGAAATCAAACTTCATCTGATAAGTCCTCACTTTCTTCAGCACTTCATCTACTTGTTCCATTATTTTAGTTTTCATGGTTAGCAGTTTTAACACGCCACCCAATACATCCTGTAGGAGGGTTAGAAAATCAGCAGAAATGTTTAGCAGAATGCATTACAGAGGATTTCATACACAGTACAAGGATGCCAGTCAGATCGTCTGTGAGTAAACAAGACACTCGTTTAACAAGCTGATGTTTTCTAAAGTGGAACCAAAACAGAAATGTTCAAAAATGACACCATTTACAGTCGTCTGAGTAATTTCTGACAGCTATGAAAGCTCGATTCTCTCAGATGGTTAATAATCAATCAATGCAAGATTTAAATGTAAACATTTTTCATTAATAAACATGATTATTTATGTCAGTAATGCCTCAAATAGACAGAAAGGGTTTTTCTAGCGTAGGACCAACAGATCTTCCAAAATAAAACTCTTACTCTGAAAGGTGCATAAAATGCTTTGTACTGAAACTTTTGTCAAAACAGGAAATACCAGAATTTGCAGCCGCTTGTTAACTTTGGCAACTGGTAAGGGAAACCTGTTAATATTTAAACTAAAGACAAATACCTGATAGCTCTCGGAGCTAAGGTGAGCAGCCACTCTGCTGATGTGCTCAGAAGTCTTGAAGACAACTTCAATGAGTCCTTCTACCAGATCATAGAGGCTGTCACCTGCATCTCGGTCCAGGGGAGGATGAACGGTCAACCCTGAGCCATGCAGCATCACCTCGGCCTGAAACAGAGGAGCTTGGCATGGCCGGGCGTCCATGTTGTCTATGAAGAACTGAAGGGAGTGGCTGATGTAGCTGAAGAGCCCCTCCACCACCACCTCATCCACATACTCCAGGTAAGTCTGCCAGACGACTGCAGCAGGATCGGCATGGAAAAGGATCATGTTTTCCTGAGAAATAAAATGAAACAAAACATAAATTCATGTTTTGGTTTAATACTTAGAATCAATATGTAAAAGGCTAAGATGTCAAAAGGAAACTGTAATTAGAGAGAAGACACAAAAAATGTTTAATTATGTTCAAGTTCATGTGAGGTTAGTTTGTGATGCTGTGCCTTCATTAAAACCAGAACTAAAATCAAGCAAAAATGTACTTCAAAAAAACAAAATTTCACAATAGAGGCAGACCGATATATCGGTCGGCCAATATATTCTAATTTTTTATATCAGCCATCAGCCGAAGTGTTTTTAAAAGCCGATAAAAAATAGTTTATATATCTGGCACCTGTGTGGCCAACTGCTGCCACTACTGGACTGCAGAAAGGACCCAAACACACCAGTCTTTTTTAAATGTTTGAGTGTGTTTTCTATTTGAGGTTCAATAAAATTTAAGAGATTTATTGACTTATTTCATTTATACTGCATACAGTGACTGTTCAGTTGTCTTTCACAATCATTGTGCTGCTAAAACATAATAATCAGCATTAGATATCGCCATCGGCAAAAAAAATATTTACAAATCGGCATCGGCCTTAAAACACCCATATCAGTCGGCCTCTTGTTCACAAATACAAAGTGAAAGAAATGAATGAAAGCCCACTGAGCCCCACGCGCCTGCACCAGCTGCTGTATCGCCTCCCCATCACTCTTCATTAAGCTGTATGTCCTCCTGACATGCTCCGTTCTGTCATCCAGCTGTATGAGTGAGCCTTTCTTGTTGTCCTTTCTGCAGAACATGGCCTTTTTGCTCCATGCCTTCATCGTGGACTGAATGGCATCGTAGTTTTCCCTGGCTTTGCTGACTCGATGAGCTAGGTCTTGGATTAGGTCCTTTGTGGTTGTGATGAAGCCCCAGCAGTCCTGATCCTGCCATGTAAGGGTGGTCTCTGCCTTCACCAGCAGCAGGTCTACGGACTCCAGCTCGGTTTGGATCAGAGGACGTTCCACCTCCAACACGGTCTGCTTTATCTTGTTGTACCCCTGAGCCAAAAGCTGCAAACTGCTCACATACTGGAAAACACAATTGTAAAGGAAAATAAAATCTAAAGTTAGTTTGTGTCATTTTTCTATAAATAGCAGCTAACTGAAATAATGAAGAGGGTAATGTTTACCTTGGTGAACATGTCACGCTTCTCAAAAACAGCAACTGCAGCTGAGGGGATGCTGAGCTGGCTGTGTGTGTGGATGTACTTCACATCTTTCAAGATCTCAGTCAGCTGACAGGGATTATGAAATGCACAAAATCTGTTAGTTAAAATGATTCATTCAGAATAAAATAACTCATTCAAACAGTAAATAAAAAATAAACTGACCAAAACAGTTTTTTTCTGGGAGACTGTATCAGTTACCTTTGGATTGAAATTCACTGAAATCAGGCCAGAAGAGGAGCTTCTTGAAATGAGAGGCTGGCTCAGATTGATTAGGCAGTCCTGCTCTAAACCTTTACACCACTCAGAGTAAATGTCCTCCTCATACTGGTCCAGAAGACTCAACATCTCCATGCACATGCTGTGCTCACTCTCCATCTCTACACCTGTAACGGGCCTGGGGAAATTCCATAAATAGTAATATTAAAGCCAACCCTGTGTCATAATATCACACTTTGCTATGGTTGAAATCAAAATGCATCCAAAAATGATCATACTGTGCTCACATGTCAAACAGTAACTTTAGTTTGTCCCAGGGTGTCTGGATGTGTTCTCTCAGCATTTTTGCCCATTTCAAGGCTCCAGATGTGTGCGCCATGCTCCTGATTAGATAGCTCTTCGTCTGACGATAAAGGAGAAAACTCGAATTAAATGGGCATTTGTAGAGAAACTCATTCACGCAGCTTGTATGTGATTTCATTCATGAATACCTGATTCAGCTGAGATTTAAACAGACATTTACAATTCTCCAGGTCTTCTCTGAGCAGCTGCTGTAGCAGAAGGAAGCTGGGACTGAAAATCTGCCCCACTCGTTTTCTCTTCAGAAACGGTGCAACCACCGTTAACATCTGGAATTTAAAACGTGTTAGCGCTCCTGCCCGTTTAGAAACAGCGCCTTCAGAGGTGAAACCAAACCCGTGTTTTCTCACTTTTATAGCGGATTCCAGTCCTGTGCAATCTTTGAAAGCCAAACAAAGCAGGCTGGCAAAGCGACCTTCTAAGTCTGAACCCTTCATTTCAAAAGCCTTAAACTCCTGCTCAAAACCCTGACAACAAAAGAAGCATTGCAGCATTCAATGTTACAAAATGTGCATTTTGACTTTTCTTTGACTAATCTGAGCTCTATCTAATCTCAAAGATGTGCAGACCCACCTGAGAGGTGATGTCGAGCGGGTTGTTTTCACTGTGCTTTAATGCACTGTAGTGGTAATTGAACTCTTCATGCATTTTGGCAACAAGCTCACTGTAGTGCCTTCCTTGGATTCCTCCAAATTCCAGTTTTTCCATTCTTTGAAAATCCAGCACAAGTTCCAGCAAGTTCTACAATAAATCATATTGCAACATAAAATCAAACTGAAGGATTGTAAATTTGACTCATGATGAGGTAACAACTAGATGTGATCTCACCTCCAGCTGTAGCATGCGCCTAAAGAACTGGCTGAAATGTGAAAAAATCATGGCAGCTGGGAAATCCCAGGGAGCGCTTTTGTCTTGGTTGGCTAGCCTCTCCTTCTGAGTCTGGTAACACTGTTTGAAAACACTCAGTGCTTTTATTACCCTCTTTACCATTTGTAAACTTTCTTCTGGATCATGTCTGAGTAGCAGATCTGCAGAGAGGTATGCAGACGCCTACAGGGAGAAAAGTTTATTATCTTATGGTTAATCCAAACAAACATTAGGCTTTATAGACCTTTTATACCTGCTCAATGAGCAGATTGCAGAGTTCCTGTAACAGCACAACAATGCGAGCTGGTTTTTGATAATACTGGCAGTTAGTCCAGATCAAAAATGCTGTGTGAAACAATGCAGGGATGTATTTTTCCATGTGAACAAATCCTTTGTTTTCCAGCTGAGACAGTTGTTCGTTTAGCGGCTGGAGATAGAGGTCGATGTCTTGGGCTTCTATGAGCGCTGTTTTGTTTTCATTTTTGGAGAGAAGAAGAAGAAAGAGTTGGAAGATTCAACAAAAACAAAGACTGAGATGGTTTACCTTGTGAAAAGAGACATCTTACCGTTAGACACATTTCCAATCAGAATTTTGATGGTTGGGTGATAGCTGCTGTCCATTACCTCTAACATACTTTCCATCATTTCCACCACAGGACTGTGAAGCTGTAAATAAGGCTAAAAGCTTTCAGAAAAATAAAAAAAATCAAAGGAAATTGGATTTGATAAAGAGCAAATGTTCTCACCTGATGGCAAATGCTCTCCAAATTGCTCCTTCTAGAAGCCCAGAACTTCAGCTCAGCACTGGGGCCGGGCTTACAGCCCGTCTTCATAAAGTCTGCCGAGTCCTCCTTTAATTTTTTCTGGATCAGATGAGACCAGTTGATGACCTGGGTCTCTATGCAGTGGGCCAGTGCCCTGTCCTTGTTGTTATGCCTTAAATGGGAAACAAAAGCCAAATGAATTTAGGCTAAAAGAGAGCGTGCATTCTGCATGTGTGCACTCACATTCTGAAGTGGTCGTGTGCCTTTTCCTTCCATGATGCTGCAGTTGGCATTGGGAGGACAGTTTCCCCTAAAATCTGACCTTGTACAACTGATGTCTTACTGCAGATGCTCTCGATGTGTCGAGCAACGTCATTACGGATCACATTTGGCCACGTGTGATGGTTTTGATCATGTGTTAGAAGTGGAGCGCACACCTTGTGGATAAACAGACACACATAAGCCAGCATGCAACACAGAGCACTTTATACATGCCCAGAACCGACCCGAAAGCCGTCACCTGCTCAATTACGCGTGACAGCTGTGGTAGCGGTGGTAGTGACAGGAGGCCAAACAGCAGCGTTGTCCTGTAGTTCTCGCAGCTGATGGGAACATCTTTCCTCTTTTTAAGAATATAAAGTACTTTATTTTGAGCATCGGGCGGGACCTGCGTTTAAAATAACGTCACGTGCTTAAACGCGTCACGTTTAAAACATCAAACAGAGCATCAAAGTGGAGCTAGCTAACATTGTAACAACATTTCCGGCCAGCGTTACCTCTTTGGAGGCAACCAGGACAACTTTATTCGGTGAGGAAAAATAAACAACTGCTTCCGTCTCAAAGAAGTCCTCCAGAAGCTTTTGGAAATCTTCCCCGACAGCGCTGGTCCTCCAGGTTTGACTCTCCAGCGTCAATAACCCACAGACTTTGTTCTCGACGAACTTCACTCGGACGTCTTCTAGAAAAGAAGGTACGCTTTCCTCGTCTGACATGTTGGATGTTCGAACATGACAAGCTTTGCCTTTCTAACAAATGAAGAAAAAGAAATAAAACTACATTTCCAGTTTTAAAGCAACTTGTCTGCAAATTAACCACTCAGCTTTTTAAAGAGTCTGAAGTTTCTGTGCTTTTTTCATTGAGCTGCACGAGCCTCACCGTCGCGGGGCGGTTTGGCATTGTGTTGCTTAGCAACAGCCACTGTCCTCAATCACTGCCTGCTAGGTGACAACGTTGCTAACTGAGATTTGTTGTAAACAAAGGCTAGAGATGTAAAACAGTTTAAACCAAATGAACTAACGTAAAATGTTCAAATATGCAACTAAATTATGTTCTGCTGCAACATGGTGTCATTATTTCAGCAAGTTCCCTTCAGGCATGATGGTGAGGATGATTATTGTACGTGCTGGAGTGACGTATGCGAAACACAGTTCTTCACTGTCTGGAGGAGAGGATTTGGATTTTCTGTAATGATTTATGACAAAAGTCCTTAATAAAATAAAAAACTGGACCCAGTACATGTTTATATAGATAATAAAGTGTAGTTAGCATTTCTGCAATTTTAATGCCGAGCCAATACCTTTAACCCTTCACCACTGAAATCAGTTTGTTCATTCCAGTCCTCCTAAATAATCCTCCAATCATCCAACTGGAATCCTGAAGGGTCCCGTAACGTCCATCCTGTCAGAACAGGCCTTGGGAGCCCAGGTGTTACTAGAACTAATGGTGTCTCCTCACCAGCGTGAGCCTCCACACTGTGAAGGTTGGTCTCCAAACATGAACTTTAAATTTATGCATTTATCTCCTCTTGTAACACTTTAACATGTTTTAAAAGGCTTGTATCATCATAAGTTACACCTCCCAGACCAAAGATAGGTCCAATATAAGATAAAATATTATCATAAACACTGCAGAGACGTCATTATTTATGAAATAGAAGTTATTTTCCTGAGCCGTTACTTCAGCCAAGATATAAGATGCATGGATTTGATGAAACCACGCTGTCTCATGCAGTCCTATATATGTAACGCACACACACACACACACACACACACACACACACACACACACACACACACACACACACACACACAAACACACACACACACACACACACACACACACACACACACACACACACACACACACACACACACACACACACACACTGCAGCATGTTAGAATCATTTGAATCACTAATTTAACTACACTGAACTACTTTTGTAATAATTTAATCTCTTATTCTGGAGTAAAATAAAGAAACAAGCTAAATCTTCACATATCTGTGGCATCAAGAAGCATCTTCTGAGTTCAGACACAGGGATGGAGCACAATGTTTACACCTGAACAGTATCAGGATGTTTTAACTCACAGAGGCCTGCAGGTCTTCTGTTTTATGAGCAAAGCGCTGAGAATCCGCTTGTTATGAGCGCTAAACGTTATTTTGCCGCTTCCGTGTGGAGCGGTAGAGAAACACATTTCAAACACGGAACCGAGTCTGGTTGCCGAGCAGAATTCTGATGAAGTCACACCGGTGCGCGAAGGTGCGGGTTCCAACCCACAGGAGAGGAGGGAGAGATGAGGTAAACAGCTAGTGGATCAGATGGACTGAACTGATGTTTTTGAGCAAAACTTTCCCAATTATTTGTCCTAATTAGCACCATGTCTAAACCCTCCCGGTTTAGGCATGGTGCTCATGCAGGCGTCTCTTCCTGTTCCGACGCTGCTACACGTAATATTTTTAATTAAGCCTATTTTTACTCAGTAACGGATAAGATTTAAAATGTAGCGAATTACAATTATTTTTTAAAAACGTACTCAAGTAAAAGTACAGATTTTAAAAACGACTTAAAAAGTATAAATTTACAAAAAAGCTACTCAATTACAGTAACGTGAGTAAATGTAATTCGTTACTTTCCACCTCTGGATTTTAGTGATGGTGATGAAGAAGATGATGATGATTATGATGATGATGGTGATTATGATGATGGTGAGGGTGATGATGATGGTGGTGGTGATGATGATGATGATGATGATGATGATTGTGACGGTGATTATCATAACGGTGATGATAATGATGATGATGATGATGATGATGATTGTGACAGTGATTATGATGACGGTGATGATAATGATGATGATGATGATGATGATGATGATGATGATGGGGATGATGATGATGATGATGATGATGGTGACGGTGATTATGATGATGGTGATGATGATGGTGATGATGAAGATGATGATGATTGTGACGGTGATTATGATGACGGTGTCATGAACTCCTCCTCTTAACCTCCTCTGCGGGCCTGGCTGGCACTGCACTCCATTTCCCAGCATCCCTGTCACCGACGCTACCCAGTGACGTCATCCCGCTGAGCCTATTTAAGGACCTGTCACAGCTGAGCCGGCACTCAGTCATCATCTCATGATAGACGGCAACCCATTCTAAAACGACTAAGCCTAATCTGCCAACTCTGAAAACCATCTGGGAAGAGAACTTCCCACTCTGTAATCAGTCACGACCAAACACCAGTCTCTCCGCGCCTGGGTCTCAAAGCCACACTCCAGCTCAGCCGATCGCTCCTGACAGGATGACTGAGTCCTGAGTAGACCCAGCGGAGATCGCACAGCTGCGAGCAGACGTTGCACAGCTGCTCAGCCGCGTAGAACACCAGGAGGCGGAAAACGCCCAACTTCGAATCGAGAACAACCAGCTTCGTGCTTTTACGGATCGCCAAGCATCCAAACTAGATTCTGTCACCGAACTGGTCGTCCAACTCTCCTCGGCACTCCAACGTCAGTCATCTTCCCCTCCTAACATTGTGGAGCCATGTCTAAGTCTCCCCGACAAATGGGATGGGACTAAAGGATCCCGGGAGGGCATGTTGGCCGTCCTGTCAATGACTTTCGAGTGTCAGCCGGCACGCTACCCGACTTCCTGCTCTCGCGTTGCCCTGTTAACCTCCCTGCTGACGGGGCGAGCTGGTGAGTGGGCGGCTGCTCTGTACAACCAGAAGTCTCCCGTGTGCAACGATTATGAAACCTTCATGAAGGAACTGAAGAAAGCCTTTGTGCATCCCAGCAGCAAGGTTGCAGACGAGACATGCCTGCTCCAGCTTCGGCAGGGCTCTCAGACCGTGGCCGAGTATGCGTCACGCTTCCGGACCACCGCTGCCCGTCTGACCTGGGGTGATGCCGCGGTGACGGCTGTGTACCTGGAGGGATTGTCACCCCGCATCCGTGAGGGCATGATCGGACACGAGGCCCCGACCTCCCTTGACCAGGCTGTGGACCTGGCTCTCCAGCTGGATCGCTGCCTTCTCACCACACCAGGAGCGAGGGCGGTTCCCGTACAACCCAGAACATTCCCCCGCCGTCAGGAGAACCAACCCACAGAGGAACCCATGCAACTGGGTCATTTGCCCCCCGAGGAACGGGCACGATGTTTTCGGGAGGGACGATGCGCCTATTGTGGGGATCTGGGCCATCCCCGGGCAACATGCCCCATACGCCCGGGAAATGCTTCCTCCGGGTCGGTGTAGGAGCGGTCTCACCCGGAGTTTCCACTCATGCAGCTCCTCATCACACCACCCTCCCGGTCTCCTTCCAGTTGAACCAAGGACCGGTCCCCCTGGTGGCTCTCCTCGACACCGGAGCTGCAGAAAGCTTTATCGACCAGGGGTTGGTCAACCGGCTCAAGACTCCACTCACTCTCCTCGACCATCCTGTTCCCGTCACTTCAGTGGACGGTCGCCCTCTCATGCCATATCCGATCAAGCACCGAACCCAGAACCTCCGGATGACCATCGAGGAACACGTGGAGACCCTTCATTTCCTGGTCATTCACGCCCCCACGACTCTTCTCATTCTGGGTCATTCCTGGTTCCGCCTCCACGACCCTCACATCTCCTGGTCAACCAGTAAAGTCATGGCGTGGGGTGGTAACTGTCGCCTTCACCGTCTGTCTCCAGGATCACAGCCTAGGACGACACCACCCAAGTACGTGGATTAAACCCCAATACCACGATCTGGCTTGGGTTTTTGCAAAGGAGCCTACCACCAGGCTGCCTCCTCATCGACCCTACGATCTGGAGATCAGGCTCCTGCCAGGAACCACCCCGCCTCGGGGTCAGCTGTTCTCGCTCTCTCCGGCAGAGACCCAGGCGATGGACGCTTATATCAACGAAGCTCTCCAGAATGGGTTTATCCGCCATTCCACGTCTCCTGGAGCGGCAGGGTTCTTCTTTGTGAAGAAGAAGGAGGGAGACCTCCGGCCCTGTATAGACTATCGTGGGTTAAATAAGATCACCATCAGAGACCGCCATCCTCTTCCTTTAATGAACACGGCTTTGGACGCCACCGCCCAAGCCACACTGTTTACACAGCTGGACCTCCGCATTGCATACAACCTCATCCGCATAAAGGAAGGAGAGGAGTGGAAAACCGCTTTTATTACACCCACTGGACATTATGAGTACCTCGTTATGCCCTTCGGCCTCTGCAACAGCCCTGCTGTTTTTCAGCGTTTCATCACTGATGTCCTCCATGACATGCTGGGCCATTGGGTTTTTGTTTATTTAGACGACATCCTCATCTACTCCCGCACTGCCGAGGAACACACCCAGCATGTTCGAGCCGTTCTGTCACGCCTCCTGGAGCATGACTTATTCTGTAAACTGGAGAAGTGTGCCTTTCACCAGGAGTCCACCTCGTTTCTGGGGTTCATCATCTCCTCCCAGGGCCTACGCATGGACCCACACAAGGTTCAGGTGGTAGCGCAGTGGCCACTACCTAAGACCCTGAAGCAGCTGCAGAGTTTCCTGGGGTTCTGCAACTTCTATCACAGGTTTATCCGCAATTTCAGTGCCCTGGCATCACCATTAACTTCCCTGACTAAGACAACCAAGCAGCCTCGCCCTTTCCGCCTCCCCCCGGAGGCCGTTGCCGTCTTCCATGATCTGGTCCGCCGCTTTGTAAGCGAACCCATCCTCCTCCACCCGGACCTAACACGACCCTTCGTTGTGGTAGACGCCTCTGAGACGTCACGGGAACCGTACTATCACAACGGGGCCTGGATTCCAAACTCCACCCCTGCGCATACTTTTCCCGGAAGTTCTCTCCTACTCAGCAGAACTATGGGGTCGGGGACTGGGAACTGTTGGCGATTAAGTGGGCCCTGG